CCTCTCTGCAAGAGCAATTATAGATTCATTCAGAGGTAGCAGCGCCAGTGCTGTCCCGACTCTCGTGACATAGGGATTATTTTTGTGATCTGTTAACATTTCATTTTTCGAACGTTAGAAAATAAACGTGTTGTGGGAAAATTTGTACTACTCGTTATTGAGGTATCCTTCGCGTTGCCACGCAAATATAAAAGTTCGAGTATTTCTATTGTGATTCGAGGGAAAATTATTTTTAGCATTACTTCGAACTATTTTCAAAACGTGAGGTGAAAGTGGAGGTGTCTTTTTGGAGAAAGTTTCTTAGGGAGATTTCTTCCCGATTGACGTAAAATTACAGAAATAATTTCGGTAAGCAAGCTTCTCGGAAACTCAGTAACGTTTCTGTACTCCTTTTTGTGACAGTTCAGCTGTGTTGTCATTTTCCTCCTCGAACTTTCGTTCTTGATAAATTGTGCACAGGTTTCAACGATTCAACTATGTTATTTTAATGTATCTTGCTATTGTCTGCAGTACATGCCAGCGATTGTTTTAAAGGTCATATTTCTTAGAATGACGTAAACTTAACGTCCATTAAATAAATTCTATGTTTTAGCAAGAAAATATGTTACAATTTTATGTCCTTTATATAATATTTCTATTCCTAAAAGATTTAAGGTTTCAGTAAATCCATAACAACAGGAATGAGTCACACCGTGTTGTTTTTTAGTCTGATCTGTTTTTATACAAAACAAATTTTTAACAGACAGTAAAAAAACCTGAAACCAAGACCTTATGATTTTTCAAAACGTCACACGACATCCTAATTTTAAAATACCGACAAACTACCTTTTTGCTAAATTTTATTTGCAAAGAATATTTATTAATATTTTCAGTAGTTGTAGAAAGTGTCGTTACAATATTATGCTGAAAATATTCAAGAAACTTTAGTAATTTAATTTAATAACATTTTCTATCAAACTGTATCTACTATTGTTCGAAAAGAGTTATTGAATCTATTTCAATATATTCTTTTCGAAAAGATCATTGTAAATAATAAATCTATAAGAACACAAAAATTACACTCATTGTTATAATTCTGTTTTGTTGTGATAAAAAATGTTAACTTTATTAATGACCAGAAATTGACGTTTTAAATATTTTAATAACAAAAGACGATCATACACGGAAGCAGGTTCATTTCCCCGAAGCCTTGTAAAATAAAATTCACGCTTATCTGTAAGAGATAAAATCCGTGTTACCACTCATTCGGGGAACCTCTTCTCATTTATACTTGCTGGAAATCTTGCCGATAACGAGGCCAACTACAGTATCATTCAGTAATGATGACTGTTAAATTACAGTTCACAAGAATCTATTTATTTTAATCGCATACAATTTCATTCGATCGTTCTTGAAATCTCGGTTATATTTTTTTTCATTTAGAGATAATTATTTTCACACGCGTTTAATATTTCTGCATTCATATTTTTTAACTGTCAGGCTGTCATTTTTAAATAACTATCGTTTGCCATTGCTGATCATTTACGTAAATTTTACATTACAACTAAAATTATGTAATTTCAATTTGTGATTTGTCTTTTTAAGAACTAAAGTTATTAATAAAAATTGTTGCAATTTCAAAAAATTACATCTATAAAAATATATTAACCTTTGCCAATGTGCGTCGAATTAAGCATTTAGTTTTCATCGAAAGTTATTAATTTGTCGAGGAATTATTTGCAGTTTCAAAACTGTGTGGCGACTGAATATTTATGATTGTATTTAGAAATTAACGTTGAAAATTGGTAATAACGTGGAAACTTGTAATGCTAAAATCATGTCGATGTCATCCAGTGTTGTCCGTCGATCGTGATTCCTGAACAGACCTGTAACCCAAGGGCCGTAGAGGCATCGATGAAGTTGACCAGTAAAATTAGCATTCGCTACGGCGAACTGTATTTCGCTGGCGTACACAGGTCATCAGCCCAGTTCGTCGTTTTCCAAGAAGACGAATTTCTAGCTAGACCCCTCGAAACAGGGTAGGCCCCCGAACCCTTCTTCCGATTTATGATGCTTTCAAACCACCTTGTAACTACGAACGTGCATCGTAAAACTCGTTCGTTGTTTCTTCTTAAAATTTATGTACTTCTCCAGTCCTCGGTTATCGATGCATATACATACATATTTCAGCAGAATAACCATTTATCAATATTAATTCGTCGACTTGATAATTTTTACTCATTTATATGATAATTTTAACGCGCTATGTAATATTTATACGTTTTGATTATGTTTGTTGTAACGTCTTTTCAACAATTTTGTTATTTAATTCAAATATTAGTTTATTTGTTTGTAATACACTTCTTGTTATACTATCAACACGTTTTCTTTTAAATGTTTCTTAATCAATTAGTTGTATAGATACGTATTTTGTTAAATACTTTTATTCGTTTTTCTCTCTATTTAAAAGTGTATAAATATATTAGCTGCTTTATAATTATCTCATTTATAATTTGTAGTATATTGTTTTTAAAGTATATTCGAAGTATAAGGAGAAGTATTCGCATGAATTTCTTCTAATTTTGTGGTCCTCCGTCAGGGCCTCGTTCTATTTCCTCAAATAAAACTACGACGTTCACAATTCCGCGAAGCCCCTCTTTGCTCGAAGATTTTTTTATCTCTCCTCTTTCGTCATTTCCACTCTCTTTAGCATTCCAATGACAAAAGGGAACTAAAGATAGGACATAGTGATAAATAAAAGGTAAAGATTAATGAATATTAAAATGCAAATGTTAGCCGGAGAGTATCTGTATAAATTTCAAACACTATAAATAGCCGATAGACACGATATTTCAATGACCGACATATTTAAAAGAGAAACTGAAAATGAGAACAGATCGATAAATATTTCGAAGGCAATTTATAGAGATTTCTAATCCATTTATTGCTATTAAAATGTATTCTGATTTACTTGAAACGGTTACATAACAATGAGATACAGCAAAAGTAAAAAATGTGTATATAAAAAATTGTTATGTAAAAATGGAGAGAAGAAGGCAAAGTGGATAATTTGTAATGAAAATAAGAAACGATGTGATAAGTGGTCTCAGAAAGAAGTTCAGGAACTTAAAAGCTAGATTGTGAATGATAGTACATATTCAGCAATAAATGAAATAGTTGGTTGCTATTAAATGTGAACAGCAACAGCAGATTTATCGTTTCATTACAATGTTAAAAATAATATACTCTCCTAAGGTCTTATGTGTATACATATCTATATATCACTGTTGTTTAATTTTTATATTGCGTATCAATCTTGGATTGACGATTATTATTTCAGAGAAGTCTCGACAACAAAGTTAGCTTGCGTCATGAAATGAAACAATTCCGTATTTGATTACTTCACGTTTCTACGAAATAATATTTGACGATACCTGTAATTTACGACCATGAACAATATTTGATCAGCATTGTTCGTACGCAGTATTTAACTGCGATGAAAAATATAATTGTACTTCAATTATTATGCAAAGAAATACAAAATTGGTTGCTGATTATATATAATACTTTTATATATAATAGATAATACTTTCCATTTAAATATTAAAATTATTAAAACGTTGTGAATACCGATTATATGGCTGTTAAATGAATTTTGCTTGGACTTGTCAATTTGTGATGAAATATAACTCAAAATTTTATTATTGATGCAACATACTTCTTGAAATGAAAATAGAATATATTTGTACCTTTTACCAATAAATAACTAAGTATTATTTACATCTTTCAAATTAAATTTAAACCTTCAAAGTTCAAAAATAACCCGAAATTTACTTAAATATGTAAGAAACGAAAATAATTTTCTTGTCTTACATCTAGTATTTTTAATAATTTGAAAATCGACACGTTTTCTTTACAACGTTACTCCAAAATAAAAGTAATATGTTTCAGAACTATATAATCAAATCTCTAACTAAGTATATATCATTTTTCATTTTTCGGTATCTTTTTCTTTCATCGAATCAGACGTATTATAATTTAAGTTCGACTATTTCTTTTGCAATTGGAGTCGAACGTCCCAAAAAAATCTTTATTGTTGTCACACGTTCTTATATTTAATTTACATCGTAACTTTGTCTATTGATTTGAGAATCAAGGGACTCTGAAGAACATCAAGAATCTTTTGGTAGAAACGTTTACAGGGTTCCGAGTAATACCAATTTGTCGATGACGCGATGTGAAATCGTTTCTCCAAATCGGCATAGACAGCCGTTCCTTTTATTCGACACAATGAATATTTATTCTTTTGTTAACCGTGACACGACAATTCTGGTGAAAGTGTTTCATATAGCGGAATATTGCGTTGCAAGAAAAATATTGATTCCTTTTTATGATCTTATTCCCGGCAGCGACTGGCTAAAAGTTTATTATCAATACAATAACATTTTTCATTTGTTTTATGAAAAATAAAATTAACACAATATTATTGGCATGTTTTATCATCAGGTAAACTTCAAATTTGTGTAAGATATTCACAGTAAAGTTTTTTCATGGCAAAGAATATTTATTTTGTGTATAAAGACATATTCTACAAAAAGAAAAGACAAAGTGACGAAATAAGAATAACCAAAGATTATAGAGTTACAGATATTCACATTTAAATTTCATTCCAGTGTTTGATAAAAATTGTTTCTACAAAATAAAATTATTTCGTTTTATCGTTTAAATTGATATTTTATAAGTAATGCGTTGTGAATTTTTATTTTATTATTTATTTTGTAAATTATTTAAATCGTTAGATTTTTAATTTACTTCACATTTTCAATATATATGCTTATTCAAGTTCAATATGTATGAGATTCATCTCGCCTGAAATGAACAAATATTTAGAAAAAGCTTTGAATATGTTTAACGAATACAAGGAAACCAGTAGTCGGGGAAGTGGAATGAGGTGGTTGGTTGCGAGTGAGAGTGCGGTACGTGGTAGGGTAGGGGGAGGGGGGAGCAGTGAGAGTAGTAGTGGGGAGTGCGAGAGGCCAAGAACAACTTCTAAATGGGGGCTTGGCCTTCTAACGTTGCGAAACGTTCGTGGAAAAGCGGCTCTGTGCCGCTTTACTAACACTCGGATGTCTCTATGCCACGTGGCCCATTAAAACACAATGAGAAAGGAAGGCGACTGTGGTGCCCGCGACAATGTCGAAAGAGATTCGTCTCTATTCCTGTCGAGATCACCGGAGAATGCAACACCTGGTCATAAACTCTGAACCGTGGTGTCGTACGTGGAAGTTGGAACACAATGTTTGGTCGATTTCTTAAATAACCCCGTGTGATACTAGCAAGGTAAACGTACTCTTATGTCAACAAATGATTCGAACGGTCGTAAGATATTCATGAAAATTCGATGTACGTTCGTTAGTCGAATCTTTCGTTCCAATATCATTTTACAAGCATACGCAGTGTATTCCTTTCTCTTGTGTAGCATGGAATGTACGAACGTGCAAATTCCTTTTGACGGTCAGAGATGTGTTCATGGATAATTATCATGAATTATAAATAAAGGCAATTCTCTATTAACAGTTATGTGATATGTAACGTAGTTAATGTCGTCGTGATGCAGAAAGCATTTGTAATCGTTTGACGCCAATGGCCATAGCGGATACATTGGTCGGCTGATACTCCGACTGCATCGAAAAACTTTATAATCTTAAACTGTTATTTACTAAAAATGTATCACTGGATTTCGAGAATAAATTTTTATACCTGTAAACAATATTTTACACAGTTTATTCGAATACTTATGGAGTTTCGATAATACCATCTGGCATTTCAGTCGCGCAACAACTAAAAGTTTGTCGAGAAAGAGATGCATATGGCGTGTCATATTTTAAACAACAAAAATTAATACTGTATAATATACTATTTAGTGACAATATATCGTGGGCCAAATTTTACTGAAACTTGACTGCGCAGGTGATCGTTAATTTGAGCTATTTTCATAAATTATTACTTGTCAGTTGTAAAGAAACTGAATATAATTGATTTGACTCTATTTGAAGTCTTTTGTTTACTGCGCAACGCAGAATCTACAGCTGTTAATGAACATTCCTAGAATACAAATTACTGGCACGAAACGTTTTATTCTTGGAAGAACCCTGACGTACATCATTCTAAATTTAATTTACAAATCGATCGAATATAGTAATTGACAGAGATATTGAGAAAGGAATATTTATTTATTTTTTTAAGTCGGTTTTAGTTTTCGTTCTTCGTATATAAAATAAATAATTAATTTTCATTTATTAAAAAAGATTAAACATTTGTAAATTGAAATATGTGTTTAAATTCACGGAAGCTAGAATTATATGTATTAAATGTATTTCAATTTCAATAGTGAATGTTAAAAGCTAAAAATCAAATACGATTAAAACGAAAATGAATTTCAAATTAAAATCGAAATACGTAATACAGTCTAAATTCGAATAACATTTACTGGTCGTATTAAAATCACAAGTATAGTACATATCTGTATTTTTAGTTGGAATAGTTGTTCATGGAAAATGACTTGCGTAATGCATTAAATTACGTACATTATCTGAGTCAATTACAAATAATTATGTATAACGAATGGCTGAAGTATAAAAAGTAATTCTGTTCCTTTATAAAATTAGTATTTATTTTCGTATATTTCGTTATACATTTGAATAATTTTTTTATATTTTCGTCGTATTTAATTTAAATTAGGTAATGAAACAGACATTTAGTGATTAGTGTACATGTATATTTTACTATATTTAATATTATAATTTTATCATTTGTTTGTATATCACATTAAAACATTCCAACACAATGAAATATGCTTCAACCAATTAATAAATGTTCTTTATTCGCAATTAGTGCATTCATTATAGTTTTCATCTTCTTCCATAGTAGTCATTATTAGAACTGGATTTGTTTGCAGGACCAGATTTTTGTACATAGTATTTAATTTGAAGAAAATTGTGTAACAAAACTTAATTTAAAGATTTTGTACTAATCCACTAACGTGTAATAAATATCTTTAAAGTTAATTTTTAATTCACTTTATAATATATTCTTTACATACAAAAAATATACCTTTTAGATGTTAGGATAGAGTTCATGATCAAATATTTTTTAAAAGAAGTTTTACATGTAACCTCATATGCTATTTTTAACAGTTCTAAGAACTTACGTGTGATCAAAATCTTATATATGCTTTTTTATTTCAGATTCAAGACTGTGTTATGCTAAAAATAACATAACTGCACAAAATGCTGACAGTGATGTGTCCAAACTGTCGTCACCGGTTTCCAGCTCCAGGTTGTTGCGAGCCTCAAAGAATGGAAAAAGATAATGCTTTAATTCATCCAACAACCTGTTACTATGGTGGCCTTTTGGTTCCTAAGGGGTACACCAGTGGTGGTGGCTGTTTCATAAATGCTCCAACTATTATTCATAGTCAACCTATTATAAATTCCTTTAACTATCCATCGATGGCATTAGATTTGGAAAAACCAAGAACTGACAAACAAAAGAATGGTGTCCTCCAAAGATCTGAAAAGAATGCTCGTATTCTTGGATTTCCAATAATTAATGAAGATATTGGAAAGAATCAAAATTCTGGGTGTCAAATCACAACAAGCAGCGAATTAACTGGTGGAAGTGTAACAATAGCGACACCAAGCATACAGTCTGGGGGTTGTTTAATTCAAAGCACAGATTCTGGAATCCTTATGCAAACGCCGCACGTAGAAATCCGTCCAAAACTATCTGGTGGTGGATGTTTTGTGCAAAATACATTATCAGCTGAAAATCAAGAAGTTTCGACCACACTTCCAGAACCAAAAGAAAATACAGATTGTAATGACAGAATGATTTTATTACCGCCAAGTGGATGTCAAGAATTGCCAGGAACTCGAAGAAATATCCTACCACAAAAGACAGAAGGAAAAACTACAGCAGCAAACCTCACAGGAGGGAGCAATGAAAAGCCAGTTCTCTCAAATTTTCAAGTTACCAGCATGCCAATGATGCAATTCCAAACCAAAAGTGCTCAGAAAAATGAACAAGAATTAGAGCAAGGAAAAAACTTAAATTGCTGCTGTAATCACGTTCAAAATCTTTACCACATTAAATCGAATAGCCCTCGAGTTTCTGAAAATCGTAATTCCATGCTCTTAGACTCTGATTCAGGAGTTCAAATTCAAGTGAATGCAACTGTACAGATACCTGCAAATTTAGGACAGTGCACAGTGAATATCACTGCATCTACCACAAATTCCCCTAGTTCCTTATCAAGTATAGCTTCAAGGACTAGAAATAATTTTAATGGTGGAGGTTTGGTACAGGAAAATGAGGTTCAGAATAATGAAGAAAATTTTGAAGACAGGAGAGACAGAACCCCAACTACACCAGTTTCATGGATAATGCCTTGTCCCTGGAGTTTTGATAGTTACATGATAGACAGAGATGCAGCTAGACTTTGCGAAGTTAAAAGACTTCTACAAACTTGTGGTTGGTACCATGAAGGGCTTAGTTGGCAACAAAGTGAAAATTTATTGAAGAATGCTGCAATTGGACGATGGTTAATGAGAGACAGTTCCGATATCAGATATACGTTTGCTGTATCTGTACAAACTGCTAGGGGGCCTACTTCTGTTAGAGTTCACTATTTTGTGGGACAGTTCCGATTAGATGCTGAGCCGAGACTTGCTTTCGCAATTCCACTCTTTGACTGTCCAATCAAAATGCTAGAATACTATGTAGAATATTCAAAAAGCGTTGATGAGCATAGAAAGGAGGTTTGGGTAGATTATAGTGGTCAACTTTATAGTGAAATTTATTTGACAAAACCTTTAATTAAGGAAGTTAGGTCTCTTAGTCATTTGGCCAGACTCGTTGTTAATAGGTGCAAACTGTCGACTGAACACTTGCCACCACTAATTAAAAATTACCTTGCAGAATATCCGTACACTCTTTGAGAAATTATTTTTAATGTTATTCTTCTGATTTCTGGAGTTATCTATTGACTTTTTCAAAGTTTTATAATTTATTTAATAAATTAATCAATGACATAATGTTAAAATTAATATATATGGACAATATTTATACAGAAATTCAATAATTGAAATGCTTGGAGATAATATTTCTATTTCAGTTTTCGTAAATTAGTAGAAATAGAATATTTAGTAAAATAACTTAGATTAAAGACATAAATCAAATTAAAACTATAGTGCAAATTAATAGATATATAAAACGTTAGTTCCAGAAATCAGAAATTCTCAAGAATATCTTTATTTTTATATATTTTAGAATAACTCATGTCGGAATCTGTATTGGCAATGTAATTTAAAATACTAAGTGTAACTAGTGGAATTTTCGAAGTTACACTTCTCTATATCTTATTTATCGATTGAAAACTGTTTACAATATTTCATTACAAGAAGTTCTGTAACGTTAAGTTAACCAACGAGTTTGAAAGTTAGATGAAGGTATGTAATTTTTTTCGTAGTCAGCAAAGCATAATATTAAAAGATTGATTATTTAACCGAGTTCATCATTTGAAATGTAATCTGGGAATAGAATACCATTTACATATTCTGCTCAGATTAATCAAAATTTTAGATAAGTTTATTTTTTCATTACCCTTAGAAGTCGAGCCGCTTACGAGAAAACGTAAGTTCGTGGCTAAATATCATTTCATATATAATATCTTACATTTCTTAAATTATTTAAGGTAAAATGTTCCAAAGAAAAGCATTATTTGATCTTTTTATCTGAAGATGTTTTGTTTATAAAAGAAATTACAAATTTTGAGAATTATTGGATGCCTCCAATACATTAGAACTTTTCGTGTAAATGTAAAACTCAGGACAAATGGCTTAATTCACCTATAATAAAGCCTGATTATAACAATAGAAATTCATTTCAATGTTCTATGAATAATTGCATTAGTAATTTGTTTATATGCGACGAAAGATTTATGGAATCATGAATTCAGCTTATGGATCTAAGATTTCTTTTAAATTTCGTGTCACTACAATGAATATTTGGACATGAGCGGATACAGTTTGTACTCTAAGGGTTAACGATTAAAAAAATCGGTTTTAAGTTTTCCTTATATTTAAAATGTTTTGCGATCGCAACTTTTTGAAAAGCGAGTTTATAAAACATTAAGGAATAAGTATATAGACATGAAGTGGAGTTATGCATGAATTTTTCTGTCGTGAAATTATAATCGGAATTATATTTTAAGAAATATTTGAGAACAGAAGCATTGGACGCTATCTTCATAATACGATAGTTTTAAAACTTAAAATATGTATTAGTAAGAATTTCACGTAGAACTCGGTCGTTTCTGATATTTTTGAGCAATGATTAGCAATATATGATTAGCAGAGTTGCAAACCATTGCTCTAAACTTAAACTGTTTAGAAACAGTAAGAATGATATTAAATTGGCTTCAACGAAGAAATCATGAGGCAGTATTAGGTTGGATGCAGACGAACGACTTTTCCCGTTGTGGGGTCGCAGCGTTTCTATGGTTTTCCTTGTCTTGCAATTGAAAACAACCAAAATAGCTATAAACGCTGATCTTGTCTGACTTCGTTGTTTTAATTGCAAAACAAGGAAAAACATAAAAACACCGCTCGTCTGCATCGTGCCTTAGAAGTTAACGAATCAGCTTGATTCTTCATTTGTCAATAATGGTGGTAACGGAATCAGTGACGTAGCTAAAGTTTGTGCCACCCGGGGCGGCTCTTGGGTTTGTCTTCTCCTTATAAGAACACAATACATATAAAACATTCTGAAAGAATTAACTACAATTTCTACAAAGTTATTTTTCTTGCCTCTTCATTAATAAAATTTTCAATGGCGCGTTCAAGGTCTATTTCGCCTGTCAATCGAAGCCAAATCAATGTCAACTAATGCCCCAACCCAACAATACTTACCAATATACTCTTAAATCACTTAACTAACAAAATATTAACGCTTAATAAGTGCTGCCCCAAAATAGTGCCACTCGGGACAGACTGCACCTCTAGCTACGCTACTGAACAGAATAAGAAAGCGAGTAATCTTTTAAAAATGAATTATAAATGTACAAAATAATTCCATGGGGTGAAAAATTGATAAATAATAATTTTTTATACACTTTCTGATAGTTCGTCTAAATCGTCTGTAAACTATAAAATGCCACTTATAAGGAGAAATCTCAATGCTTACTACTAATCTTTTAACGAACTTTTGCATAATGATAGGGCTTGAAATGCTAAAGCTAATGATATATGTTTCCAAGGTGTAATCGATTAATAGTTTAAGAAATGTTTAACGTTAAAATTTTGATATGGTCGATGTATTGTTTTATAAACAATATTAAGAGTTAAGTGTGTAGCATAAGTAGTGTTAGTATATGGCTATCAGAAACCTGCTTTCATAACTGTTTTTATTATACATATTTTAGAATCTACATTTAAATATTAGGTAAAGAATCTTTTAAAAGTCCAAATTATATTTGATTAATATTTTTATTGCCATTTTTACCAGTTTAGATCATATTTATCATAAACATACAAAATAAAGGAATTTGAAAATATCTTACAATATGTAGTCTAAATGTAAATTTTATCACCATAACTAAAATATGTGTAAGAAGAAATATGAGATGTTCATAGTATTTGAAATTTTCATGTTTATAAACAAAAAGAGCATTGTTCTGGTAAGCATATGGCTATATTAATTGCGCCACGTGCTTATCTTTTAGTGCTGCTTATAGAAGACTAGGAAAGACCCTCTTAAAACTAAAATAAAATATCTCTTAGACTATTAACCTTCTGGCGACGGGTCACGTATAACCCATTACTTAGAACTGTTTTATCTCAGAGTCGGGCTATGTGTTTATATTATGCTACATAATTACAGTGCTATATAATTAAAAAATAGAAGTCGTTTACATCGTTTACACAAAAAGCTGTGCTCATGTGTCATCTGCGATTCAACGACTAGCTTTTCATCAACGACTTTGAGTTGTTACATTGATGTTATTCTTCTCTACTTCGATGTAAATCGAACTTTGTAAACATCGTATTTATCGTTAGTCTCAGCATTTCAAGCTTTATCATCGCGCTGAAAGATCGTTAAGATGTAAGCGTCACACCTCGATACCTCTCCTTATTAATATGTCGTAAATAAACGTCTGACTTTTGTAAATATTGAATAAAACAAAATGAATATTTTATTACATGCGATTCGTGTAAAGAAGCAAAGATAACATGGAAACAATGAAAATGATGTAAGCTAGAAATCTCACATTCATCTAGTACTATATAGTCCGATAATAATAAAGTAAATATTGAATGATTATTCTTCATATTAAAGAAAATTTGTTGTGTAGGAAGGAAAATAGTTAATAAATTAACGATACCCTAAAGAAGGAACAAAACTTTGCAAACGAATCAAATGCAAAAATTAATTTAATCTTGCTGTTTATCAGCGAATTTGTTTAAATGGGAGCGCACAAACGCTCAGTTGTATGAGAAGAAATTTTAGATGTGTGTGCGTTAAAGAAATCTTTGTATGGGTGTATATAAAAGTAAGGAGTATGATGATCGAAATGTCGATCGTTCGTAAAACTACGGTTGATATATTTTTGTAAGCAAGAATCAACGGCTTTCTCAAAGCAAATGCGATTTTTCTAATAGGAAATGTTATACAGGGTGTTTAAAAAATCGTGCTCCGTTAGATACAATTATTCGACGGAATTGCATCATTTGAAATGTTTACTATATCACGATGTTGCATTTTTCTGTAGAATTAATTGCTTTTTACTTGAGACACCCCGTATAAATTTATATAGGATTGCTTGTTCATTGTCTCTATATTAGAGATAATCTTTAAATTGTCAATGTACCTACCCTTCGTAGACCACTTCCAAACAGGAATACTTAATACGAGAGAATTACCTCTTGTATTAATAGTGGAATATACTTTTTAAAATATTTATTAGATTCTTGAAAGATAATGTAAAATTGATTTATACTTTACATACATAACCTAAAATTGTTTTGTAGCAAGTTTTTAGTTCTTGGGGCGTCTGTTCACAAATGTCAACAGGTATTGTGAGTAGCGGGTAATTCGCGGTAGAATATTTATAAATGCAGTCTTCTGTAAACTACAGACAAACTAAAGTATATGGTAAAGTCATCATATGCTTTGTTGCGCAAACTGTAATACTGCCTGCTGGCCACAATAGAATGCGGATGCTTTATTGTTTAACGAGTACTAATTACTAATATTTTACGATTTTTGTGTTATTTTGTAGTTGGATTGCGAAGGGTTATTTCTTTTCGATTTTTCCAATTCTAAGAGTCGAATCAAAGACGTATGTTTATCGTTGGAAACTGCCACTCAACGAATCCTACGGTTTCATGTTTTATACTGCGATTATAACAATGTATAATATGACAAGTTAAATTATTAAATAATTATTTATTACCAGGAAATTGTAATCAAATTTTATTTACATTCTGTATAATCAAATTTAGCTCCCTTCTAAATATACTTTGACGTAATTTATTATTTAATTAATCAATTTAAAGCTACTTTTTTCTGTAAATTTATAATTTTACACTAGTGTGTATATAAAAATATAATTTAGTTTAGTTTAAGTTTAGAATTCGCAGTATCATTTTCATTCTACAATATTAAAAGTTGTGGTTGTTATAGTTTCTTGTTTAATGATTCTTCTAAAAAAGATGCCATTGGCTTTCGTACAGAGGGAAAAAAGTAGCTTCATTAGGAAGGGTGTACTTTAAGCAGGAACTAGGAAGAAATCAACATCTTGATAAATAAAGAAATGGCAAAAGGTTAAATTTTTAATTTATATTTTTTAGCTTTTTCTTCTGCTCAGGATATTACAAAAAAAAAATAGTAAAACTTAATTTTTAAGAATCTCTAATTCCGGCAACAAAGGCGTGTCTGTTAGACGTTCTCTCCGAATGGGAGATAATGGGAATAAAAAAAAATTTCTTTTTTTCCAATAATTAAAAGATGATCTGGAGGTCTTAAAACGTGTATTTCCGTAAAATAAATTTTACAAAATTTTTTTCATTATGGATACTTTGCTTATGTACGCCTACATAGGTCGGAGAGTAAAAATGCCTGGGCAGTCGAGAATCTCGGCTCGAGAATCCAAATCGTATGCCGTTGACGGGAGGTCGGATTTCAGTTGTTAAGAGCGAGAAGGCAAATGTGAGCCTTTCTCTCTCGACTCCCACGAGGCGGTCCGAAATTACTTCGAGCAGCTTCGGAGAATCGAGAAAGAGGGCATGCGTCAGTTTGCCTTTGTCGACTTTCCGAAACTCCACGAGCTCACGTACGCGTATCTGGTATGTTGAGTAGGGCACCCGATGGTGCTTTTCTGGCACTTCTGCCTCTGGCTCATGTACACGTGGCTCATGCGGTAGTGTATGCCTGCTATCCTCACCACTCCGTTAGACGCTAAGGAAGTTCGTCGTCACTATTGTCAATTTCGATGCACTCAATTATGCCCGATCTGACCACACTGGGCCACACTGATGGCAGTCAGATTGGGCCACGAAAGTCCATAAGGTGAAAGATCTACTCGTATACCTCGTCTGTGACCTTACGTTGAATGAGATTCAACCTGCCTTATGAAAATCCAGAAGGGTATATCAAAACTCGCCCGACAAGATTTTCACAGAGAGGCTGAATGCCATTTCCAATACACAATGTTGTGCACAAAAATCACCCTTACACGAGAATACACGCCCCACGATTGTCCACAATGTCCACGAGTGTCCACAAATAAAATACATAAAGGATATAAAAATAATGGGAACAAAACAGCAGCAATATAGAAAAATTTCAATAATTATGCAAGTTATTATTGTTGTTCAAACTATATATATATCTGCTGTCTCCGTCGCTGCGTAGACGCTAAGGAAGTTCGTCGTTTCTAGTGTCGACGACGATGCACTCAATTATGCCACTTCTGGCCATAGTGGCGGGACGCTGTTCGGCATCTCTGACTCCAATTACCTCTATATAAATATTGTTATGAAGTATTTGATTACATATTATGCATTAATTATTCCCTTCCTGAATATATTTTTCAAAAATACATTTTTATTTTTTTTGTGTGACTTAAGTAAAACAGTTCTGAATGGATAAAAATAACCTGTCACTCATTACCGGTAATTAGTAGTAACTATTCTCAAAGTAAGTGCAGAACATGTTTTTTTTATTCGTAATTTGTACATAACAGGCCATATTTTTCAATGTGTTTTAACACTTTGTGGTCAGAGTTAACATCTTGTTATAGTTATTTCATGCCTAAATAGTTATTTTCGCAATTATTATACAGGATTTCAGTGTTTTAACTTTTCATGATCTAGACACGGATATGTTTAAACTAATATTATCTATCGTAACTAAAACATATGCTAATGTATAACAAAACAGTATTTTTATTTTCTCACAAGGAATATCATGGTACTATTCCCTTAATTTTTTTACTAAACCTTTTGAAGATGTTTGTGAAATGATTTTTAATAAAGTTATAAAACAATTTAATCCACCTTTTCCCAATTCTTAAATAAAAAATGTTAAAGTTTTTCTGGTTTTACAGATGCAGTATATACTATGTATAGTAACACATTATTGGAGGTGGGCTGAAACCTAATTTTTAATTTCACATAACCTAAATGTGAAATTATTACAAAGGAGAAATATCGAACAAAGAATTATTCAAGAAACCCTTTATTCTAAAAAATTGAATACTATAATGCTACAGAAAAATAATTTAATATAAAATGCAACTATAATGCAGACAACTTCAAATGTAAATATTAACAAGATTGTACCACTTAAAACGGTTAATATGGAGAGTCCATCAATTAATGAAAATGAAAATTCTTCTGTTATACAAAACTCACCTAGTTCAGACTCAGCGAGTACTGAACAAAGTAATTTGACAGAAGCCTCTACTCCGCAAAATAGTTCTCCAAAATTAGGTAATCGTAAGAAATTGTATACTGATACAAATTCACCAATTGATATTGCTTATCCGATATACAATAATATGAATAGAACATTTGAAACTAAACAAGAGTTACATCCTGCATTACATAACAGATTAAGCATTATAAGAAGGTATAGAATTTACAGAAGAAATAAGAAAAAACGCTTGTATATCTTTAACAACATGTTCTCCTTTCTCAACAATGTCAACAATGATAAGCAATTTGTTGCAAAAAAGAAAAGACCCATAAAGAATCGAAATTATTCAAACGAAATTATACCAGCATTAAATGTTTCACAGAAATGTGGTGCCTCGCTGATCACAAATTTTAAAATTGTAAATAATCTTGTAACTAATCACAATTTAACAGAAAGAAATTATCAGTGTACGGATAAATATTTGTCAACCAATCAATATCTAAGTACGGAAAATAATAAAGTAAGTAAATTCAACAATTCAGAATTGAATTTGAAAATATTTAATACAAAACAATGTCAACAATCTCATGATGCAACAAAAAAAATAACAGTTCGTTTAAAACGACTATCTCAAGACGACATACAGAAATACAAAAAGTCAAACGAGGCAGTGACAAGTTCAAACAATTTAAATTTGGTAGTCCGTTTAGAACGACTATCCAATTGCGATGTACAGAAGCACAAAAAGTCAAATAAGAAAGTGCCAAATTTAAGAAATTTAAATGTTGTAGTTCGTTTAAAGCGACTATCCAAATCTGATGTACAGAAGTACATGAAGTCTAATAAGAAAACAACAAGTTGAAGGAATTTTAGAATTGTTACGTTAATTTCAATAAAAAAAGAGTTGTAACAAAACCAATCTCATGAATTTTAGTCACCACAATCTCTGATGTATTTTGGTGATAAAACTACATCTTCTTCAATTCAGACTTCGCTTTGACCGGCTATCAAACAAAGATTAGCTGATAGATCATTTTCCAAATTATCTTATTTTCATAAAACAGTAAAATGATTTAAACGCTATTTGTATACGAAATTGTGATTTTCTTACATACTATCTGCAAAGAATAATACATTATTAGTTTTGTACAAATAGAGCAAAAGTTGAAATATATATTTTATGGAAACCATACCTTTTACTTAGTGTGACCATAACTTCTAATAATATTAGTGATATAATGTATTTAATATTTGAATAACAGTTTAAGAGTTGTACAAATGCTATATCGAAAAGCTGTTTTTTAATGTTATATTTTTAATGTATTAAAATACTTGGTTTTAATTGATTACAAATGAGTACATATTTATGGCGTGGGTGTACACCCCCGTCCATAGATATGTGGATGTTTCCCACCTATAATTCATAAATAATATACAATGTGAATTATTACGATAAAACGATGTATGTTAACAAATTCTATTTTAATTATATAATTAGTAACATATAATAGTATTAAATTAAGTGATTCGATTATTTAAGAATGTATTGCGGTCTAGAATTTCGAAAAAATCGAGCTTTTTTTATTTCATTTTTTTAAAGTGTACTATTTAGCAAATATACACACATATGTACAAAACCATTTGCTTCAGTTTGTGCAAATGTCGTATGTGTAATGATGCAACACTGTAGCGGCAGGTATCCTTTTTCCTCTACATCGTTTTCGACTTCTATTATTTGCTTGAGAAACCCCGCCTAAAAAGATTTGAATTCTCGAGCCGAGATTCTCGACTGCCCAGGCATAATGAAAAAAAATTTTGTAAAATTTATTTTACGGAAATACACGTTTTAAGACTCCCTGATCATATTTTAATTATTGAAAAAAAAGAAATTTTTTTTTATTATTTCCATGTATGAGCGTACATATGTACATATATTATTAATACGATTTGTCAAATTCAAAATACTTTAAGATTGAAAATTAATAAATTAAAATGAGAGTCCACTCTTTGCCAGTATTGTACACGCTGTGGTATTTTTCAATAAGAAGAGTTCTTATTTTTATAACATAAACAAAACAGTAGAATTAATAGTTGCGGAAATTAATTAATAATGATTTTCCTCGATATGTTTTGAGATAACTGTTAGAAAATCGAAGTAAGCGAGCATTAATTATTTTTTCACGTTTTATTGTAAAAATAATTTTACTCGAAGTTAAAATAGAAAGCAAAATGGAAGTATGCTTTTTTTAAATAAGTTTAAAATTAACAACTTTTTAATGTTTAAATCTGCCACTTTTATCATTTACGGAAATTATCTCAGATCGTTAAAATTTATTTATGATAATGATGATGAGATTGTAGATTATTGTCCAAAGTTTAAACGTGTTAAGTTTACGTATGTTCGATTACATATTACATAAATTTAATCGTCATCGCATTAATATCACACTTTAAATTGCAATTTTTGAATTCCTATAGTTTGTCAATCAAATAACGTTTAAACTATTTCAAGAGGTTGATCAAGTTAGTATTATAATTTAAATATTATCTAGAAAAAAATATTTATTTAATTTTAAACTACAAAATTACTTAAACAACGGTGGCAAAGCAAGAAGAAACTATCTGTACCATTTTAAGTATAAATAATAAACCTAACCTTGAAAAGTATAGTAAAATGCTACATTCCTCTAAAAGATATTACTATTTTAAAGTAAGGACACATGAATATTGAGTTAAATTTAACACAATTTATAGAAAGCTAATTTATGCATATATATACTAAACATGAAGTTTAACATTTTACTTATCCATTACGTATTTTTCATTTTATTTATTTTTTTTTCAAAATAAATGAATCGTTTAGATAATTATAATTTATTAATTTAAAAAAAATATAAATATTAATTTTGCACATATTAACATTGGCTATCCTGTTAGGGAATTATTTACTAAGCCGTAAACCACTCGCATCGGAAAATATTTCCGGATTGTATTAATATAAAATTTGAAATTTTACTTGCAATATATTACTACCAAGAATTAAAAAGTTTCTAAAACCGACTGTTTCGTAACCAGAATCGATATAACTGGTTTCAATCCCTGGTCATTGCTCCCTAATATGCTTGTCAATTCAAATTTACAAATTTTTATAATAAGTACACCTATTCCTTAAACATGTCTATATAAAATAATAATTTTTGTAATTATTTAACTTTATGTACATTTTATTAAAATAAGATATGTCTCTAGCATGGCTGCAATTAATTTTAAAACACTTAATGACGACGATGTCAATGAATTTTTCAATTCTTTTGATACTGTACTTACCGATTGCGATGGTAAGTCTTATTCGATAAATGTATTTCTCTGTAATAATAAAATGTAAAGTAATAATAATTGTACATTTTAGGTGTACTTTGGATAGATATGAGACCCATGAAAAATGCTACGCAAGTTATAAGCACCTTTCTTGAGCTTGGTAAAAGAGTTTTTTACGTAACTAACAACAGTACAAAGTCTAGAGAAGAGTTTGTAGAAAAATGTAAAACATTAAATTTCGAAGCTACTAAGGATAATATTTTGTGTACTGCAAATTTGTCTGCCTGTTATTTACAAGATTTGGGTTTTAATAAGAAAGTTTATATTATAGGATCGAAAGGCAAGAATTATATTTTTGTTGTATCATTATAACATTGTACAACCGACAATGAATATTATATTTCAATGTATAATAAGTATTGTAATTATGATAATTTGTATTACAGCTATTGCAAAAGAATTGACAGAAGTTGGTATTTCACATACTGGTGTAGGACCAGATTCTATCATCGAAAACGTTCCATATAGAGCTTTTAAAAAAGATCCTGAAGTAGGTGCAGTTATAGTCGGTTTTGACGAGCACTTTAATTACCCCAAGATGGTAAAGGCAGCCTCATATTTAAACGATCCTAATGTACATTTTATTGGCACAAATACAGACGAAAGATTCCCTGCTGCTAACAATGTTATTATACCTGGTACTTATAATTTACAGTACTTCTCGGTTCTGCGCATATTTAATTAAAATTCTGATAAACAAATCTCTTATTACAGGTACTGGAAGTTTGGTGCGATGCATAGAAAGTTGTGCGGAAAGAAAAGCTGTTATAATGGGCAAACCAGAATCTTATATAGCAGATTTATTGAAAAAAAAATATAATGTAAATCCTAAACGTACATTAATGATCGGAGATCGGCATAATACAGATATACTACTTGGAACTCGTTGTGGCTTTAAAACATTATTAGTCTTAACAGGTGTTAGTAAATTACATCATATCACTAAATGGAAACGTTCAAAGTGTCCAGAGGAAAAAGAATACATTCCTGATTATTATATCAATACAATTGGAGATCTATTACCGTATTTAGAAAAGTTCAAGTGCAAAACTATAACACCTAGTACCTAAAAGTAACCTAATTTCATAGTATGATTAAAATAATATTACTAGAAATAGTTATTGGATTCCTTATTAAAAATAATACGTAATTTATTATACGGGTATTAATTACATACTGTGATCGCATTTATTTATGTCGAAAATACACGTGACAAAGTATGAAATAGTGTGTGTGTTAATATATATATATAATACACCAGAAATATATGTATGTGTAATTCTAGTTTGACGAACAGATTGTTTTGTTTAACCTTCTTCCTCGTACAAAACTGTGTTTTTTTTGTTTCATTCCATCAAATGTTATATGTATGTATCATTTTATTGCTTCCCCTTAGGGTTACAAGGACTCCTTATCTTACACTCTTCTCTACAAACCTTCCTTAATCTAACTTATCCTACTCTTGCACTACCGCTCCGCATGCTTCTCCCCCTCTCTCTCGCTCCGCTCGCTCTTAGCCTATTTAGCCTACTTAGCCTACTTATCCTACTAGCCTAATCAAATGTTATATGTTGAATCTGTTTTTGAATATGTGATTTAAATAAATTAACAGAATTATGTTTTACATCGAATACGTTTTAGTAGCAATTAGTAAATAATTTAAATCTGAAATAAAGGTTATCATAAGTAATAAAAAGTGTCACTTCGTTCCCACAGTGGTACTAATATAGTTTAATAGTCATCAATTGTATTTATTGGTAGTTATGAATGGAAAAGGAACAATTTATACGTCCTATTACGTAATAGGCAAACAAGGTCATGTAATAATTCATACTTTATCTAGGATCTTTTCAGTTGTGCAGTAGTTGATGAAGTGTGTACTTTGTGTGTAGAATAGAAGATAGTTTTATATTGATTTGAAGAATTGTGTTTGTAATTAATTACAAAATGGCAACAAAAAACATAACATCATTGTCTAAAGAGGAATTCAAAAATTTAATAGATTCAATTGATGTCATTCTGTCAGATTGTGATGGTGAGTAATTATTTTGTGTAAAATAATTTTTCTGATATAAGTGAAAAATAATAAATATTACATTATGTTATTCTTAATGCGGTACCTTCAAAATTCATTGTATTTAGTAAGTCAAGAATAAAAGTTAACAGAAAACAATTTTATGTACATGTATAATGTTGTAAGTGGTGTTTTAATCTCAGTAAACTTTAGGCGTGTTATGGAGAGAAACCGAGGTAATACAGGACTCACCTGAAACAGTAAATAAATTTAAACAGCTGGGTAAAAAATTCTTTTATATAACAAATAATAACACGAAAACTAGATCCGAATTCGTAGAAAAATGTAAAGGACTTAAGTATTATGCAACAATGGTGAGTAAAATTTATTTGTTAAGTTTTGCAATTAAAAAGGATATTTATTATACAAAATACTTTATAATTATGTTTTAGGAAGAAATAGTGTGCACATCATTTTTGGCTGCAGTGTATCTCAAAGAAAAGAAATTTGATAAAAAGGCGTATGTAGTCGGCAGTATAGGTATTACTAAAGAGTTAGACGAGGAGGGTATCAAACATACTGGTATTGGAGTGAGTTTCCTACCATAAAATCCGTTATCTGCTTTTAATGTAGATTGACTATGTAATGAATTTACTTTTTTATTACAGCCTGATGTTATGGATGGCGACGAAGTAGAAATGGTACAAAATTTCAAGCCTGATCCAGAAGTTGGGGCAGTTATCGTTGGTTTTGATAAATACTTTTCTTTGCCCAAGCTTGTAAAAGCAGCTACTTATTTGCAAAATCCAAATGTTCACTTTATAGGCACAAATTGTGATACAGAAAGACCTTCGCCAAATAATAATAAATTCCCAGGTTGATATACACTCATTTAAATTGATTTTATATAAAATTCAAATGTAGATTCATATAGAACTTAGAGAATAATATTTGCATATATTTTATTATGCAGGAACTGGCTGTTTTATAAAGACTATAGAAGCAGCATCAGATAGAACAGCAATAACGCTTGGAAAACCAGAATCTTTCGTGAGTGAATATATAATCAAGAAATATGGTTTGAATCCTGCAAGAACACTCATGATTGGCGATAAGTAACTATCACATACTATAATGATTATTTATAATAGTGAGTGATTCAGTTCTTAAAAACGTAATTATCTTATTTCAGTCGGAACACCGATATTCTTCTTGGAAAACGTTGTGGATTTAAAACACTTCTTGTGTTAACAGGCATTACATCACAAAACGATGTAGATGCCATGAATTCACCTAATGCGGATTCTAAAAATTTAATAATTCCGGATTATTATGCAGATCAGTTAGGTGATGTGCTAAAAATGATTGAAAAATCTTAATGATGTTTGATGCAAAATCAACAGTTTCAGCACAATTCGATAATATTTAGACAAATCTTATGCATTAATCTATTCAAATATGAGATATATAATGGGTCTGTCTCTCTTTGTTTCTATTTTTTAATTAGTTATAAATAACATCTTTAATTTGACAATTTGATATAATTATTTAAAATTATTTCTGCTTAAATAGAAATTCCTTAGATGTGTGTACTGAACTTGATGCAAAAATTATTTCATTTTTATGACAATATTATACAACAAATGTGTTCCTATTATCTAAAATAGAATTATTAATAGTTACCGAAACATTAATACAGTATTTATTCGTTAAGAGCTCCGCTTGACTTACAATATAAGAATTCGGTACTCTACTTGCGAAGGCAAAAGCTAGATAGAATAAGAGCAAGTCAGAGAGTCTGAAAACGGACGAAAAGTTCGCAGCATGCAAAAGACGGTACTCAAACGGCCTACAGTGGGGCATTCGCATGCCAAACGCGGTAAAAAAAAACATATTACGACCGAAATGTACGTATTTATCTCTTTCCTCGCACAATTCCATTAATATAATTGCTCTTGTTATATGTTTTCATTATCTTTATGTGTTGTAAAATACAGCACATTTAATTCACTTGAAGCTTTAACATTTTCTACAATAACTATTCTAGATAACAATACAGTATTATGGAAAAATCAGGTATATATGTTACCTTTTATAAATAATTTACAAATTATTATACAATACAATATTTCTACATTTTAGTGTGTGTGTATATACATATATACAATGTAAACATGTATATGTATATACTGTACCAAAGCAACGATTTGTCTTTGTAACTTCTCCAGTAACAGTCAATTTCTAAATTTTTTTTATTTGAGGATATTAGTCTGAAATTACTTTTTTCAGTGCTTGGCATGCAGTTACCCCACTGTGTAACAGAACGAGACAAAATGACGGTGCTTCGTCTGTCTCATATTATTTCTTGCTTGCTTTCAATCTCTCTAATTTTATCCTATTACATCACGCTTTTACTTTTGGCAAGTAAGTAGCAAGAAATGATACGCTTGAAATCATGTTCTTTATATGTTAACAGCTCGCGCTGGTCTCGAGCCAAATACAGTACTGTATTTTAGTTTTTCTTATTAAACACAACGTGATATAGTACAAATATATAAAAAGATTTGTAATGTTATTTTTCTGGTTCTCAATTTCTATTTTTGTAATGATATTTAGAAACAGAAAATTTGCCAAAGAATAACAGTATATATACATTTATGGTTATCGTTCAAATGATCATTTTATCGATAATTCGTGCGCTTAAGTGTTGCAGTGATACGATAATTGCATGCATTGTATGTGTAGTGAATGACCAATTGTGTTAATTATGGTATAAATTTGCGTACAATTTAGTACTGTGAAGTATTATTTATGTAATCGTTTTCATACGTATCTGTATATTGTAATGAAAAAATGCGATTTTATTTCGTTTGAATAAATAGAATATTTCTTAATTAGTAAATTGAATAATATTAAATGTTTCTTGCCCTTGAAATAAATTAAAATCTCGGAAATAACGAATATTGCGATAAAGTTTATTTACATTATCGTTCTGACGAAGTAATAAACGACAGAATCAGTGGTGTTCAAGCTTTCGATTATATTTTAACCAATTAATAAATTGAATTGCACAATTTAATTACTCATTTAAACAACCGAAAAGGAGTCAGTGTGTTAATATAATTGGGTTTTACGTAGAAACCAATATATGATCGGTAAGAAGACAGATTTTTTAAAACATTAAAACTATTTTCGGATCATAAAAGACGATGCATTTGCATTGTATGGAAAACACTGTCGCAAACAAACTGTACGCTACTGCAGAATTGTAATTCTTTTGCTGTTTAGTTTGTAGGACATACGAATGAGACAAACTATTCAGTCAAGTGGAAATATACAGGGTGTTCGGCCACCCCCCGGAAAAATTTTAATGGGAGATTCTAGGGGCCAAAATAATACGAAAATCAAGAATACCAATCTGTTGATCGAAGCTTCGTTAAAAAGTTATTAACGTTTAAAGTTCCGCCTGTAGAACGGCAATCTATGAACAGCTGCGTGCGCGTGATAGTGGTTCTCATTCAGCATGAGAAACACTACTTACTGACGTATCGACAGTTTTACAGTTTTATGAATGAGAACCACTATCTACAGGCGAAACATTAAACGTTAATAACTTTTTAACGAAGCTTCGATCAACAAATTGGTATTCTTGATTTTCGTTTTATTTTTGCCCCTAGAATCTCCCATTAAAATTTTTCCCAGGGGTGGCCGAACACCCTGTATGTTTATACGTATACTATTTGTATATTCTCTCTAATTATACTATATTCCGACATGATAAGCAAGAAATTCAAAAACACGGACACAGACGAGGAGATGTTTCGTACGCCGGAACCGGAACGAAGAATTTCAAATCAACAAGAGACCATTACTCAACTTTTTTTAAATATGCCTAATCCAGCTGAAGCCGAAATCGAGAATGATCTTCGGAATGATAGTATATGTATATAATGTTTTTATGGACTGTTTGTAACAAATACAATAAATATTAATGATAAATAAGTAGTCGTTGTTTGAACCATTGTTCCTGATTTTATTTATCAGTGACAGAGTTTATTTATAGTAGTAATATTTATAATAGCATCGACTTTACCGATTGAAAGATTTTCTACAGTTTGGATGTATATTACAATGGATTGACCATTAAGTGTTTTATTAACCATATTTATATTGCAATTATATAAATTATTGTAACGGTTATTACATTAATATTTTCACTGCAGTAGTTAAATGAATATTATGTAAATTACAAACTTGATGCCACATAGTTTTGAGCGTTCTAATACAATGATAATTATCTAATCAATTTCAAGTTTCTTGAAACTTCCTTCGACTCCAAAGAGATCGGTCGCTGTTTTCCCTTTACCCGATCTCAATGACTCATTAACACGTTTCGTTCGTTCTTCCTCTAGGAACCAATCACGATTATCTTCGAGCATTTTGATACCATATGTGTGCAGTTCTAAGGTTGGTCCGGCTTTTCCACCAATTTCATTTGGCAGTGCATCCACAGGAATAAATTGTGCTAAAGTCTCCAAGCTTGTGTGCGTATGGAACTGAATATTATACAAATATATGTAATCGTATTCATTGATGATGCAATTTATCCATTATTCATTTTTCTATACATATCAGGGTGAGGCACTTAGGACCAGCCACCCGAATAACTTGGCTGCTATTGGTGACAGGAAAAAATGCATCAGGCAAAAATTATTTGGTATCGAGGGGCTGATGTTACTAGTTTTTTAATAGGTGGAGGCATCAAGGTGATATGACGGTCATCTCTGTTTTTTAAATGAAACGGTATGTTTTTTTACTTACATTCTTATAGACTATTTCAAGACGAATACAATGACCTGGTCTGGGTTAAGCCAATTGTGATGGAAAATAATTTACTTTGAGGAAATGGTCAAGGACCGTTGATTTATTTATCTATCAGTAATATACAACTGATACAAGTGTTCAAAATAGTGACCTTGAACATTGATGCATGCTCTTAAGCGTTGCTTCAGTTGTGTTTATCGCGACACAAGCTCTCCTTACACGCTCTTTCATATCTTCTTTGGTTGATGGTATTTCATTATACACTTGCTGTTTTAATTTTGGGTAATGAGCTGTTTTTGATTAAAGTTTTATTTATGGACAAAGCAGCAAGTGGATAATGAAATGCCAGCAACCAAAGAAGATATGAAAGAGCGTAAGAAGAGCTTGTGTTCATTAATGTTCAAGGTCACCATTTTGAACACTTGTGTCAGTCGTGTGTTACTGTTAGATAAATAAATCAACGTTGCTTGGTCATTTCCTCAAAGTAAATTATTTTCCATCACATTTGGCTTAACCCAGATCAGGAATGACCTTTCCATAGGGCAGTGTATTCGTCTTGAAATAATCTATCAGAGTGTAAGTAAAAAAACATACAGTTCCATCTAAAAAAACAGAGATGACTTTCATATCTCCTTGATGCCTCCACCTATCAAAAAACTAGTTTTTGCCTGATGCATTTTTTCCTATCACCAATAGCAGCCAAGTTATTCAGATGGCCGGTATTAAGTGCCTCACCCTGTATATTGAAATTGAACAAAACAATGAAAAACAAAAAATGGAAATAAGAATATTCACAGTACGTAATAATATGTATTATAACGTTATACGTTACCATATCCAATAATTCTTTCTTCATGAATGGCTTCATCATGCTGAGTATCACGTCCATCACTGGTGTAATGTTCATGAAGTGAAATCCTTTTAGGCGAACTGGCAGTCCTTCTTGCAAAAAGTAAAGGTACTTCTTCAACCCCATAGGACTCAATCGAGCAGCATGGCCGAAGACAACATCCTTTATGTCGAACAGTATTACGTGCCCCGGCATTGTACCCTCCTTGCATAGCCATAAATCTACGATCATGCTCAAATATTTCATTGCATCGTTGTAGACGTAATTCGAGGGATCGCGATCGATCAATGTCCCATAAAGAATTGCGTAACCCTCGTCTGTTTTCTTATCCAAAACCTGGATGGTTCTACGGCATATTTCGAAATCGCCAAAATTAGGTAAATAGTTGCATGTTGAGACGGACTTATTGATTATCGGTATCTTAATCATAAAATTGTTAGGTGGATGCTAAAGTTTTAGTATATTTATCGTTAAATAGTACACGAGTTATATCGGTACCGTGAAACATCGTGCATGTAGCTGCCAATTAAAGTAATATATAACGAGGATAATTGTTGTCGTGAGAACGAGAAACAATGACTATAAAAGAAGAGAACAACAAATCGCGTTTTCTTCTATTATATATATATCGCTATAAGCTTTTGGTACCAAAGTTCAATTCTTAGTACATTCGATGTTAAGTATCAGGTACGATATGCGAATTTATTTTAAAGTCATTAAATGAAATGAAAAATAATATCTTTCTTCGTTTCTTTCGAGAACTTGTGGGCCACAGTTTGAGAAACACAGTTCCAGAACATACGCTCCTCTGTGAGAGTCATCTCAATTAGCGATGAAACAGCAATTTCTCAAATAGCAATTAGACGTTTCGATTATATACAGCTCACGTCAGAATTTCGAGGCGAAGTTGCATTATTTAACAATTACCGTGGTCGAAGAAAAACATAAACAGTATGTAAAGTATAGATATAAAATAGAATTCTTTACAGACATTCACCTATTGAATTACATAATTACATAAAATATTGTAATTTTGTATTGCTTATCTTTTTTCTGTTTTTACATTATGTTTCAATTCACGAGGAGTTGCGGATAGAAAGGACGAGCTCGACAAAGACGCGTTCTAAACATTTTTATTTTACTCAAATGTATTGGTAATTATTTATATTTTTATTGAGTTCGCGCTTATGAAAAATGGTAAAACGCAACGCGTCATATTTATTGAAAAGTTTAACTTGACCTACTTCAGAAAAATACATATTTCAATGATCTCAGATGAATAATAAATAGTTAGATAATAAGTAATACATTTCTAAAATAATACTCACACTGTTTGAAAGGCTTTCCTCAAATCTTTCTGTTGTAAGGGATCTCTGTTCGAAAAAAATTCGGGTACATGTGACTTTACCGTATAATACGTTTCGATAGTTGCTTTTGTGGGTTCCATTCGATAATAGTTACTATGGAAAAATAACGCCAACTCGGCGTCCGATATTTTTGGTAAATGAGGCTGTTTCTTGTACCAATCCCTCAATGCTTGTATATCTTCTTCTTTTAAGTCCGGATTCTTCTTCAATTCTTCTTCGTACGTCACTGGCTTTATTGTAGGCATCTTGACTTACTTAAAACATTATATACAGTTTTTAGTTTAATTTTCACAAATTTAGAACTTGCGTTGAATTTCGTGAAAACGTACATACTACTATAATTATTACATGATGCTAATTCGAATTGCTATATTTTTATTACGAACTCGTTCTAAAAATAATTGAATAACGATTCCTAAATAATTGTTTCAAAACTTGTCGCAATTTATGTAATATATTAATATTAACAATATGTTATACATTTTAAATACAGTGGTAACGATGTTTCATTTTTTTTTTCTTTTTTAATGAATTTATCAAATTGATATTTTTACCTTTGTACTTTTCTAAACCCTTCGATTGAAACTAAAACGAAGTATAAAAATTATAGCACTTCTGTACCGGAAGAATATGATTTCGAGATGTTCGAGCCAACAGCTTGAATATGACTGAGCTCTACGTACATTTAAGCACTTCGAGCTCTTCAAATGCGAAAGAATGATTTAATACCATACAATCGCGTGTAGCGTGACAGCGGAGATCATCAGACATGCCGTGTCAAATTGCATATTTAAAACTGACATGAAAATCGTTGTATGATAATAAAGAAAATGTTGCAATAACAAATATATTTTCCTATGGTTGTGAGTAAAATTACGTATGCAAGGCGGGTTCTAGAAACTAGGACAAACTGTAAGCACTTTTCCAAGCAAATGTACAAAAAATTCGTAAATGAAAAAATATCGAATTCTTCGCGCGAAACCACCTTTGGACTTGTTTTTTTAAAAATTAAACCGTGTATTTGTTTAACATTAATCGATTCGAAATTTTGCTTATAAAAGTGCTAATGCATAACTATTGAAAACGTAACATCTTACGAAATATTTTATATTTTATATTTGCATTCGATAGTTCAATTGTCATCTTGAAATTCTGTTGATCATTCTACATCACGTAACATCGATGACCATGAAACACATCAGGTAGGTAATCGATGTGATTTGTAAATAGTTTCATTAGGTTTATGATACGTTTGCGTCTTGGGTGCACTTGTTTCCCAGTATTTTCGATACAAGTGGCTTCAAAACTTAAGAAAATTATTGCAGTAATCAACCATTATATTCTCGCTGCGAAGTGTATACTTTTTAATATTTGCCCTTTCAAGTTTTCTTTCCTCTTTTCAAAAACAGAACCTTGCGTTTTTATTAATTTAACGAAAGACGGAGATGCAACTATTCTTTTACTCTCATAAAAGATAGTGTTATTAGTTTTTAAACATTTACTCCTACGACATAGTCTGCTACCAATCTCTACGGGGTTGTCTAGATAGTCACCTTTACTATACTGACTGACCACTGAGATCACTGAGTAAAATGTTAAAAAGATCATGCATCAAATTGTTAAATCAAGAAAGCTTTAATCTTCCGCTTCGTGATGGTTGTAATGGTCATTGATTGTTCGATGGTCAACAGTGGTTAATTTATGGTCATTGATGGTCAGCAATGGTTAGCTTATGGCCATTGATGGCCAACAATAAAATTCACCAGCCAAAATAGTTCTTTTGCAAACCAAACAGTCTTAACTGTTAACTAATTTTGCGACTCCCCACCCTTCCATTATCTTAGAAAGGGGTATAAGTAAGGCTACTGCTGACGAATTCTTTAGTATTCCTGGGACGTCCAGGGGGATCGGATCTCGCGAGTCGGGAGTCTACCTCTGGCCATTAGGGAATCGCTAACCGTTGCTGACCATTGATGGTCACCAATGACGGTTGCTGACCACCAATAACCACTCATTAATATTTGTTACAAGTAGTAAGTTTATTTTATTTGATTGTTTGGTGTCGATTCAACTTTGTTTGTCTATCCAATTTTGTTCGATTATTGTGAATGTTTCTTTTCTCTATTTCTACTTCTGCATTATTTATCGAATTGGTATGATTGTTTTAATATGTATAACATTGGTTTTAAATGATAATGAAGTATTGTGTTGATCCATGTACCGTGTTTCCATACTATTTCATGAATTTTTATGATACTGATCACAATACAATTTGTAGTTTTTCGTCATTGCTCAAATTCTTGTAATATTTTGCTGACATACTTAGTTCAATCGATTGGTATTTTTATGTCGACGTTATGTGTGAAATTGTTTTGATGTTGTCACTAGATATATGTATGATAATAAAATTTTACCCAATGAGAAATTTCTCGTTTCAAAGAATTTGTTGCTTCTTAGGCTGATGTACCTAGCATCATCGTCTGTCGATTAATTAAAATTTTCACTTTGTAGTTATTTCTGAAAATCTTGTGAATTTTTAACTGAGTATACTGCTAATAGAATAGGACTTATAATAATATGTATCATTTAACTTATTAGCATTTTCACTTTTTTATCGTGTGTCAATTTTCTACATTTCTTTAGGTATGTTTAACATCGAGGAAATAATTGTATTCTGTGTATGAAATTTCTCAATTTCGTAGCTTGTCCATCTAATAAAGACTTTTCTACGTTTGCTAACTTTACCAATTTCAGTAATTCAATCGACTACTGGTTCTTTTATCAGATCGATAATGATCAGTATTCGATCCTTTCTTTTGATAAAAACGCAAAGATCGAACTCGCTGTATCCAAAACCAAGAATCCGTCAGAATAAAAGTTCTTCGTAACTGTTTTCAACCTCTGTTTCAGAACATCCAATATGGCGGAGCCACGTGGCTGACCAGCGTACACAATCACCTCACTTACCTTCAAATTAATAATATGTTTTAACCACAGCTTTCGATTCTGGGCCGATAATCCGTTGGTTTTAATATTAGTAGGCGTAAAAAGTAAACACGACGCATCTGAAACACTACGCACTGGATAAACTTAACTTTAACAAATATATGCTTTTATTGTACTATTCGTATACAATAAATACAAATTTTTTGTAAGATCTGCTGGACGAAACAAAAGTCACTTAACGTATAGGAAATAATCTTAACAAATTATGAACCATTATTAGTTCACCATAAATTTCTTCTTTGAGCGAGCGAAATTTAAAAGTTTAAATTGATTTTAATCTATTTCAAGTTTCTTGAAAGTCCCTTCGACACCGAAAAGTTCATTCGCAGTCTTGCTTTTACCGATACGCAAAGATTCGTCCACCGCGGCCAATTTTTCTTCTTCGATGAACCATTCTCGTTTACTATCGATTTCCTTTATTTGATCGCTGTGTATTTTCGATATCGGTCCCGCCTTTCCGCCGACCTCGTTCGGGAGCACGTCGAGAGAAATGAACTCTTCCAACGTTTTCAAGGACGAATGTAAATGTATCTGAAATTAATAGAATTTAAAAAAAATAGTGGCCTTGATTTTTTTACAGTAAAAGTATTTTTATTTTTAATTTTTCATATTGCTGTTTCTAGCTTTTGTCCGAAACAGTTTTTTGTCAGACTATTAGAAGCGTCACGCGCAAAGAAATTGAACTTGTTACGTGCATTGAACAAAAACTAAATTAATTTCGACAAATTTGAATAGCTTGTGTCGCGGATCTAATTAATGCATTTCTCACCATGTTCCACAATTCGCTCTTCATGAAAGGTTTCGCCATGTTCATCACCAAGTCCATCACCGGTGGAGTGTTGATGAAATGTATCCCTTTCAAACGAACAGGTATCGCTTCCTGAACGTACATCACTAGCTTCTTCATACCCATAGGGCTTATTCGACCCACATGACCCAATGACACGTTCGCCGAGTCACCGATAAAAATGTATCCGTCGCAGGTACCAGTCTTCAGGCCCACCAAATCGGACACCATGAAGAACGACTTGGTGACATCTTCGAAGGAATAGTGAATCGGATCGGAGTCCACCAATTTTCCGAAAAGTATCTTATGACCTTGTTTCGATAACTCTGGTAGTCCAGTGATGACTCTGCATGAGAGGACCAGAAGCTAATTAATTTAAAACTCAATATTTAGTTTTCTAGTGCGTAATTTTCTGATGTTCTAAACATTCAACATGGCGCTGAAGAGCGTGTTGCACGTGGGATGAACAGAGTTGGACGTGTTGTTGCAAATTGACACCCAAGAATAAAATCCATACAGTTAATTTGGAGTCAAGATGGGCCCCATCCTCGGAGATAAGCCTTTGAGAGGGCTGATAATTCTAGGTCACGGTAGATTGATGAAACCAGAGGGTAGATAACTGTTTAAGGAGGACTTTGAACCGCTGAGTGGCAAGCAGACTGCGAATCTTTATGCAAATTCATGTTTTTTATTAATATCAACCCCTAAATATAACAATTCGTATCTTACTTTAATTATTTCTTATAGTTTTGTATATCAAAATTAAAATTTCTCGTAAATACATAAACATCCGCAGTCTAGTGTTAAGTGAAAGCTTGTAAACTCAAAGGTGTGGACATACAAAGCTGGAAACCTGTTTAATCGTATTAGCGTAGGAGGAAGTTCGGTCATCTGGCTCCGTCAGGTGCACAAACTCATAATGAGGAGCAATTGAACGCAAAAGCTTTACTAGTAGTTAAGAAACTGGTGTTATGTTCGATTGTCCAAGTCTTGTCCTTGTTTGAGTTGCTGATAAACTACAGACTCAACCAGACAGGAAAGACCCAAAAAAGTCCTTACCCTTTCTATCTCCAACCATCGTAAGATATCCAAATAACGTAAATATACGACGATGCGTATTTGTGTGGGAATCAATGGACGAATGAATGATTCTTTAAACATTTATCAGTGATAATCATAAACAGTGATCGAGTCTGTCGTGAGTAACTGTGGGAGCGCAGAGTAATGAGCGAGCTAGGACGCGAATAATAAGTCTTTCATTAGCTATAAGTCAGGACTGCACAACTGGCCACAGGCTATCGCGTTTATTCCGTTTGCTTCGTCCATAGCATTATAGCTAATCGTGGAATCTGTACTGATAGCGGGAACATCTTTTAAGCGAATCAGTTCGTAACTGGTCGACGATATTAAGCAAAAAAACCAATCGTATTTATAATTAGGAGAACTTACGCGAGATTGAAAGCCTGACGCAATTCTTTCGAGCCCAAAGGGTTCCTCATCGAGAAAAACTCCGGAACGTGAGATCTAATAGTGAAGAAGTTCTCCGCCGTGGTCTTCGCCGCTTCCATGCTGTAATAATTACTGTGCAAAAACAATATCAGGTGCAGATCCGAGACCTTGGGCAGGTGTTGTTGCTTGTCGCACCATTCCCTCAGCATCTCTATATCCGAAACCTTTATTTCCGGATTCTTCTTCAGTTCCTCCTCCAACGAGAACGGATAGGGCAGGGACAGCATCCTCTTGGTAGCCATAGCTCTTGGAATCACGCTGCAAACAATAGACGCGAAATAAAGGATCGCGTCTTGATAGAACCGAGTTTTTTGTTTACTAGTGTCGGTGCTCGTGACGATCCGCCGGGTGTCCTTGAATCGTTAAACTTTTAACTAGTCATCATTGAACCGCGACCGACACGCACTCCGAACAATATCCGTTCACCTGATGCGGAAATACAGTTGTCCACGCAACGTACGATTCCTCCGGCGGCTGACAGGACAATCCCGTTTTTCCTGGCGGTCGGCCTAGACTCTCGGCGAAGACTGACGTCTTGATTTTAATTCATATCACAAATTAATCGCTACCTGAACCGGTGTGCGTGAAGTTACGGAAGCAAAGCTGACCCGTTCCAACGTTTCCATTAAGTCGCGTGTACGCTAGTTACGCGGTTAGCAACCGCTCCTTTGCTAATGCTAACTGTATCCCACTCGTTCTCACTGCTTCCTGTTCATTCTAACTACACTACCGCTCATAAGTACGTGGACACTTCCTTAGTTCTTATATCTACCTGAAAAAAATTATGATATCTTTGGTAAATTTGATTACTTTGCGTGTATTCTAGCTCGTACAGTATTAGAGAAGATATTTGAGTAATAATTTATTAAATATCTCACCGATAACTATAAAAAATTATTATATTTCCTTTTCGTCTACGTATCCGCCGCGTGCTTTTATGACCGCGTTTACCAGTCGTGGCATCCTGGCTACTAACTTTTTCATTATTTCTATATCAATGAGGTTCCACTCAGAATGTAACATTTCCCACAAATGTTTTTCTGTCTTGGGACATCGTTTTCGAACTTGTCTATCTATGTGATCCCATAGTTTTTCTATGGCATTCAAATCGGGCGATTGGGCTGGCCATACCATCATTTTCACTTCAAAATTCTCTTGCAATTGCAGTAAATAATTTCTACATATTGTAGAAGTGTGCTTCGGGTCATTGTCGTGCATAAATGTAAAATTGTGGCCAATTATGCGATGTCCAGATGGAATTGCATGTTCTCTCAGAATGTTCAAATACCATTCTTTTCTTAAAATTCCGTTTATTTTTACTAAATCTCCAGTCATATTGTTCCCAAAGCATCCCCATACCATCACAGAACGACCCCCATGCTTAACTGTGGCCACTACACAATTGTCATTTAGTTTTTCAGAAACTTTTCGGCGCACAAAAACACGTCGCTTGGAGCCAAACACTTCGAACTTCGATTCGTCAGACCATAACACCTTGTCCCAGTCTTCCAGTGCCCAATTTTTATGGCATTTAGCCCACTGAAGCCTCTTTTTCTTATTTTGTTTTTTTAACAATGGTTTTTTCACTGCAACACAGCCTCTAAGACCGCCCTCCTTAAGACGCCTTTTCACTGTCGAAACCGAAATTGTGCGGTCCCTATAATTATTAATTTCTGCAGTTATTTCGGGGGCTGCATCTTTCCTATTTCTTTTACTTATACATAGTTATAATATGACGATCTTCTGCCTCACAATGAAACTTTGTACACTTATAAAGCAGCCAAAAATAATCGACACGTATGTTTTTTTAGCTGCGGTAACTCGAGTTTAAGGGGTGAAACCACCCCTTGAAATTTTGGCTCGAAACGGCTATCTCGAAAACGGAAAGACATACAAAAAAATTGTTAATGGGCGAGGTTGATGGTTTCTTATGTACAATAACATAGTGTTAAAAAATTTAAAAAAATACAATTTGTTTATAACAAAAAAAAATTTATTAACTTAATTTTTCATTTTATTGATATTTTCATAATGACAAAAAATGACGAGCATTTTATTCCAAATCCATTGGTATGCGATTTTTTAAAATTGCCTCCTACAGTTTTGCAGATTTTGATGATTTACATCTTGCGCGCACATCCATTATGGTAGTAACCGTTCTAACTTTGATTTTAATGAAGCACTGTAGGCTTGCACTAAATCAAAGTTAGAACGGCTACTACCATAATGGATGTGCGCGCAAGATGTAAATCATCAAAATCTGCAAAACTGTAAGAGGCAATTTTAAAATATTACATACCAATGGATTTGGAAAAGTTCGGCCACCCTTGGGAAAAATTTTAATGGGAGATTCTAGAGGCCAAAATAAGACGAAAATCAAGAATATCAATTTGTTGATTGAGCCTTCGTTAAAAAGTTATTAAAAAATTAAATTAAAAAATTTCAAATCCTCCAGGAAAAAATTATTTTCGGTTGCGGGGGCCAATTACAATCATTTTTGGTCAATACATATACCCACGAAATCCTACGCACTTTCGAGAAAAAAATTCCTAATCGAAAATGTAATTTATGGCCAGAAATGTTGTCCGAAAATTTCATGCGGATCTTTAAAATGTCATAACTTCTGAACGGATTGAAGGATTTTAATTTTCAAAAATGCAAACGACGCGTATTTTAATCAAGAATACGTAGAAATCGCAAAAATATGCAAAAAGTTGATCCTTGACCCCGCAAAATGAGAAAAACCCCATAAAAATGGTCCAATCTTCAAACAGCCTTAATTCCTACAATAGTGAATATATTTCAATGAAACTTTTTTCTGAAGTAGAGCTCATAGGTACCTACAAAAAAGTATTGGCCAACTTTTTTGTAGGGCGTCAAACAAAATTATTAAAAATGAAAAACGAATTTTTAAGAAAAATCTTGAGGTGCCTAAATTTTTCAGCGAAAAAAAAAAATTTCAAATCGTTCTAAAAAAATTATTTTCAGTTGCGGGAGTCAATTTCAATCATTTTTGGTCAATATATATACCCCCGAAATCCTACGCACTTTTGAGAAAAAAATTCGAGAATATGTGAAATTTTTCAACAAAATTAAAAAATTTCAAACCATTCTGAAAAAATTATTTTCGGTTGCAGGGGTCGATTACAATCATTTTTGGTCATTACACATTCCCCCGAAATCTTGGGCATTTCGGAGAAAAAAATTCAGTACGGGCGGAACTTTAAACGTTAATAATTTCTTAACGAAGCCTCCATCAACAAATTGGTATTCTTGTATTTTTCCCGATTTTGTCCTCTAGAAGTAGTGCAAGCCTACAGTGCTTCATTAAAATCAAAGTTAGAACGGCTACTACCATAATGGATGTGCGCGCAAGATGTAAATCATCAAAATCTGCAAAACTGTAGGAGGCAATTTTAAAAAATCGCATACCAATGGATTTGGAATAAAATGCTCGTCATTTTTTGTCATTATGAAAATTTCAATAAAATGAAAAATTAAGTTAATAAATTTTTTTTTGTTATAAACAAATTGTATTTTTTTAAATTTTTTAACACCATGTTATTGTACATAAGAAACCATCAACCTCGCCCATTAACAATTTTTTTGTATGTCTTTCCGTTTTCGAGATAGCCGTTTCGAGCCAAAACTTCAAGGGGTGGTTTCACCCCTTAAACTCGAGTTACCGCAGCTAAAAAAAAATACGTGTCGATTATTTTTGGCTGCTTTATAAGTGTACAAAGTTTCATCAAAATCGAAGCCGGACCGTTCGCGATGGTTCCTTGTCAGTTGTTTTTGTGGATCTTCCAGGTCTTTTTACAGAGGAACAAACTCTTGTAACACTGAACCTATTGATGCTGTAGCTCACACAAGACTTCGAAACTCCTACTTTTTCGGCAATATTCCTTATAGAATACCCTCCTTTCGATAAAGTAACTATTTTCGTACGCATTTCGACGCTTATTTCGCTTCTTTTCGTGCCCATCGTGCTCTTCCAAGTATTTAAACTGAACTGATCTAGGCAGATCACCAGAGTGATCGCTGTGCTCTTATCTAACAGTCTTTCGTTTCGAATTACATTTCCAAATATTTATGCTACCCTGAAGAAGGCAACAGACCTCGCTCAAGTGGTGCAGCCATCGTAAACTGCGAGAAAATAGCCTTACAAACCGTACGCACGCAACGAAATATAACGCAGCTTTCCACCCATCGGATTGACTTTTATTTATTTAAGTAAATTGCATAACTAAATTGTTAAATTAGTACAACTAGAATACATTACATACATATACCTAATAGAATTTAGCAACAAACATTATTTAATAATCGAAATATACATTATATATCACAAATTTCGTGAACGCGTTAAGTGTCCACATACTTATGTGCGGCAGTGAAAAGTATCGATACTAGTAGTCTTTACAATCGCGTGTAAATTGAGAATAAAAGACCGATAGTTTATTAAGTTTTAGATACCGCTGGTTCGGTGTTGATCGACGCGTTGCAAGAACTACCTTGACTCGACCTAGTGCAAGAAGAGGAGAGAGTATTGCTACCGCAAGGGAAGGTGTTGCTGAGAATCGAAATATGTCAATCAGATGTATTTAAGGATTATACATTCTTTAACACTTTGACTGCCACGTCACCCATATATGGGTGGCGGAACTTTTGGAACTGAAACAATTACAATTCTCAAGTTGAAATGTTAAAGAGAATAATTTTGAACAGGCTTCATAAGTTTTACCGAGGTTACGAAAGTAACAAGTACGACAAGTTTTAAGTTATGTAATTTACAATTGTCTAAAATCAAAGTTTCGATCTCATAAATAATTGTACGGTTTTAGACTGGCAGTCAACGTGTTAAACTTTTACGTAAAAGCTTAGGTCTTGATTCAGTTAGCTCTAATTGGGCTCTAAAGTAGATTGAAACTGATCCTAATTTTATCAAACAAATCATCTTTATTCAGTACGCAAAATTGTCAGAGAAGAGATGCTAAGCCTTGGGACAATAGTCGAGAGACTTTCGACGTGCAACTGTCGTCTGGCCGCCAAGACCTTGCGTCTCGACGCCATTACAGTTTCTCTGTTGGACCACAGTGGCATCAGAACTACCGACAATTATGGTATATTTATTCGTATCAAAGAAATTACAGCGATAGAAACTTAAAGAAATGTATAATGCAATGGAAACAAATATTTATCCTTTCTCGTTATAAAAAACTGCGATTTTGCAAGAATTCAATTTGTATTAGACATAACGAATGGGCCATTTTACCCATTTCAGTTGTTTTGGTGTTAAGTCTCTCGTTTATTCCAACAAACTACAAACCGTTTTCATTATTAGTGAGATGAAGTCTGACTTGTGCGCTAGAGTCATCGAAAATTCGATTTATCGTATTCAATCTACCAAACGCAATTGTGGTGGTCATTTAATGGCGAAAACACAGTAAGCACCAGATTATTATAGTAATTCATTTTATTTCAATTCAAAGTTAAAATATTTCACAATGAATAAATAAAAATTGTTCTCCTCGGTCGATCGAATATCTACTGTTCGAATAAAATTTTGTTCCTTTTTTCTAAAATAACTTCACGTCTGTTCGCGTTAATTAATTTTCACGGGGGTAGATCGGAAATTATGAAAGCATCCGCCGACATGAAAGAAGTATTCACAGACACGAAAGAATCGCGATGCTTTCTAATTTAATCATTTTCTGATCTAATTCCCCCCGTTGGTTTCATTTTAGAAACGTACGTTTCTGCCGCATGGCCACCCATGAAATGTTTCGGAAGGCGGCGCACTATACAATATACGTAGTACTCTACAATATTGTGTGAAATAATGTGAACACTGGTTATTGCATTAGAAAAATACTTTATTCGTCATAAAAGCAGCTTTATGAAAAAATACAATATGGTACGTTGACTTTCTAATAAGGAATACAGGGTGTTCGGCCACCCCTGGAAAAAATTTTAATCGGGAATTTTAGAGACCGAAATAAGACGAAAATCAAGAATATCAATTTCTTGGCTGCGGCTTCGTTAAAAAGTTATTAACAATTAAATTAAAAAATTTCAAATCGTTCTGGAAAAATTATTTTCGGTAGCGGGGGTCAATTACAATCATTTTTGGTGAATACATATACCTTCGAAATCCTACCCACTTTCGAGATAAAAAATCGGGTAGATGCAGAAATTTTTCGACAAAAAAAATTTTCAAATCATTCTAAAAAAAATATTTTCGGTTGCGGGAGTCAATTACAATCATTTTTGGTGAATAGGCATACCCCCGAATTCTTGCGCATTTTCGAGAAAAAAATTCAGTACGTGTGGAACTTTAAATGTTAATAACTTTTTAACGAAGCCTCCATCAACAAATTGGTATTCTTGATTTTCGTCTTATTTTGGCCTCTAGAATCACGTATTAAAATTTTTCCCAGAGGTGGCCGAACACTCTGTATATCCTTCTTTGAGAAAAATGAATTTTTCTACCCTTCTCGGCATGGCATTAATTAACTTCTGACAATTTTTTAACATTTGCTAATCGAGGAACCAAACCTAGTTTACTCTGCTTCTGTTATTTTTTTTTATTGGTTTAATCCATCTGAAAAACTCTGGCCTTGTATACATTCCTCAGATTCAAATCGAACAAATTTCCAGGCGAAACCAAATAACTTGGTCTTTTCTCTCGAAAATACCGCTGCATAAACTTCGATGCGTGTAATATATTTTTAGAATTTTTATTTGCTCCAATTTATAGACAAAAGCTAGCAGTACGTTTGATAAAAAGCGCAATATTATTTCGCCCCCAATTTGCTAATTGAATTCATTAATAAGACTTATCTGGCAGATCTTACCATAATTATAACATTAATTATTTGATAGTTAATTACACATAACATTCACCCACTTTGTTCCTTTTTACAAAACTGTAATTCCTTTCTCATTTAATAACGAGCTTCGATAGTATCTTTAATATTAATAATATTAACGACATTGATTTCAAAATTATTTGTACCAGATTTATAGTTGAATTTAAAAATTGTATTACTTATGTAACACGTTCATTTCATAATCGTTTTATGAATACATAAATAGGATATACGGCGTAATAAAAGTACAACGTGATTCATCAATCTTATATTTTTTTTTTTTATTCATTCCATTTACAGCCAAATACATTTATACTAATTGACTTAGTACAGTCTTTGAGGTGGTCCCATGGAAGATTTTATGTGAAGCGAACGCACGTTCTGCCAATGTTTCTTTAGCAATGAAACCAGGAAGTTAATTGAAAGGTGTACATTTTGTACCAATTCATCCGGAGACATTTCCACGTGTCCTACAGCTACTGATAGACACAATACCTGGGAACAAATGCATTAAATTACAATTTTTATAATATAATACTTTGTTTAATATTAACTATATGTTATATTAAACATTTAATTGTTTAATTGTTTTTCTGCTGCAAATATCCGCGCACAAATATACTTATTAAAAGTAGCGACTGACGCCCATGTAAATGGACATTTACTCTTTATAAAAATTAAAATTATTATAAATACAAGATCGAGCGCAAATAGAGTTGAGTTGACTGTTTATACAAGTTACATTGATATATAATTGCTAACAATTTTTTAAATTACAAAGCATACCTTTTTCATTTGAAACTTTATTGTAGCTTTCACTTCATCAATTTTTCCAACCATTGATTCCTGGTGCGACAAAAGACCAGGGAATTTACCAGCCTTGTTAAGACCAGGACCAAGAATACGTGGAATCTGTTTGATTAAAGATTCACTGGCCAAGAAAGCATCATACTTCTTAGCTAAAAAAAAATAGAAGATTGGTTAACGTTTGATTTATAACATCAAAACGCGAAATTAAGAATAAGTTAAAAACGTGTCTCAACACGGATTGAGGTATGAAGCATAGAAACGCAACACCCTCACCTAGTGAAGAATTTAATCTTCTTCCATTCGACAACCACAGCTATAAGGATATTTAAGTAACAATGGTGCTTTTTTGGAAGACAAAATACCGCATTTATAAAATTACGATTTTCTAATTACCTAGTTTCTTAACAAGCTTTTTGTTCTTGTTCAATTTCTTCAATGCTTCAGCATCCATATATGGAATATTATTAGCTTTAGCTTCGTCACAATGTTGCTGATCACCCAGAACACAAACTTGCATTTTTGGCCTTGGTATATTCTTCAATCTTTAATAAAGACAATTTAGATAATTACTTGCAATGGCAGTGTCTTTAATAATATTATATTTTTATATCTTTAACAAAATTTAGCCTTGATTCGGATATTATAAAACAATATACAAAACACTATATTAGTCAATTGATTTTTAAAGAGTTGCAAATACAATCATCAAAGTCAATGTTCTCAGCAATGTAACAAATGATCCACATAAATCATTCGGATAATACATGCAATAAATTGTACCATCACAGAACATGGGTTTCAATAATTGAATCAATTTAATTTTCACCACATTATATATTAACTTACCAGCAGGACCATAAGTCATGATCCTGTAATAAAAATAATGGTAATAAAACCTCCCCAATTTATTTAAGACCCTGGGTGAAGGTCCGCTTAGGTAAAACCCAGCTTCCTGACTTTACATGAGACAATCTTTCCGGGTATTAGCGAAAAAAAGGAACTTTACTAATAAACATTAAATGCCGAAAAGAATCCTCAATGTCAGGTAGAAACATACTTGACGGTGCCTGAGAAACGTTTGTCTTTTTGCGGATCATAATTCTTCAAACCAATTTGGAGTTCCACAGTTTCTAAGAATTTCCTTTTTTTATCTTGCGAGTTTTGAATGACAGAGTTTACACACTCGTAGAGTGTTTCACGCGATACTTTGGACCTGTTGGATAAAATCATTTTCCTAAGTAAAGTTACAATTACAATATTTCAAGATAAAAACAAATATAAAACGATAGAAATTGATAAAAAAAATCATATTATGTAATTTTATAAACAATTTTGCAAAATATTACGAACAGGCGTACGGGTACATACAAGATTGTAACAAAATGCAAGGCACCACGAGGTACGAAAATTAAACCACTATAATGTCCGAAATCATTTTTATCTGATAAAAATATTAGTAACCACTTTCGAATTATATATTAAGAGAAACATTTTTAACAAAAACGAACAACTAACTCGCCAGATTGTTAAAATATGGATAGATTAAATACTCACGTCATTTCAACTGTGGTAGAAGACGAACACCGGACTAGACAACCGACCGATAGCCCGTCTCAAACCGGAAAGAAACGTTGTTATGCGGAGTGCGGCGTGTGGCCAGTGAACAGTGATGGACATTCGTGGGAATTTTGATCATGCGCACTGAAGCGCTTCAGTGCGCATGATCACTGCCGTATACACTTCACTAGAATTTAGGGTACCGTTGGATCCCAGTAAGGAACAAAATTTAAGGAAGTTACAGGGAAAGCGACAAAAACAAAAAATTTCCTCTTAATCTACGTGAGTATAGTTAGAGAAATACGTAGGGGATTTTCGATAAGTTAATTTTTGTGTGATTGGCAAGCATTTGAAGTAGAAAGTTCAATTTTGTATAAAACATGGGAATTCCCAACATGCATCTCCTTTTGCGCTAAAGATACATCTATGGTAGCGGACGACAAGTAGCTGTGACGTCAGCTTACGAATGCGCAGAAAGGAATCCTACGAGGGAAAATTCCAGTGCGCATGACCAAAATTCCCACGATGTCCATCACTGCGTGTGGCAAGAAGCAGATATTACGTTTGTACAAGGAATTTATCTGTGTAGATAGGAACACGTACGGTTATTTTAAGATCTCGTATTGTAGTTCATTAAATTGACACATGTGGCGCACCAGTAATATGCAGGATGAACAGTGATGCCAGATTGAGCACCGGGTGCACTATTCACACTATGCCAGATCACGCGTACGTGAGCTCGTGGAGTTTCGGAGAGTCGACAAAGGCAAACCGACACATGCCCTCTTTCTCGAAGGCTCACATTTGCCTTCTCGCTCTTGGACAACTGAAATTCGACCTCACGTCAATGGCATTTCAGATATCACTTCTGATACATCTGGCAAAGTATAACCATTACTGCTAGCTACTGCCAGCCTCTCGTAGCTTCTGCTGGCTTCTGCTGGCCACTGCTGACCACACCTGATACTTTCGACAACGTATAACGATTACTACTGGTTACTGCCAGCCTCTCCCAGCCTCTGTTGGCCTCTCCTGACCTCCGCTTATATTTCGGACAACGTATGACAATTACGACTGACTTCTGCCAACCTCCGTTGGCCTCTGTTGACCATTGCTGATCTCTACATGCCTTTACTGGTGGCTAACTTGAGTTATCAGGTAATGTCATAAAATTGTTTTACTTAGTTATACCCTTTTTTACCTGAAGTATAAGGTACGACTAAATGTACTTTTGAATTTTCCTACAGTCCTCCGATGGCCTCTGCTGACCGCTGCTGACCACTTCTGATACTTCTGACAACGTATAACGATTACTACGGGCTACTGCCAACGTCTCCCGGCCTTTACTGGCTTCTGCTGGCCTCTGCTGACCGCCGCTTATATTTCTGGCAACGTATAACGATTACTACTGACTTCTGCCAGCCACCGCTGGCCTCTGCTGACCGCTGCTGACCACTCCTGTTACTTCTGACAACGTATAGCGATTACAACGTGCTATTGCCTGCCCCTGCTGGTCTCTGCTTGCCTCTGCTGTCCCCTGCTGTCCCTTGCTGGCCACTGCTGACCAACGCTAACCTTTGTTGACAATTTCTGATATGATGTATATATATTAAAGCCTTGTATAATGTAAATCTATGGCAATAAATTATATAATTTAACAGAATTCTATGTGTTCTCATCATTTTTACCTTTCTTTTCCTCTCCAAATCATTGCCTTAGTTTTAAGAGACCGTTTTTCCGGTTAAAATTGGATTCCCAAACTGTGAACCAGCTGGAAAGTCCTGAAACGACTGGAAAGTACTGAAACAACCGGAAAGTCCTGAAACGACTGGGAAGTCCTGAAACTCCTTTGGAAGTCCCGGACCAGCTGGAAAGTCCTGAAACAATTGGAAAGCCCTGAAACAACTGGGAAGTCCTGGAATTTCTTGGAAACCCTGAATTTTTAGCAAAGTTCTGAGTTTCAGGACTTCCTAGTGGGTTCAGGGAAACCACGGAGTTTCAGGGAGTCTTATAACTAAGGTAATGATTTGGAGAGGAAAAGAAAGGTAAAAAATGATGAGAACACATAGAATTCTTTGTAATTATATCATTTATTGCCATAGATTTACATTATACAATGTTTTAATACATATATATCATGGCAGAAGTTGTTAACAAGGTTCAGCAGTGGTCAGCAGTGGTCAGCAGAGGTCAGCAGGGGTCAGCAGGGGACAGCAAAGGCTTGCAGAGGCAAGCAGAGACCAGCAGGGGCAAGCAGTAACATGTAGTAATCGTCACACATTGTCGGAAGCATCGGTGGTGGCCAGCGGAGGCCAGCGGAGGCCAGCAGTGGCAAGGAGTGGCAAGCAGAGACCAGCAGGGGCAAGCAGTGGCAAGTTGTAATCGTTATACGTTGTCGGAAGCATCAGGGGTGGTTAGCAGTGGTCAACGGAGGCCAGCGGAGGTTGGCAGAAGTCAGTCGTAATTGTTATACGTCGTCAGAAATATAAGCGGAGGTCAGGAGAGGCTGGGAGAGGCTGGGAGAGGCTGGCAGTAACCAGTAGTAATCGTTATACGTTGTCGGAAGTATCAAGTGTGGTCAGCAGTGGTTAGTAGTGGCCAGCAGAGGCAGACAGAAGCCCGCACATGTTGGCAGAGGTTAGCAGAGGCCAGCAGAAGCCAGCAGAGGCTGCGAGAGGCTGGCAGTAGCCAGCAGTAATGGTTATACGTTGCCAGATATATCAGAAGTGATATCTGAAATGATATACATATGTACGCTCACATATAGGAATAATAAAAATGAATTTATTTTTGTTCAATAATTCAAATATGATGAGGGTGTCTTAAAACGTGTATTTCCGTAAGAAAAATTTCACCAAATTTTTTTCGTTATAGTACCTTGCATATGTGCGCCTACATAGGTCGGAAAGTAAAAAATACCTGGCCAGTTGAGACTTGGAATCGTATACCGTCGACGTGAATCGAGAAAGGGGGCATGTGCCAGTTTGCCTTTGTCGACTCTCCGAAACTCCACGAGCTCACGTACGCGTGATCTGGCATAGTGTGAGTAGTGCACCCGGTGCTCAATCTGGCATCACTGTATGTGCATTACCGTTTTCTAAATGCACGTTGTTCAAAAAGCGACACATCTGGTTTACTAATATACTGCATGCTATTTTGTCCTAACCTTAAAAGTAAACAACTGTAATCAGTGTGGCCAGATCGGGCATAATTGAGTGCATCGAAATCGACAACAGTGACGACGAACTTCCTTAGCGTCTAACGGAATGGTGGGGATAGCAGGCATACGCTACCGCACGAGCCACGTGTACGTGAGCTCGGCGCTTGCGCACAACTTCGGGAAATCGATAAAGAACGCTAGTGTGAGCCTTTCCTTCTTGCTCTTGTAAAAGACAAAACAACTGAAATACGATCTCGCGATAAGTGGCATACGATTCCAAGTCTCGACTGCCCCAGCATTTTTACTTTCCGACCTATATGTAAGGTATAAGGAAATTTATAAAGTATCATAATGAAAAAAATTTTGAAGTTTTTTTTTAGCGGAAATACACGTTTTAGGACCCCCTGATCATATTGTGACTATTGAAAAAAAGACATTTTTTTTGTTCCTCAACGACTAACAATAAGTGAATTTCAATAACGAAAAAAATATTTCGAAATTTTTTTTTAGCGGAAATACACGTTTTAGGACCCCCTCATCATATTGTGACTACTACAAAAAAACATATTTTTTTTTTGTTCCTATGCTATTGACATGATTGCGTCTAAACGGCTGAATGAATTTCAATGAAACTTAACATTTAAGTTTTATGTTCTCGTTTTAAGGTCTCATTATATTTTAAGCGTGATCAGCTCCCATATAATGATGATTATACGTTTTTAGTTTTATAATTATTTCGATACATACACATCATTTGTAACAAATTTTTAAAGCGATTTATATAAATCTTAAGAAGGATTAAGATCAAATATATTTTTCTCCTATCTTTCCTAGACAGGAAAAATTAAACGAAATCTTATGCCTTGCATACCTACCTAAACCACATAAAAAACGTATTCCACAAATATTTTAGAATAATGTTGTTCAAAGCAGTCTTACTCGTAAAGGGTTAATTAAGGGTTAATTAAAATGAAAAACCACTCTTAGCCAGTACCGTGCACGCTACAAAAATAGATTACTACTGACTTTTCCCACTATGTTTTTTAATAACCGTATCAAATTGTTACACACAATCAAATGTTATATATTTGACTTAACTTTACATAACAAAATAATTGTAACGATAGGTAAAAGAATAACGTGCACGCTACCGTTCAATGGAAACCACGGGAAGGTGGTGGTCACTTCCATCAGGAGGGAAATGTAAAAAATTGTTATTTCTTTGTAACATTATCACATGCCGTATATTAAAATGTTTTTATTAATGTAATGAAATTACAATATAATGAAAAACTAACTCGTGAATGCATTAATTTTTATTAATATACACACGAGCCATAAAAATGGAAAAATGATATAATTGTTTACATTTCCAAAGGATGGGATGTCGGGATAGGACGTTTGCGATTAAGCTGGCACGTTATGTCGTGCATTGTTGCTCTTACGGTACCGTGACGTAAGTGTAACAAGGCGCGACATTCTACGTCATAGCCACACTATCTACAGCAAGCAATTTCACTAACTAAAAATATACGGCAAAATATAAGCAAATAAATGAAGAAAAAAAATGATAGTTAGAGCAAGCAGAATAGTATTTACAGCAAGCGAAATACGTAAAAAGAGTAACAACACGAGACAAATTGAACGACTATTTACATATTAGCGATGTCCAAAAAAAAATATTTTGGACATCACTAACAAGACTGCGGTTGCAGTGTAAGCGCTTTCGCGTGACGTTATGGCACATACATGCATCACACCTTGTTGCGCCTACGTCACGGTACCGTTGACGTAACAAGACCAGTCTACCGCGACGTCGCATGAAAATGTTTATACTGTCATTGCAGCCTAATAGTACGAATTTACTAAAGAGCTTTTCTCTGGAGAGAAAAATCTCTCTAGAGAAAAGCTCTGTAGTAAATCGGTACCTTAATTTTCGTCATATGACGTAGCGGGAAAATTCTCAAAGTTATTGTCATATGTTGCGTTTAATCTTAAATTACACTTTTGCTTCTTAGCAAATCTATGATATAAATTTTTGGAATACAATAGAGCTAGATGATCGTCATCTACCTCCATGGGTTGAGAGTTTTCCCTCTGCGCCTTTAACGAAGATTTCACAACGCAAATAGAGTTGACGCTGGCCGAAGAAAGTTTATTCCGTTTCTTTGTTTTTATGTCAGGTAACATGGAAAACAATCTTTCTGCATCGGCATTGGAATTTGGAAGTGATCTAATTGTATTTACTAATTCAGGAAATTTAATTTTATAGTCCAAATTTCGCGTTAATAAAATTGTTTTCCAGAAACCATCGAATTTCATCTCGATAAGCGTCTGTCTACCTTTCGTTGTAAATTCCAAAGGCAATACTGACCATTCTGTTTGCAGTCCTTCTTCGTCGAAACCGCCGAATTTCTTAGCGATTAAGAGAACATTTCTGAAGGAAATGTCTCTATTTGTATCATTTAATATAAAAGTTGGTTCAAAAACATACAACATGCTAAGAATTGCTCGACGAAGACATGCTCGTTTGCAGCTGTAATATAAAACATTAAACAATTTTTCCTTACGGTTTCTACGATGTCGGACTTGCCTTCTGCATTCAGTTGATGCAGAAAATTAAGACACTCTGTTCCTAAATTTATACTATTAAATGGAAGTTGATTTTCGACTACAGAAAAATTCATCATTCTTACTAAATCTATGTGTTTCAAAAGCTGCGGTTTCAGAAAATTGCGTAATATATCGCATAAAAGTTCTGCCGCAGTCTTTTGAAGCAAATGAATTCTTGTCTCTTGAGTTTGAAAGAAAATGCTAAATTTATAAAAAAACTCAAGAGCGTAATTTAGAAAATAAAGATATGCTTTGGCCTCTGGATTTTGCATCGAGATTAACAGACGTTCCCCGGACTCTGATTTCTCGCTTATTGTCAATTCTTGCAAAAAAAGCAATACAGAGTCCCAATTCTCTAAAAGTGTAACTACGGATGTATAATGCGATAACCATCGCGTAGAACACAATTTTAAAATTTTTCTGTCGGTTGTTTGAAAACATTGCTGAAATTCGCGGAATATAGCCGAACGTTTGGGACTACTGTATATGAAAGTTGCTACTTTTCGTAACAACTCCTCGCATATGTCTGGAATGGTATTGCACGCTTCGCGCACTACCATTGCAGACAGATGACATGGACAGCGGACAGTCAAAAATTTGTCCCTGCATTTTGTTGCAAGCTTTGTCATAAAGGACGAGTGTCGCCCTGTCATGACAGCAGCGTTGTCACATGACAACGCGACAATATTTTCGAACGGAATTTCTCTTTCTATCATGGCAATTTCAAATGTTTTATATAAATTATCTGCGTCACAATTTCTGGCATCAAGATGTAATAATTCTACCAATTCCGTTCGAACATCCAAAGTCTCGGGTGCAACATAACGAACAAGAAACGTCATCCATTTCTCGTTGGTCGAGTCGGATGTTTCGTCAATATAAATAGAAAATTTAGTGTTTTGTAAAACACTAGAAATACGTTTTGTTTCTAAAGGATACAAAACGTTTGATATAATATTTGAACACTTTGTTCGACCGAACGACATATGTTTCAAGACATCAGGATCTTGCCCAATGTCTTTGAAAACTTCAAGAATCGTCTCTGCGGTTCGATACGGAATATTTTTTTCGGCTATTAATTTGGCAAATTTGATTTCCGCGGATTTTATCCTTTCATCCAACGACAGAGGCGATTCTTCGGATTGCGTCGTAAAATTATTATTCAAATTGTCTGCGTTATCGTTACTCTTTTTATAATTCTCAATGTGACACTGAGAATCTGCATGATTATAAATCGTCGATAATCGACATGAAAATTGATTGTTGCAAACCGAACAGAACCACGAATAAGGGTCGCCATCGACTTTATGCAACCATGGCTTGAAATAATCATTCTCAAGCCATTGAGGCATAAAAGTCCTTTTAGAAGTACTATTTTTTTTATGACACCCAGATTCTCCGTGTCTATACACGTTTGAGGAACCGCAAGAATAAGACTTATTGCATAAAGTACAATAAAAACGACTTCTATCATGGGGTACTGCACGTATCCATGATTTAAATCTATGATCATTTATCCATGAAGATAAAAAACCGCGCTTACACTTATTCTTCGATTTCACAACCGTTTCCATGATATAAAAGCAGAAAAGCGAAAGAACAGAAAATTACAGAATACCTACGCGAAAGCTTTTTTTCAATTTAAATGTCTCAGAATGACCTACGGCACGTACGAAATAAAGTTCTATTGAATGAATAGCAGTATATAGACGACAATTTAATATATTTCATTTTGCAGAAATGAATTTAGAGGGGAATCAAAAAAAAAGGAAAGAAGAATATAGACGTTCTAATATATGGCATGTGATAATGTTACAAAGAAATAACAATTTTTTACATTTCCCTCCTGATGGAAGTGACCACCACCTTCCCGTGGTTTCCATTGAACGGTAGCGTGCACGTTATTCTTTTACCTATCGTTACAATTATTTTGTTATGTAAAGTTAAGTCAAATATATAACATTTGATTGTGTGTAACAATTTGATACGGTTATTAAAAAACATAGTGGGAAAAGTCAGTAGTAATCTATTTTTGTAGCGTGCACGGTACTGGCTAAGAGTGGTTTTTCATTTTAATTAACCCTTAATTAACCCTTTACGAGTAAGACTGCTTTGAACAACATTATTCTAAAATATTTGTGGAATACGTTTTTTATGTGGTTTAGGTAGGTATGCAAGGCATAAGATTTCGTTTAATTTTTCCTGTCTAGGAAAGATAGGAGAAAAATATATTTGATCTTAATCCTTCTTAAGATTTATATAAATCGCTTTAAAAATTTGTTACAAATGATGTGTATGTATCGAAATAATTATAAAACTAAAAACGTATAATCATCATTATATGGGAGCTGATCACGCTTAAAATATCATGAGACCTTAAAACGAGAACATAAAACTTAAATGTTAAGTTTCATTGAAATTCATTCAGCCGTTTAGACGCAATCATGTCAATAGCATAGGAACAAAAAAAAAATGTTTTTTTGTAGTAGTCACAATATGATGAGGGGGTCCTAAAACGTGTATTTCCGCTAAAAAAAAATTTCGAAATATTTTTTTCGTTATTGAAATTCACTTATTGTTAGTCGTTGAGGAACAAAAAAAATGTCTTTTTTTCAATAGTCACAATATGATCAGGGGGTCCTAAAACGTGTATTTCCGCTAAAAAAAAATTTCAAAATTTTTTTTCATTATGATACTTTATAAATTTCCTTATACCTTACATATAGGTCGGAAAGTAAAAATGCTGGGGCAGTCGAGACTTGGAATCGTATGCCGATTATCGCGAGGTCGTATTTCAGCTGTTTCTCTTTTACAAGAGCAAGAAGGAAAGGCTCACACTAGCGTTCTTTATTGATTTGCCGAAGTTGTGCGAAGTGCCGAGCTCACGTACACGTGGCTCGTGCGGTAGTATATGCCTGCTATCCCCACCATTCCGTTAGACGCTAAGGAAGTTCGTCGTCACTGTTGTCGATTTCGATGCACTCAATTATGCCAGATCTGGCCACACTGACTGTAATAGCATGTTATTCAATGGCATGAACGTTTTACATCTTATAAGATTTATGTGTGTTAAGCTAGATTAATTTATAGCAATTACTGTGAATATTATCAATTATCGAATTGTAATATATTACTGTTGAAGTGGATGTACAACATGCAGAATACAAATTATAGTGCGTAATGTTGTATATTTTATTGTTAACGATAAATGTTAAATAAAGTTATTTCCTATAAATTCTAATTAACATTTTTACGAATACAACAGAAAATAGGGGTGACAAAAAGAAACTCTCTTGGATCTACAGAAAGAAAACGAAATTACAGAAGTCTAATAAATCAACAGAAAATAGAAATAATGATACAGACGAAAATAAGAAGCCTAGAATTATTGTGCGTAATTTATCGTTTAAGGTTGGTATTTTTTATAATAATAAAGTGTGAAAGTTAAAATAATGTATTTGTATTGCCATATTTATGTTTATTACCTTGTGTTATTAGGCAACGGAAAATGACATCAGAAAGTTTTATGAACCATTTGGTCAAATAGAAGAAATAAATGTTCTAAAACGTGAGGATGGTACCTTAGTAGGATGTTGTTTCATTCAATTTAAAAAGTTAGAGGATGCATCAAAAGCAATATTTAATACACACAAGAAAGAATTTCATGGTAATATTTTACTCTGATTATTTATAATAGAGTCAATCTGATAATTATCTTGTTGAAGGGAATATGGTACTGAATGTTTTGGAGTAAATAAATATTTGTTGTTCACTTTTAGTAAATTATTATTTTAAAATTATAAAAATCTAAATACCTATTAAAATATATTTTTAGGTAGAGTAATAAGCAGTAGTTGGGCAGTTCCAAAATCTAAATATTGTGAAAAATTGCAAGAATTTAAAAAAAATTCAGAAAATACAGAAAATTACAATGCAGAGAAATATGAAGAAAAAGAACAAGAAGAAGAAGAAGAAGAAGAAGAAGAAGAACCATTTAAAAGGGAGGAGTTTATAAAAAGAAAGCAAGAAAGGAGAAAAGCTCTGAAGGAAAAAAATCGTAAAAAAAGAGCAAGGATTGTGATAAGAAATTTGTCTTTTCAGGTAAGAGATGGTTCTAAATGCATTGTGTCTAATTCATTCCCATATATTCGTATCATTCGTTATTATCATTTCAGGTGACAGAAGAAAACTTAAAAGAACATTTTTCTCAGTACGGAACAATAGAAGAAATAAAGCTTCTAAAAAGAGGCGATGGGAAACACGTCGGATGCGCATTTCTGCAATTCGAACTTGTACAAAGCGCAGCAAAGGCCATACATTATGCCAATTTGCAACCGCTTTTAAATAGACCTATCGTCGTTGATTGGGCAGTGCCCAAGAATAAGTTTTCTAAGGACGATTCAGAGAATGTAAAAGACGATGTAGAAGTAAAAATAGAAAAGGAAAGCGATACGGAAGAAGCGCACGAAGAATTAGGTAGGTGAGTAATTTTTTTGTTACTACGTTATAAAACTATTTTTTTACACCGTACATCGATTTTTTTTTTTTTATGTTATAGCAGTGATAAAGAATGTGTAGATGCCGCAGGGAATAACGAATCCGATAGTGAAGATATAACATCGGAAAATGAGGACGTTATTTCAGATGAGAAACTATTGGAAGATGACGAAGTATCCGTAGATGATCAAAAAGAAGATATGGATGAACAAACAGAAACAAAAGATGTAAAGGAAACAAAACTTCCACGATACGAGTCTCACGACGTTTCGGAGGGGAAGACCATATTTTTAAAAAATTTACCATTTTCTGTGAAAAACGAACAATTGAAAAATTACATGCAACGATTTGGACCCGTTTATTATGCACTTGTATGCATGGATCCGCTCACTGAATATTCAAAGGGTACGGCTTTTGTTAAATTCAAGGTAAATATTTATAACGGATGTTTAATAGTTATTTTAATATACGAATTTTCATAAAAATTTTATGACAGAATGTTGAGGATGCTGACAAATGTCTGTCAGCAGGAAAGGAGTTAGAAATAGAGGATCAAATAGTCGAAGCACAAAAGGCGATAGACAGAAACGAAATCACCAATAAAGCAAATTTGAAGCAGGTTAAATACAAAGATTCCAGAAATTTGTATCTGGTGAAAGAAGGAGGTAATGCAATATAAAGTTTCGATTATACTTCGGTAAGTCAATAAATTTTGATTTTTTAGTTATATTGGCTGGAAGTCCAGCTGCTTCTGGAGTATCAGCAGCAGATATGGCGAAACGATTACAAATAGAACAATGGAAATCACAGATATTACGAAATTTTAATATGTTTGTATCGAGGGCTCGACTAGTGGTTCACAATATACCACCTACTTTGGACGATGCTAAGCTCAGAAAAATTTTCGAAAAATATGGCCCAACAAACGCAATTATTAGAGAGGTATCCTTAAATCCAAATATTGCATACATGTTGATTGTACAAAAAAAGACTAAGAATTGATTTTATAAAGGCACGTGTCATGCGAAATCTCAAAGACATTGATACGAAAGGAGTAGGAAAATCGAAGGAGTATGGATTTGTTTCATTTACAAAACACGAAGACGCGCTTCAAGCTCTGAGAAGCGTAAATAATAATCCGAATGTATTTACTCCAAAAAAGGTATGCGTAGCAAGTAATTTTGTAATATTTCAAATATCTTTTTCACAAATTCTTGAATTTAAAACTATACAATCTTGTCTTTTCTTTTAAAAAGAGACCGATAGTGTCTTTTTCGATAGAAAATCGGATTATGGTGAACGCTAAACGAAGAAGAGTTGAAAAAAGTCGCGAGAACAATCCTCTTTGGTCGGGAAATAAAATAAAAAGGAAAGGAGAAGACACAAATGTAGAAGTTTCCACGAAAAAGTTGAAACCTGGGAAAGCAGACGAGTTGAACAAGAAACCATACGCTGGAATGGTTGGGAAACCGGGCGAAAATAAATTACGTTCGAAATTTAAGTTGAAAACCCAAGCAAAGTTACATAACGAGACGGTGAAGAAAGAGAAAAAATTAAACAAATCTTCTAAGAAGTTACAAGAAAAAAGAAAACAGAGGAATGAAAATAAAAAAGTAGTTAAGGTAAGCAGCACTGTAATTATATCAGTGTACCACCTATTAACGCGAACTAGAATTATTGATAGCATTAATCGCGTGTTTCTCTTTACAGCCAAAACAAAGAACAAAGACAAACGCAGCTGACGCAAATTTAGATAATCTTGTAAATATATATAGGGACAAATTACAATCTATAGAATTGAGAAAGTCTAAATGGTACGAATCACAGGATTGAACTATTCGTGTATAGTAAACATTAAAAAGCTATTAAAAGGTTACTTGTCTCTGTTTGTAATGTAAGAATAATAATGTTTCAATATGTTTAAGTTTCATGTAATTATATTCAATAGAATTTTCGGTAAAAAAATTTGCTACGGTCTTAATTATACGTCTGACAAAATAGACAGTGTCTAGAAACATAAGGAAAAAAGTAAGTATTTATATTTAGTTTCGAGTTTCGATATCTCGCAATGTTCCGGTTCCGGATCCGGATTCGGGTTTTGGGTTTTAATGCAGAGAGAACATTTATCGATGTTAATTGAATTTGTAATAAGTTGTATGTAAATAATCATTTAGAAAACCCCTCTGGCCAAATTAAATGCTTGTGAAGTTTGATCTACTTTGTAAAACACTGGTTGACGTTCTGTAGGGGTTAGGATATATGTCTAACGCTTTGAAAGAAATATCGAATGAAAGTAGACAGGGATCTGCGTGGTAAATTACACGTAACGAAGAGTTCTTTCAAAATACACGAGTTTCGATAAATTCAAGTTTCCCCTCTTTGTGATTTCCTCCCACTTCGAGTTGTCCCTTTCTTTGAGACGACTATCATGCTTGAATAGTGTTTAACAGTTGGCGGGAATCGTTGAAGAATAAAAGTGTATCTCTTACCTTAGTTCTGATCGAGAGTGTTCCCATTCGTAAAGTATTCATTGTGCGCGATACACGTACCCAGAAAATCGACTATAAAACTCGTTATGCGTGATAGTTAATTTTAAACAACGTGGTCGAATGTCATACAAACTGGTTAATAAATTAATTTACCCGAATTTTATCTTTACCGAAATCACTGATTGCGATAGCATGTTCGTGTCATTTGAGAACGAACGTTTCGAACGACAGCACGTAGACTTATAATTGTGTCGTATTAAACTTTAGTTATAAGCGAAGAAGAATTTCGTTCGTATTGTGTAAGTACCAACAGATTCGTATTAAAAAATTACGTTTTACAAGAACATTGTTAGGGAAAAGTTAAAAATTATCCTTGGGGTAGTAAATTGATATAATCGCATCGTTCTTTCGTCGCGAATGTAAATTGCATTAAATAAATAATACAGTTGCAAATTAAGCAGAGTCCTTAACCTTTTCGCCGTTGAATTGATCGGCGATCAGGAATTTCTTTAACGCTGAATTAACTTCACAATTTATTTGTTAATAATCGTACATATACTTATTACTAGAACTACCGACAATTATAGTGTATTTATTTATACCAAAGAAATTAAAACACTAGATACACAAAGAAATGTGTAATACAATAGAAATAAGTGTTTATTCATTTTCTTACGGAAAATTGCAGTAAATTTTCAAAAATTCGGTCAAGTAAATTTATTAGAAATTATGACTGGGTCATTTTGACTACTTTTGGTAGTTCTAGTGTTGTATATGAAAGTTAAAAAAAAGTGAATGAAATATAAAAATTTATGATTGTACTTGTAAATACGAACTTTAATTCGATTGCACGAAAGGATGGTTGATCAAATGAAGAGCATTGTGTCATTTAGATCGCAAGTGTCAATGACGTTAAGTAAACGCAATAATAATTAGAGTATTTACGAAACAAAAACTTGGCCAAGGTAACGTTACCGCGTGTATAATAACGATGCAATTAATTTCTACATTAATCTACTGAATATCGAAATGCAAAGGTTGAACTGATTGGTTAATCTATTTGAATAAAATGGTAATGGACAGAAATTTTGTCGTTTGTCTGTTTCCTTTCATCTCTGCGTAGAACTGGGAAAGTTCAAGGTAGAAAGTTCGAAACTAAGTATTGTCTGACGACTTTTTATGGTTAACATAGAATAGAAGCTGTAAGGTATCGCCATTTATACTTCGAACGGGCTATAATTTTAAGGCCCATTAAAAATATGTCCTGATCATTAAATTTAAAAAGAAATAAAATTTAAGTGCAAATATTTCAAAGTGTATTATAAACTTAATATTTCAGTTAAAATTTGTTTGTATATTTGAAACAGCTCGCTATTTAAAAATAGCGTGACGGTACATTGCCGTCAACCGACTGCAAAGTGTTAATTATGCCAAATACAGAAAGTAAATTGTACATTATAAGTAATATCCTTTTTCCTGTTGCTCGATCAAGATCGAGGGTCGTTATGTTAGGACATGGTACCGATTCTGTTCCAAAGAAAAATAAGATGGCGTCAGGACAATGAAACTAAATTATGACTGTATTTTCCTTCTTCGTATTCGTTCATTCGTAACATGTACGTCGATTGATTTCTCGTTGACAGCGTGTTGCAAGACCAGGTCAAGTGTCGTAAGAAAGGATCGTAGGGTATAATTGAAAAATGTCGTAAAACGGAGTGCACTTACATAGAAGAATAGGGACGTAAAGTTTATTACCACTCTTTACGAAAATAAAATACTTAAATGTCTTCGGTCGATCAAAGGTTACAGCAATTTGTAAATACATAATAATTGCTTCGGATCCTCTCTCTACGAATTTAAAAAAATAAATATTACATTCTTTGAATTTCCTAATCTTGCAAAAGATTTCTTTATGGGAAGCGAATAAGGTTCTTCGCTAAATATAAGTATATTTACATACCCGTACAGATATTTCTCTTTTATCATTTAAGCATTTATTAACCTTTTGGATCTACCGACTTGGCTATAAAGACTTATACATGGAGGCAAAGAGTGTGGGAATTGTTGATTAACTTTCTTTCTACTATTTTTCATTTCGATATCGAGTCGAAAAAGATGCTTCTCCATTTACAATCAATTACTCTTTGATTTCATTAATTTTTCTGAGATAAAAGAAACGGTAAGAAACTTTTATTTAAATTTGGCAAAGATAGAGAAAGTTATGTTGGGGCGTACACTCGAAAGGAACGTGATTCTCTGACATACGAACATCAGAAAAAAATATTCTTTTTTTTATTTTATTAATTATATATTTTTTCAATTTTCAACTATATAACAATGAAAATCTATTTAAAATATTTTCACCTAAAATATACACAAAAACAATTATGCAGCAGTTTCTATTCCATCGTTTCTCTAGCTGTGTATTCGCTTAAATAACCTACTGTTTTATTTTTTCTACGTTAAATGAATATACGCGCTTCGTTTAAAAATCTCATACCTTCAATAACTCTGAATAGTGGAAGCAGATATCTTCAATAAAAAGAACATAAGCAGTCTTTACATATAGTTACGAATTGTTTTTGTGTATATTTTAGGTGAAAATATTTTTAAATATTTTAAATAGATTTTCCTTATTATATAGTTGAAAATTGAAAAAATATATAATTAATAAAATAAAAAAAAGATGTGCCTTAAACGGGGCGCGAATTAGTATCAAAAAGTTTGCAGTGTATCCACAGTTAAGCACCTTACTCACTGCACTATCGTACCTCTTGCAAATACTGCTGATACTTTTAAATATAACGCACATAGTACCTTTAATTTGGTGACTTATTTTTGTTTTTCTATTCTATACATCGTTCTATTCAACATAGAATTGTTTAAAACCATAGAATATGGTTATCCATTAAAGGGAATACAAAAATTCAAAGTATAAGTTGCTGTTTCACGCGAAAAACGCCGAAAAAATCGGTTTTTGATTTTTCCTACTACGGCACATCCTGCCAAAAAATCTGAAAAAATTCAGGGACACAACCAATGACAATATGCGTTTACAGTAATTATATAAATCCAGTGTCTCGAAAGCTTCAATACGAAATCGGTATTTTTCTGCGTTTTTAATTTTTCACACCTAGAATTTGGAATCGCAAAATCGGAAAAAATTTTCAAACACGTATCTCAATAACCACAATGCACCAGATTTTTTTCATAATTTTCGTACTCGATTAAATAGGGGAAATAGGCACAAATTCGTTAATGCGGATTTTCCCAATAACTACCCTTCCGAATAAGATAGAGGGTTGAAATTTGGCACAGAATATTTTTTTCTGATGTTCTATAGATGGATCCATCGTATGTGAAATTTGGTTCGAGGGTACATTTGACCCCCTTATTTGGCTATACCTTTTACCGTGATCTCTTTTTGTTTCAGAATAAAAATGAGCGGTAATGTCGCTAGATCGTTAACGCACGGTATCAAACGGACGACTCAAATTCTTCGAACGATAGAAACTTTGGCAACGGAGATCGAAGAACAAGATTTGTCGCGATATCGTCCTTATTCCGACATTCCTGGACCAAAGCCCATTCCTCTTTTGGGCAACACGTGGCGATTCATACCGTTCATAGGTAGTTTTCATTCGACACTGTCCGAATATAACTTTCATTACCATTAAGACTCACACAGTCGTGCAACTCTGAATAAATCGAGTTAAAGGAAACCGTGGGGCATTAAAATTGTATAAAAAGATACCATGTAAAACTAGGAATACTTATTTGATAATAAACGCGCAGATCTAATTGTATAAATCCGCCATACTATGATTTACAGTAAAATAAATCATACGTGCATACATCTTCGCGTAAAGAGAAATTAGGGAGAGGAGAACTTAATATTTAATATGTAAATGCACACGTACTTATAAAATATGTATAAGAACATAAACGAGGACGCAACCTGTATCCACGAATTCGTATAATTCGAGGACGTGCTGCACGGTGAAAAAAATTTACATATACCAGATACACAGTACTTAATTACTTTCTATTTAGAAAAGATTGAAAGAAATGCGTGGGAGGGAATTTATGGAAGGCTTCAACTCGTATATTCGTTTAAGCATTCCGTTTGTCTTGGATCTCTGCGTTAATACGAATGCATTCGTTATTGCGACTACATTTTCGCAAGTACATTTTTAATAAACCGTATGCCCGTTTTACCAGGTGATTTCCAGATTCAGGCTGTGGATCAAGTGTCGAAGAGACTATACAAAGAGTACGGTGACATCGTGAAAATGGAAGGCTTGATCGGCAGACCGGACATGGTTTTCATTTACGACGCGAACGAGATCGAGCGTATCTTCAGGCAAGAGGATAGGATGCCGTACAGGCCGTCGATGCCTTCATTGAATTATTATAAACACGTGCTTCGAGAGGAGTTCTTTCGCGGAAACGCCGGTGTGATCGCCGTGTAAGTTTCAAACTGATCGTTTAAAAAAAAACACATATGCGTATGATTCCTGTAAACGGTTAAAAGTAAAAGCGACGATACGTATGCAATCGGACATGGGTGATCTTGGTTTTACTATATTTACGAATCCCATTTGGTATAATGGGCAAACATTGACATTGCGAACGATGTTACTGAAAGTATGCGCTTGGCAAACTAGTAAAATAGCAAATATTTGTCTCTTCCGTTGAATACACGCGCTTGGAGTGTACCGGGAGTGCGTTAGAATATCGCTACTTTCATGTTAAATGGTTTGCATTATCCTCGATACTTCTCTTTACGAATCGTCGTTTATTTATACGTTTCAATTTTCAATATCCCACTGATTTCTGTTACGGAAACTAGGGTGGACTTGCGTGTTACGCACGCTGTGCACGTTTCGCGACCCGGTTGAAAGTAAATCTTGCGCAAAACATGGGTGCACAGTTAGGTTGTCGCTTCCTGCATGACAGCTAGTATTGCAATTCCCCCGATACATCCTGCTACGACCAGTATACGTTTACCAAAAAGTGCATCGGTGTTAGATTTCGGTTCTATCGCGCGACTCTGATTTCTCTTTACACGGTACATTGACTGAAAGCTATTATAGGAAAGGCTGTTGGAGTAAATCGAAACCGTAACGCGACACTAGAACTTGCTAGGTTTAAAAATAATAAAAGAAAAAAATAGTTTCGCGATATAATATACGTGACTTTTTCAGACACGGCGAGGATTGGTACAATTTCCGTAGCAAGGTGCAGCAGGTGATGTTGCAACCGCGAACAGCAAGAATGTACATTTCTGCTATGGAGGAGGCGAGTTTGGCATTCCTTCAAAGGTCCGCCGTCAAATGTTGTTATTTAAAGTGCTACCTTTCATTCTTCCCTGCTACTTTTTCTTTTCCTCGATGACATCGGTGGCCTGTTGCTAAATCGACCTCGTCGTGTTTTCAGAATAACGAAAATACGAGACGATAACGACGAGGTGCCCAGCGACTTCCTCAACGAGATCCACAAATGGTCCCTGGAGTGTGAGTAGAAAGCAACGAGAAGTGGAACGCACTTTGTCGTTCTAAATCTCATTCGGTACTAATTGAATTGGACTGTTAGTTTGATCTGGTATGCTTATGCAGACGTCTGGTGCAAGATTGAATATGAAGAATAGTTAGAGTCTTAATCTTCCAGATAATTTCTTATTCTTCATTATTGAGTAACATAGAGTAGCGTAGCGTGTAGCAATGGAACATCAACTACTAGGGGCTATTTCCGTCATCAGCTGTTCGCTGTCTTCGTTGAGCGAAAGGTGTCCCGGATTCGAACCCCTGTTTAAGGCGAACTTACTCCATTCCTTCCCTAATTGCACAATAGCGAAAATAACCGTACAACCGAGAAATCGGCGCGCAGTGTTCCTTGAAGAAATTTCCTCCGACTCGCTTCCAACAGACTCTCTGTGGTTACACGAACTCATTAAACGTGTACTTTCCACGCGATTTTCTAATTAGAAGCAACGATTTAAATCTTGCCCTTGTCTTGTTACGCAAGATACAATTTTTTTTTAAACCCGACACTCGTAGTTTTGCGAAGGGTAGGAGGCTATATAAATTCTGTAAGAAGTGTCCCTTCCTAATTTTAAATAAAAATGATATTTTGGAATTGTCTTTCGTAGCCATCGCGCGCGTAGCGCTGGACGTTCGATTGGGTTGTTTGGACGACGACGCGAACATGGAAACTCAGAAGTTAATAGACGCAGTCAGCACGTTCTTTGTGAACGTGGGAATCTTAGAACTGAAGATACCGTTCTGGAAACTGTTCAATACGCCCACGTGGTTGCAGTACGTGAAAGCGCTGGACACTATCGTGAGGTAAAATAAAATTCAACGGACTTAAAGACAAGGAAAGATAATTAATTCTGATTCTCAGCACAACTTCGAAGTTTACTTCCGCTGCTCTGTCGAGGATAAAGGAAGCAACCGACTCCGATAAGGAGCCATCCCTTCTCGAGAGAGTGTTAGCATTGGAAAACGACACGAAGCTGGCCACTATACTGTCTCTTGATTTATTTTTGGTTGGGATTGATACTGTGAGTGTCTTGAAACGTGTCCTAACCGCGTTCGTTCATAAGTTGGAACTTGAATAAATTCTGTTCGTAGACTTCAAATGCTGTGGCATCGGTGTTGTATCAATTAGCACTTCACCCGGACAAGCAAGACATTGCTTTCAAGGAAGTATGCGACGTGCTACCGAGCAAAGACATTCAGCTCGAGGGGAACCACTTGGATCGGTTCAAGTATTTGAAAGCTTGCATCAAGGAGACTTTGAGGTTCGCGCGTTAACTAATCCTAATCCTTTAAAGCGTTAGTTGTAACCGTCGCTTCTTAATCTCTTTGATTGCGGCCGGGTCGAAACAGGCTTCTACAATAATAATACCTTCTTCCTTTCTTCCGATCAGAATGTATCCAGTTGTTATTGGCAATGGCCGATGTATGACCAAAGACACAATAATCAGCGGATATCGAGTACCCAAAGGCGTAAGAAACGATTTTTTTCCCCTCCTCCATACTTTTACTATTACGTTTTTCAAGGGGCAAGGAGTTTCTTTAACGACTGCTTTATTTGCCCGATCAGGTTCAAGTGGTCTTTCAACATTACGTGATAAGCAATCTTGACAAGTACTTTCCACGGAGCAAGGAATTCCTTCCGGAGAGATGGCTGGAAACTAACGGCGTGCGTCATAATTTTGCGTCACTTCCTTACGGCTACGGGAGAAGAATGTGTCTCGGTAGACGTTTCGCCGACCTCGAGATGCTGATCGTCATTAGCAAGGTAATACGCATGCACAAAATGAATCATTTGTAAAGTTAGCTCCCCGTTTAACACTTTGACTGCCACGTCACCCATATATGGGCGACAGAAATTTTAACAGTAGAACTGTAATAATGAATTCTCAAGTTGAAATGTTAAAGAAAATAAATTTTAATGAAGTTACGAAAGCAACTACTACGACAACAATTTAAGTTGCGTAGTTTACAATTGCCTAAAATGAAAGTTTTGGTCCCGTAAACAATTTTAGGATTTTAGACTGGCAGTCAACGTGTTAAACGCGTCGAGCATAAATCCGCCGCCGCATCTAGCGACCAACAAGAGCTTTGAAACGAGAACGACGCCATATTCGGCGAGATTTCTCCGCGTTCTGAGAAATAGTTTAATAACCGGGAATTGCAATTCGGTGTAACGCGCGGAGCTAGTAAATGACACGGAAAGAGAAACCGTCTACCATTTTGGAGTTTTATTGCCGACATACCCGATGCTTACCTTAAACGTAGATCCCCGTTAGTTTCACGGCGGTCACAGTGAATGGCCGCGAACAATAAAAGTCCTGCCCAGCCGACTGAATGCTTTACTCTTTATTACGGGGACACGCTAGGACTCCTACGGTGTCATTAATCTGTCACTTCGATGCCGCGATAAACCGTAGAATTACCTGAGTTTCGCGCAGACCTCGAGCCTACTTTTCCTTCTTAACTTTAATTTCGGCAATTAAAATGTTTACAAAGATTTGCCGGACGTACAGCGACGGCTATTTAAAATTGCACGCGATAGTATCCGAACGTTTGTTAACCAAACTGTCAACGAATGAAATTCCCACGTTGTATACAAAAATAAACTGTCTTTAATGAATCTATCTCAAACCCCCATTAATTACCGAGGCCACGATGGTCGGGAATGAGCATAGTAAAACGGTATGAGAGCGTAAAACCAACAATAGAATACAAAATTCACGAGTTTCGCATTCTTCTATATTTTGTATATAGGTAACATGCTTGGTACAATCTATAAAAAAGTACAAAAAAATTACGTTCTTATTACTATGCTAATATTTCTGGAAATCATTTGGACAAACATACTAGAGCTAATCGCTACGATTTATTTTGATCGTTCGATAATAACGATTATTTGTTTCAGATTTTGCAACGCTATAAGTTAGAATATCATCACGAGAAACTGGAGTATTATATAAATCCTATGTACACGCCTAAAGGACCCTTAAAGTTGAAATTCGTCGATAGATAATAGACTATAGGGACGCTTCCCGTACTATACACGAAATGTGTAGTATTTGTTTCATATGTACATAAATAAAAAAGTGAATTCGTCCACGAATGTCTGTTGCGTGCCGCATCCACGTGAAAATATTCGGTATATCCAGAGAGCACTTTGATCATTGTTCCCATCCCTAACGGGAAACATGAATTTCGATTATCTTGGTATCAGTTTGAATTTAAGTTCACCGTCGGGAGCGTACATAAACGTGACCTTGTACTTCAACGGTTCATGATGATACTCCAGCTTGTAAGATCGTATCAGCTGACAATTAACGAAAAGGGCATTATTCGCACACATATTAATGATATTCTTAACGTGATAAATAATAAAAATCTGTATTTCTAGCATTAACCATCACAAATAACTAACGAACACTAAATAGAAATCATTTAGAAAATATAACGAGAGAATCTATTAGCAATGGCAAAGAAAGGTACTTTTACATACCTTAGAAAGCAGCACTTGCATTTCTAAATCGGCAAATCTTCTACCTAAACACATGCGAGCGCCATGACCGAAAGGTAAAGACGCGAAAGGATGCAATATCTCGTTGGCGGATTGTTTGATCCACCTCATCGGCTTAAACGTTTTGGCGTTTGTTACGTACTCCTCCATGTTTCCAGTTACAACTGTCGGGAATACAACTTGTACCTACGATGCATAATGTTAACGTTAATATTTAGAAAACATTTTTACGCTGGATTCGCAAACATCGATTGCACATGTTTGTATCGAAACCGAGGTAATGGTACCAAGTCGTAACAACCGTTAGGGTCGTTACGAGTTCATTACTTACTCCTTTCGGTACTCTGTAGCCGCAAATTATGGTGTCGTTTTGCAATGTTCTACCGTTTCCAATGACGGTAGAATATACTCTGCAATGTAAAATTGTAAATCGTATTTTTATAACTTGGTAGTGTAATTTAAGTATACAAATAAATTTTTTAAAATATTCCTGGGTCTATGGAAATTTACTACTCGAGTAGTTTATAAATATTAATTAGTTACTTCATACCTGAAAACTTCGCGGATGAAGGCTTTCATATAAATTGCCTGATCAAGATGGCTCGTAGTTAGAGAAACGGATGGATCGGGAAGAATTTGCACAAGTTCTTGATAAATTTTTTCCTGCTCTTCCGGTCTAGTTGCTAGTTGATACAATATCGAACATACGGCCATCGATATCTGCAATATGATATTACTAATTAATAGACACGAATATTTTTCTTATCGTATTTTCCACCTACTGTGTCTATCCCGACCAAAATTAAGTCCAAAGCGAGAATGTACGCCATTTTGGGATCAGTTTCTTTGGCCAAGATCCTTTCCACCAAAGACAAATCGGATTCATCCACGGCCTGTTTAGTTTTCAGCCTTTCTATCGCCGCGTCGATATATTTCATACACACTCTGAAAAATATTGAACAAAAATCTATAATTATGTTCAAATTAGGGGAATAATTATAATTCAACTCACTCGACAAAGTAGTCCATATTGCGTAGATATCGAGTCCAAAGAGGCGTGGGTATATATCTCCAATAAGGAGCTTTCAATTCGAGCACGGCCACGTTTCTCAAAGCATATTTTGCCGCGTCGATGATTTTCTGTGGTTCTGAGTCCGGAGTCAGAGTCCCGCCTAAGCACCCTAATCTAACGTCAAGAGCAACTCGACCTATACCTGTGCAATTTTATTTTACCAGATAGTATCGTAATATTTGAAACTATACAAGACGCGATCTCATGCATATAAATGTAATTGCTTAACACGATCAAAATATCTATTCCAATGACTTTATAATTCAAGAATGTATTTCAGCCTGTTATGTAAATTAAATATTTCTTTTAAGTTTGGTTCTTCCTATTAAACTAAAGTAAATTGCTTGGAAATATTATGTCGCTTGTCCTAAGCAGTGTGCTTTATTGGATTGGATAAATTTATACGAACATTCTAAAGCCCATTTGTGTATCTCGTTGTCAAAATCTCCTGGCAGTTCTCCATCCTCTCCTACAATTTCTTCGATCCTAATCAAGACGATTCGTTATTTTATTCATAAGTTAGTTATGTACAACTTTGAGCAACGCGTTGCTCAAAAGATCTGACATTTTTGTTAAACGCAGACCCGCTCTCGGGGCTCCAAGGTTTCACGCGCCAATTAAAATTAACTCCAAGATACAAGGTCGCTCGAAATACCTTTTTATAAAGTCGACGGTGACCACCTCGATCGGGCTTATGTACTTTCTAACCGTCTGCGGCTGAAGAACTGGTTTTTGGACTCTCGTCCGGAATTCACGCCAAGGTTCACCGTGTCTAAAAACATGCATATCATACATTATGTCATTCGTGATTCGCGCGATGCCTCTTACTTTTATGACGAACGATGACGGCACGTTTGAAGGTCAAGGAAAACAAGATATAGAATTCGAGTAATGCAGAGAAAAAAAATGACAATTCTGTTTCCATTCTTTATCGACTATTTGCAAGTCAACCTGCTAAACACTGCGCGTGCAAATCTGGCAAATACATATCGTAGCAGCTGAGAATAAGCTAACAAGGACATTTTCCAGTTTCGAGCCTTGAACTAAATAATTCCGCTTTGCACCCAGACGATAATTGAACAGCGAAACGTGTTTCCCAATTTGGTCGAATCCCCGTGTAACACGACATCTTTCAGAAACGTGACCGCCGTGTTGTACGGGGTTGACTGTACGCGTTTTTTTTACTCACACTCCGACAACTCCGGGCAAACTCCCGAAGAAGTCCTTCCTGACGACGCTCTTGTAATGCACCAAACACGGCATCGACGGTCTGAAGGGCGTCGGTCCTTCCTGTCTGTAGATCTTCTCGATCTCGTCGGCGTCGTAAACGAACAATAGATCCGGTCGACCTATTAAACCGGTCAAACGAACGATCTTTCCGTATTCGTCGTAGAACATCTGCGACACTTTGGCCGTGTCGGAGATTTGGTACTGCCCGATCACCGGAAACAGCCGCCAGGTATTTCCGAGGATCGGGATCGGTTTTGGTCCCGGTATCTCCTCGTACGGTCTGGCCTGGCTCACGATATCGTGATCCAGCACGCAATCCCTCGTCGAGGTCACTGCACCTGCACCTAACGCATAGGAAAACTTACGTCAAACGCTTCCTGCATTCGCGATCGAGTTTAGATCGATCAAATCTTGCTTTCTTCCAACTTTCAAAACTACTTCACAGTCAATCGCGGTTACAAACGAGGCTACGGGGACACAAACTTCCCTTGTTGCTCGAACTAACTCTGCTGTCCAAATTTGAATCGTTTGAAGCGATTAACTATTGCTTTATAACTTCTGCGAGTAACTGTACGCTATTGTAGATCGTGGATTTAACCGCGGTTTGTTGTGCGTTTCACGTGCTGTTTCGAATAATTGGGGAATCACGCGGCTGTGGGGAAATCAGAAGAACGTGTCGAGCATCGAAAACGAAATGAATTCTTTAACGCTCGATCGTCGGTTACACTTTTTACACGTTCTGCCACGAACACGTAATACGATATTTGCTGACCGTACTTATGCTAGGTGTTAATATCCGAGGATTCGTTTAACGTCTTGTTAGGTCAGTTTGTATGCTGTGAAACATGCGAACGCACGGTATATGGGTCAATTCAATGGTGTTTTTATCGATCGTTTTATTCCTGCAGCATGGAAATTGGGCTACATTCTATAATAATGATTTTCAGGAATTATTATGCTTCGAATCCATCGTTAGATTTGGGGATATAATAATGTTAGAGATCGTTCGTAAGAGAGTGACGGTATTTTATTACCTGAGCACAGAGCTCGTCGTAGGATATCCTGACCTTGTGAAAGTCGACATTTAAAGATGAATAGCATCTGGCGATTCATTCTGCGGAAAAATAAAATCGAAAGTTAATCTACGAATTTCCATACTTTTCCATACTACGATATCTTCAATATAATTACCAATACCCTTTACGTTCATTACAGGAAACGTTTAAATATATCAAACCTCCCGTATTTAGTCCTAAGAACTTCCCCTAATTACAGACCCAATCGTCAATACTGATTACCCTCCAACTGCTACCTGCTATTTAATCCCTGCAATAATGGTCACAACGGTACCCTTACCTGGAACAGGCCCAAAAATTGTCCGTTTCCTTTTCCACGTCTTCTTCTGTACCGTTATCGAGGAGTATGTTTCACAGAAAATAATAATAGCATGTCGAGCCTAATTGCGTTTACCATTCAAAATGGCACTAACCAGAGATCGTCGCGCGTTTTTAACACCTGCGACCGAGGGACGTGCGACGCTTAGGTATACAACCAAACAACGCGGATGCACCCACTAGGTGGTGATGCACTCTTTAAAGAAGTCCTATCGTAAATGGGCCCACATAGTATAGCTACCTAAGGCGATCTCCCCACCTTCGATGGATCTCCCTCCAATGGATTAACGGTCCGAATTCTCTGCTCCGCGATGGTACACCCGCTGTTCGAGGAGTCACTTTCACAAGGTGAACATGCTCGAGTTCAATTTTCACTGACTTTCTCATTCGGCAAACGGTCAGGCACCCTGACAGTCACGCGAACATTCCATTTTACTGTAAATCGTCATATTTTTACGCCCATTTTTGACAATCCTTTAACAAGTAACTATCTCACGCATGACGAAATATTGATTGATATAAATAACTATGCTTCGTTTCTGCCGAATCGTATATGCGTGAGCTTTGTTCAAAGCATACAGATTTGCTTTTAAAGAAAATAACGTGGTCCCTGTATCGTTCGGTTGCGTATTTGTCTAATGTATATACCTCGCGGATTCGAATATTTATTTTAGGGTCGACGACAGTAAGAATACCTGCAATAAATCCCCCGACGCTCGTCGGGATCGACAAACAGTCGGTTCCGAAGATTTATTGTCTCCGGCGTCGCAGGTCATTTCAACGCAGCTTATAGTCTCGATTGACCGTGATTATCCTTACGACAACCTGGATTCTTCCATACCATAAATACATACCTCTCGAATTTTCCGGAAATTTTGTACAATGTTTCGGTTGGAAATAACGCGGAATTTTTAGAAATTGTCTGATATTGGCCTTTTTCCAATTTTTCTTTTCTCGTTTCTTTAATAAGTTCTTTTATAGTTTTGATAATCAGGGTCCTTCGTATTTTCGAGCCATGGATGGCTAAAGAACTCTTACACGCCTCGAACAGTTCTATTTAATCCAGTTAGGAGAAAGATTGCTCCTAAAATACTGCCTCCTACAATTCTTCATGGCGGACACTTCTAAAGATTTTCGTTTTCGTACGTAACACGAATTTTGCAATTACAACGTTACAATTTACTCGTTAGAGCGGACAATGATATTCGAATGCATAAGTAGTGGAAAGGGTATAGCCGAATAAGGGGGTCAAATGTACCCTTGAACCAAATTTCACATACGATGGATCCATCGATAGAACATCAGAAAAAAATATTCTGTGCCAAATTTCAACCCTCTATCTTATTCGGAAGGGTAGTTATTGGGAAAATCCGCATTAACGAATTTGTGCCTATTTCCCCTATTTAATCGAGTACGAAAATTATGAAAAAAATCTGGTGCATTGTGGTTATTGAGATACGTATTTCAGAATTTTTTCCGATTTTGCGATTCCAAATTCTAGATGTGAAAAATTAAAAACGCAGAAAAATACCGATTTCGTATTGAAGCTTTCGAGACACTGGATTTATATAATTACTGTAAACGCATATTGTCATTGGTTGTGCCCCTGAATTTTTTCAGATTTTTTGGCAGGATGTGCCGTAGTAGGAAAAATCAAAAACCGATTTTTTCGGCGTTTTTCGCGTGAAACAGCAACTTATACTTTGAATTTTTGTATTCCCTTTAATGGATAACCATATTCTATGGTTTTAAACAATTCTATGTTGAATAGAATGGTGTACAGAATAGAAAAACAAAACTGAGTCACCAAATTATAGGTGCTATGTGCGTTATATTCAAAAGTATCAGCAGTATTTGCAAGAGGTACGATAGTGCAGTGAGTAAGGTGCTTGACTGTGGATACACTGCAAACTTTTTGATACTAATTCGCGCCCCGTTTAAGGCACATCTTTTTTTTATTTTATTAATTATATATTTCTTTAATTTTCAACTATATAACAATGAAAATCTATTTAAAATATTTAAAAATATTTTCACCTAAAATATACACAAAAACAATTCGTAACTATATGTAAAGACTGCTCATGTTCTTTTTATTGAAGAAATCTGCTTCCACTATTCAGAGTTATTGAAGGTATGAGATTTTTAAACGAAGCGCGTATATTCATTTAAAATAGAAAAAATAAAACAGTAGGGTATTTAAGCGAATACACGGCTAGAGAAACGATGGAATAGAAACTGCTGCATAATTGTTTTTGTGTATATTTTAGGTGAAAATATTTTAAATAGATTTTCATTGTTATATAGTTGAAAATTGAAAAGATATATAATTAATAAAATAAAAAAAAGAATGTTTTTTTCTGATGATCCATCGTATGTAAAATTTGGTTCAAGGGTACATTTGACCCCCTTATTCGGCTATACCTTTTATTCGTACCATTTATAATAATTGTAAAATATTAAGGGGCTCGAGTAGGAACCTTCGTACGAAGGAAGGATGGGGTTCTCCGCGTTGCCAAAAATTCCCGGGGGTCGTGCCACTCGTGACCTTGGAGTGGGGGGGTCAATAGTGTCGCTTGTCTATATTAAAGGACCCGCAAGGGTAAGACGCTTGTTTGTGATAAACTGTTGACGCGAAATGTTGTCGTTCAATGCCTGTGCATCGATTCCTAAACGACCAGCTACATGACCAATAAAGTCTGACATACGTATTCGCAAACACGCGTGTAAAGCAACAGTCGTCCGTTGAAAGTTTAACAAATTGAGTTTCAACACGGTATCGTGGTTCTCCGCGGTGTTTAATTAAACAATGGCAATGTCGACGATGTGGATCAGAAACAACATGATCTTCTCCAGCAACCAAAGCGTAAGTGTTACGTGTAGTCGTTTTGTGCAGTTAATAGTGATTTAACGACGAAGAGAAGAATTTTATATATTATTCATACTTAATAATTTTCGATCCAAGTATTTCGTTTCCTTTTATTTAGAAGTCGATGAATCTATTTCTGACTACCTAAAAGATACAAATATTTAATGTAATCTTTAATCTAACCATTTACGTGTTTATTACATCGATTAGTGTCACGATTAATTTTTATTTAGTAACAGCAGTTTGAAATATAATTATTTGTCCGGAATATTGAAGGTAATTACTGTTTGTATCATAGCGTTAACTCTGTTTATAGGGTCGTAGCTATCGAATACATAAACATCTTCCGTCTAATTGAAACAGACCGTACGAAATTCAAGGAAACAGAAATATTATTCCTTCTACACGATATCCGTATAAATAGCGAAATACTGTTTTAGATAATGGGTGTACTATTGAAAATAAAATATTCACAGGACTTTGATTTTCAATTTTTTCAACAGGATAGGCAATTAACGGAAGCTGAATTGAAAGTTAAACGATCGCTGCAGAAGCTTTCCATTCCGGACTGGTATTTGAACAAGCGTTCGAATCCACCGAAAATACTCAGCAACATCGTTCCAGTGGAGTTTCGTCAATCGTCCTGGAAGAAACTCGGATCCAGGGATTCCACGATCAATTCGACGTCCACCAATCTATCAGGTATTTATAAATATCTTTAAAAGCTTATAAAAAATGAAGAACAGTGGCATTGTAGTACTTACGTCTTTCGATATCTAACGCGAGTCCAACGTCCAATTTCAGATTCATTTTCGTGGACAGAGGGGTGCAAGAACATCGAACCTCCGAACAAGCCTGAAATGAACACGCCCCCGCGACAACAAAAGTCCCCGGAAGCGAAACACCGGAAATCACCGACGTCCAAGTCCCCGACCGCCAGAAAAGAGCAACAGTCTTTCGGCACGACGATCCCGGAAGTGAGGCTACTGTCGAACAGCAAAACGTTCCCGAAAATGTCGCCATCGCGAAAACTAGAAAATATAAACATCGTTTTACATCCTGGACCACCAATTAACATTTCCAGCCACTTGGAAAAGGCAAAGGGCACCGAGAAGCCCAGATTCCGCGGCTCCGCGTCAAAGAAACAACCAACGGACGTCGCGAGCAAGAACAGCAACAACGATTGTTCGTTCAGGAACAGCGACTCGACAAAAAGGGACGAAACGTCGCGAAAGTCGCCGACGAACGAATCCAAGAACAGTCCTCGATCGTCGAAAATCGCGGACGAGGATTTGATAACACCGAAACCGAGAGCGTGTTTCAGAACGCGAGCCACCTCCACTCCCAGATTCACTCCGGCGAATCTCTTCTCGTCGACCATCATCGAGGAGAGTCCCAGAGAGAAGAAATCTCCGTCGCGCAGTATCCTAGAGAAGTCCTCGATCTTCGAAAGTAATTCGTCGCCCTCCAAGGCCAAGAAGCGATTGGAGAATGCTCGAAGACCGAAGAAGCTGTCCGAAAGTTTGCTCCAGAAGACCTCGATGTTCGAGGACCTCTCGAGAACGGGACTGTCCAGCGACCTGGAGATGTCGAGGTTCGGTGGATCGCACCCGATTTTTGAGAAGAACGTTAGTTCGATTGGTTCGATCCGCTCCGAGAATAACGGCCCGGCTCTGTTGACTACGAGGTCCTCGATGGTCCGCGAGCTGGTGAAGAAACTGGAAACGGCTCGTACTCCGGAGAAGACGCCGGTACCGACCTGGAAGGGCAGACGTTCACTTCCGGAGAAGATGCCCGATCGCTTCAAGACGCCGGTTCCCGCGCTGAGGAGGACCAGCCTCGGCGGCAGGACCGCGAACTCGGACTTGGAGTCGCCATTTTCCAAGTTCCTGGTCTCGAAGCGGAAGTCCGTAGACTTGGAGAAAGTGGTGAAGAACAAGCTGGCCGAGGAACATCCTCGAGACAAGAGCGACGTACGTAGGATCATCGAGATACTGATGGAGAAGCTGTCGAAACCGTCCGCGCCGTTGCATTGCGAGGACGCGGAACGGAACCACAACTTCGTGAGGAAGGTGGTGAACGCGCTGGAGAAAGGGGATCCGTCCATTCTCGAGGAGATGACGATGGGCGAGAGGAGCCGCGAGGACAGCGGAAGTTGCAGCGAATCGGTCTCGTTGAAGGACACGGACAGCAGCAGCGACTACGACCTCAGGTCGTCGAGCTTTAGAAGCGACAAGACCTTCAACCACGAGTTCAGGACGTCCAGGAAGTTTTCGGAAGCCGAAGAGATACCGCTCGAGGAGGAGTCCGTGTATTGGATACCGGTGACTAGGTGCAAACTACCACGGACCAGCTCGCTGTTGAGCCTGACGTCCAGGTTGTCCTCCAACGGATACTCGCCTTGCATCAGCCCTATAAAAAGCGACAGCGAATCAGGATCGCTTCCATGGTGTTCAACATTTAAAAGGGCAAACGCTCTGTCCAGAAAGCTGTTCAAGATCGACGAGACCGTGGTGATCGACTCGGGATACTCCGACAGGTCCGACCAGTCACCGGTTCGATGCTCCACGGCGGACAGCACTTGGTCCGAGTGCACGCAGATCGATTCCAGCACGGAGATCGAATCCATTCGATCGAAGAAATCTTTCAGACGCAGATCCATTCTTGACAACACGTACCGTGTTCGCTGTTAAGTAAGTTGTGTATCTCTATCGTGGTCTAAGATGATTCAAGATCTACAACATTGTAATCCATTGTTAGTAATAGCTAGGACACGAACGTTCGGAATTGAGAGCTCTAGTACCGCGTGTAGCATAATTTTTTAGATGTTTATTCTAATCACGAGTTGCGGAATGATACGTTTGGTTAATCTAGAAAATACTGATTACCGTGGCGAGCACCATTCAATTCTATTTTGTTACCTACCATTATAAAACAACACAAAGTAAAATAATCATACAAATAGTCGGATTTTATTATTATTTTATTTTATGTACATATCTGTATTATCTTTCTATTTCGCGAGCCACTGTAATTAGACGCGCGAACAATCAAAAAATATTTGTAAGATAGGCATAGTTTTGAGCAAAATGTAGGATACTCAATGTTTTGCAAATATTTTAATCACTTCTTCGATTATGCGTAAACTGTCTATTATCACGATACAATCGATCGAGACCTTTGTGATATTAGAATTCTCTTACGATACTTCCCTTGAGTACAAATGTCTTTGGAAACATTTTTTTGTATTCCTTTGTACTTCTTCGTTTCGAGGAGCGTTCCTCGTAAGTTAATGAATGTTTTTAAATATTCTATACTTGTTATTTTTATCTCCTTTACTTGTTGCAGAACTGTTTGCTACTTTAACGTTCCTTTTAAGAAAGAACGGCGAACTATCGCGTTGGATTGGAAACAGTGCGCGTTCCTTCTGAACAATGCGTCGTTCGAACAAGTCCTGACCAGAATTTGTACATTGTAAATAATAATAATAATACACGCTTGTGTAGTGTTTGGATAAAATTGTATCTACTATTGTTAAGAATTTTGAAATGCATGGTGTTTCATAGAAATTAACTCTAATCGTACTGGGGTGGAACTTTGAGCCGCGTGTTGCGTTTGAATAATTGCAGAGTCTGTAAATAAATCTATATAATAATGACATTCGTCGTTGCTATATGAATATTGCACAGACCCTACAATTGCTCTTTGTAAATGGCCCAAACCGCATAGTAATACAATTAGGGTTGAAAACAATATAAAACGATCGACGTAAATACATAATGAACATAGTTATAGCGTGGATTTTAATGTAGACTTATGGTGTGAATCTGGATCCGAATTTGTTACTGACATAGTATAGCGGAATACTATGCTGGTAAGCATGACTTCGCTTAAAGTATGGTGAATCGACAATGAGCGAAGAGTACCCTAACTTGAAGCGTTGTAGTCTGTAGAATGAGAGTAGAATGTAGTGTTAAGTTTGAAAGATCAGTTACCGTTTGCGCCGAAAAGCATTTCTTACTTAATAATGTTAATTAAGCCTACTGTTGAATGTTGATGTTAATTAAGCATTTTGCAAAAATATTTGAAACTCTATTAAATGAATAATTGCATCGAAGTTATTTTTGTAAATCGTGTCGAGCCATCTTATTTCTGTGGTCAACAGTTGCGCGCGCACATACTATTGTTAACAGACTCATGATACGAACTCGTGTGTCGAATTGTTAACTATCATTTAAAATTCCAGACACACGACTGTTTCTTATGTAGCGTGCGTATGAAAGCACACGGAATTTGTATGAATAAATAATCGCAAAGTTCAATTCTTTTGTTCCATATCCTCAAAGTCAAATTATAGATACATGGTGTTCTGGAAAAAATTTTAATCGGGAATTCTAGAGACCAAAATAAGACGAAAATCAAGAATATCAATTTCTTGGCTGAGGCTTCGTTAAAAAGTTATTAACAATTAAATTAAAAAATTTCAAATCGTTCTGGAAAAATTATTTTCGGTTGCGGGGGTCAATTACAATCATTTTTGGTGAATACATATACCTTCGAAATCCTACCCATTTTGGAGATAAAAAATCGGGTAGATGCAGAAATTTTTCGACAAAAAAAATTTTTCAAATCGTTCTAAAAAAATTATTTTCGGTTGCGGGAGTCAATTACAATTATTTTTGGTGAATAGACATACCCCCGAAATCTTACGCATTTTCGAGAAAAAAATTCAGTACTGGTGGAACTTTAAATGTTAATAACTTTTTAACGAAGCCTCTATCAACAAATTGGTATTCTTGATTTTTGTCTTATTTTGGCCTCTAGAATCCTCCATTAAAATTTTTCTCAGGGGTGGCCGAACACCCTGTATAAGTATAATCTTTGTTCGAAAGAAAAGATTAGAAAATATTTTAGGCTGTTGCTATAACCATCGGTTGTTTACGTTGCACGTATAGATCTATTATGATCATCGTGGCAGTCACCGTGTTGATGGAAAGAAGTTGAATTCATAATTACTTAATCATGTATAACATTTATTAACATCCACATGCATTATTCTTTCGCATATACTTTACGGATATATTACACAAATACTGAATACTTTTATCACTTAAGCAATTCTTTTAGAATACACTCTATTCCACATATTAAACGTTTGAAAATAATATTATTTTTTATTTTGCTCGCAGTGCATTACAAAATACTTTAACTATATGTATTTGATGATATAAGTAACTTTATCACGATAATTCCCAATAATCACTGATACAATTTGTTGAAACTCTAAGAATTGTTTTGAGAAAGCACAGGAAAATAATTTAACGACGAGAAATATATGTTCATCGACAAATATAAGAAACACAAACGTTACATTCAAAATCGTAAAACCGATCCACGAAATTTGGCGATATCTATGGAAGAAATTCGTGACTGTTAACGATTGGGAACCATTGGTTTATTGAGATCACACTTGCAGTTCTGAGATCGTGTTCAAGAATAGAGACAATTAGATTGTCTGTAGAAAAATATAGAATAGCAATAAAATCTATCTTCTAATGAAATACTGATTTACATCTTGAAAAAGATGTCAACTTCGCTGTACAATTTTGCATTATCTTTTTAAATACCAACTTCAATCATTCCGATACATCCGATCAAAATTAAATCTATTTTTCGTAATGAATGCTTGGTAAACTAAAAACATTAGGTTTCTCTATTCAACTATGCTGCTTTCGTTTTTAATATACTCGCTTATTATCACAGAGTTGAAACTCGAGCGAACAGAATTCAAACATAGATTAAATTAAGTTCAAAGTGAACCTATATTTTAACAAGAAAATATTTATAGGAGATTAATACCATAGAATATTTTTATAACAAATTCTGATAATTATTGTTCGCTTGCTGTGTGTATTCTAACACGTATCCACCTCAGCGGTGGATTGCGGATACAAAACAATGAAAAAAGTCCATATAACTACAATGCTGGAGAGAAGTATTAGCACAGCATAGCTGTTAGTATACAAATGCTTACAATTACTAAACAAATTGTTAAAAAAAAAAAATCTGACGTATTCGTAATATCTAATATCTAATATCTATCACAATTTATTACGTAACAAAAAAATAATGTAAATAAAGTAATACAGAAGATAATAACGAAAAATATATTGAGCATTTTATGTCATCAGTGACCACCATGATCGTTAACGTATTAAGGAGGTCTTTTTGAAGTTTTTTCTACCCTTTTTGCAGAGAAACCATACAACTTTTTCGGATTATCAAAAACTCAGACAACGTTTGGGCAATGTTTGGATAACATAGTTTTTTAGACGTTTATAATTAATGTTTCATCGATGTGATAAAATACCGTTTGGTCACAACGTTCATCAAATTTAGTGGTGGCGTGATGATAAGGCACTGGTGTTCTACGCTAATAGACCCGAGTTCGATTCCCAATCAATATAATTGATTTTTTTTTTTAACGATCCAAATTAATTAGATCTTACTTGTGAAAATGCATATTACGAATGTATACACGCTTCTTGCCTATAATATGTATTTTTCTCTTTTTATACATAATATGTAACTTATCATTTTTAATTTTTGTAATATTTATCTTTGAAGTTAGGAAAAATATAGATCTTATTTCCATTATGATATTATGAATTTACGAATAATATCCGTCGCTCATAATAATTGATGTCTGAAGTTCTTATCTACTAATTCATAATTAATGTAATTTAATTACATTCTTTTTGTAATTATATCCTAATTGCAATTACAAATTACATAAAATTCGAGAGAAATGTCCAGGACATTTCTAGATACGGAAAACAGGTGTGATATAGCGAATGACTCGTTACACGTGTAATGGGAATCTCTAGTTTGTATGAACTTGCGTCGTTGTTTTTGTATCCTCGATTTACCGCTACAATGGACCCCACATGTTAGAATCCACTTTACATCAGACCTGGACAAATTTTATTTAAAAAAAAAAATCGATATAAAAGTATCCAGGTCTGCATTATACATACATATTGCCTTTTCTATCTGCTTATTTTAAATAGAATTCTAATGTAGTTACAAACCCAAACATAACGCAGATACAATGGCAGCACACTTTCCCTTTCTTTCTCTCACTTTGACAATAATACATAGCATATCTTACAATGTCCATGTGAAGTTAAAATATAATGCGGAAGCATTACAATTACTAATTGAAAGAATAAATTATTTTAAGAATAGTCTAAAGGATCAAAAGGTTAGTTAACCCTGTACAATATTTATAACGAACAAGTAGAAATACATATTTCCACACATTGAATTTCAAACAATCTAGCAATATATTTAATCGCGTGTAAATAATAATAATTAGTAAACAGATATTGGTAATTATATAACAAATGTAAACAGTCTTTGCCGTAATTTCATTAGTTAGCAAATACTGTGGCTCTCTTTGCAGGAACTTATTGAATTGTAATGTACAGTTACGTGTAAATGATTTCTAAATTTAGATTTTTTTTGACAACATAAAGAGAAGCAAAGTACGTTTTCGAAATAAATCGTATACATACACTGGCACAAATCCATGAAATTGATCGTGGTTAATCTTTGACACATAACAAATTAAATGCTTCACATTTAGTAGGTACAGACTATTAAAATTTGTTATCAACATACTTTCTATGATTACACGTTTTAATTCACTGACGTTTACGCAAAAGCGTGAAAGTTGTTTAACTACGTAATAAATAAAATTTAATAATTTACTACATTATGGTAGTGAATTGTTACACCATGTACAAATTAACCATGAGATGACCAAATCGCTGCTGCAGACCTTGAAGATAACAAAAAGAGAATAATGTTAAAGTTTTTACACGACATTATCTTGTAATTTACGCTGCAGAAAAAAAAACAGATAGCATGCTTCGAAATCAATGTAACTTTTGTTCATCGAACATTACAAGTTCAATTTTTATTTTTATTATACTCCTATCTGCGAGAAAATTGTAAACGATGGAAAATATATTATTGATTGATTGAATGAATAAAATTTGAAAGGAAACGACACCAACTTATATTCCAACTCAATAGAATTTTTGGATTCAGTGAAACGTAAATTATCCGAACTAATAGAGAGACAATTTCGATAATGGATTGTTCCGATAATCGAGTTTGTTATGCTATATGTATATACTTGTATGTTCCATTCGTGTTCCGATAATCGACGTTCTACTGTGTTTTGTATGTTAATAATACGTAAAATATTCTAAGCAAGATAAGTAATTAATGTATTATAAACCTCTAAAATTTTGATTCAATGCATACCTTAGACATGATTCTGGCATTGCGTTTATTTGGTGCCATAACATTATTGCTAAGAAAATGCTCCAAGTGCGTAAAGGACATAACACGGTAGCTAACGTCCCATATGCCAACCAAAAGAAATAAGCCATATTTGCTTGCATTAGAATCAATAATATTATTGGTGTGTGTTGCCATAGAAGACAAACCTTCGATAACGACTTATTATCGGGTTTGCTAATAGTTTGTAACCTACAGAAGCATTTACCTTTTCAGTAACTATATTATTACACACATAATAATAAGTATCAGTCAAATGTAAACAATGAAACATAAACCATGTACAGTGAAATCTCCGTATCCGCAGATAATAGTGAACCTTCCGAATACTAAGCTTTCACTATATTGCATCTTACCGTTTATCCACCCTGTGTGCTAAGATTAACATGAGTGGTAAATGGAACGAAAATAATTGGAAACACCCATAAGCATAGGTAAAGGCACCGGGAAGGTAAGAATTTCCAACAAATGTTCCCCAAGCAAAAATTATACCGGTATGATCATCTATTACTTCACCAATGGCCCAAGGACCTGCAAAAATAAATATTCCATTAGAAAGACAATATTTATAGTGTATCAATTAATGGTAAAAAATGAATCATAGATTACTTACCAACGGTTAAATACAATGCATATAGTACCACTGGGAAAAAAAGGCGGTCAACGGTAGACAAGACCCACAATTTTCTGAACCACGAGTGAAAAAACTTTGTTCGAAATCGTGGTCGATGCATCTGCTTCCCTAATCAAAGAGATATTTTTATTTCCTACTTATATCTAAACATTTTAAAATTCGTTTCAATATTAAAATCAATGTATTTGCATTGTACTTACTTTCGCATAATATATGAAGGAAACGTAATAGACACAGGGGAACAACTAAGAAAGCCAATACTGTCCCGAATAAGAATTGAAACTGGGGGAAAAAGAACAGCATATTTATAAGTTGATCTTCAAATACAATTCTTGTATTTACTTACAATGTTGCTGGCATTGGACATGAGAATTATTCTGGGCAAAATACTGAATGATAAACGAGATCCATCAAGAGCAAATGGTTGAAACAATATTTTCTCTCTGCCATCGATATCTACGACTCGTACCTGTAATTAATTAATTTTATTGCCGAAATAAACATTCAGTTCAAGATTCCCAGACCCAGACCTAATGCAAAAGAAAATAAACACATTTTACTGAACTCGAATAGTGTGTATTCCATCTCTGTACTTTGTTGTATTCCATATTGAAGTATAGAGCGGCCCTTTAACGTGTTTACATTCCAACCAAGCAACATCATCCAGTTGAACTTGAACATCCTTTATTGGTACTGTTGAAAACGCCAGTACTCTATGAACAATAATACATGTTCGAATAAAACTCAACAGTGATATAACATTTCTATGCAATTGCAACGATATTCTATCATTCGGAATTAGCATTTTTTTTTTTTGTTTTTTCCCTATATTACGTCAAGTTTTGTTCCGAAGGCCAATGAAAATTAAATTTTTAAAAATAATTAATTAATATTCTTAATAGGAAACATATTTGAATATAAAGATGCATACCTAATGTGTGTAGATTTAAGAATCGACATTAAATTTTCTTTCCTGGGCATCATATACAAAGCATGTTTAGGATTGGTAATCAATACTACAGGCCATTCATCATGCTTCACATCAATAAAAGAGAACTGACCATGATCTATTGCTGCCAGACGATACCTAGAAATAAGCATGAATACAATAGCTATTCAATTTGTCTCTTTTTCTAAGAAAAAATAACACTCATTATAGACAGTTAAAAAAAATAATTTTGTGTGTACATTTTGGATCTGTCATTTTTGTTATTATTTTAATTTAATAAAAATTGTGTATGCAAAATTACTTGATCTGTACTCTATAGTCAACGAATGTCGGTACTCGAATTAAGTTAGAAATTAAGAATTTGGTATTCAATTTTAGAGTACTGTGATAAATATAAAATACAGATACTTTACATTCTGTTATCTTTCCAGTCTGCTAATTCTAGTTCAAGGAATCCAATTTGCTGTAGCGTGTACATATTAGGTACCGCTCCGCCAAGCATATGATAATGACCACAGAGATATACCATGCTTTCCTTGTGCCTGCCTTAAAGAATATTTTAAGATAGTCTTGGTTTTTTTTAGAAATGTGTTAAATTTATTATAATTTTAGAATAGTATATAAAAGAAATATATATTCCACTATTGCTTACCTATGAGATTTCTAACACCTGTATTTGTTTGAGAAAGTATACATGAAGTGGGATAGTGACCAAACCATATTATAAAATCTGCATTATTTTCCTGAGACTTATTCACTAGCCCATGTATACTTCTAATTTCTTGTTCATCTAATACACCAACAAAATTAAATGGTCTTCTTGGACCAGGTTTTAAGCAAGCATCTATCGCAATAAATGTGTATAATTCAGAACCAGTATTTATATTATACATATAAGACCGTGGGTGTTTTTTCCCTTGGATAGAATAGTTGGAATAATAATTATTTTTTGATTCAAGACTAACCACATTAAAGTTATCTGAAATCACATTGAATATAACATAAATATACAAATTCTTTATTATCAAAAACTGTGAAATTATGTCCAGTTAATTATGAAATGTACCATGATTGCCTCTCACATCTAACCATAAAGTTTTCTTGGTAACTTCTGTGTCATCTAAAATACGTTTGTAATGTTCCCATTCTTTTAATATTTGCTTTGATCCTGTTTCATCTTTGGCTTTTGCATCTGTGAGGTCCCCTGTTGCATTATGCCATTACATTATAGCAAGCATAAATGTTACAAATAAAATTTCTATATGCTAAATAAAACTTACCCGAAGCAAGCACAACAGATGGTTTAATGTTATCCACGGTCACATTACAGAATTCTTTTAATTCTACTATCCTAAATGGATCTTGAAATATACTTATATGTATATCTGATATCTAAGAACAATAAAGATTCTACTCAGACAACGTACAAAACGTAACATGAATTTTTCCAACGAATAATTTAATTTCCGAATACCTGTCGCGTACCTGTAAAAACCAGATCAAATGGTCGAACGACGTTCCAATGCTATAAAACTTTGGCCGTGACCATTCTGTCCTCACGTTTTTGTTAGACAAAGTATCGTCTAATACATGCGTATCAACATTGATCAGATCGGCAACATTCGCTACAAGTATCGACAGTATTAGTACAAAGACTAGAAGGACAACAGTGGATTTCGTTATTTTCATTTCCAAAGGGCCTCCGCAAATGCTTTACACAGCGATTTCCTTAGCGTTATCAAAATGACATGTACTTTTTTAGTAAACATTCGATCTTTTACCGAAGCCACCTGCTGTTTGTGTGCTTTTGATGTTTACAAAGTCCCTACGTCATAGGTTATATTCCGCGGCACGTGTGACACTTCGAACGACAAGATATATTGGAATAGGAAGACAATCTGGAATCTCGGTTTCTCATAATATTAACATTTTTCACGACCGATCGACAATCGTTCATCAACATGCATACACTGTTAACTCTCCAATCATTACAAAACGTCGAGGACCAAGATTCGCGATGTTTTGCGCATGACGGATCTACGCAGTGGTACTCATCAATGATTCTACTCAAACTAAAAATGTCGAACAATCAGGAGCGTAACAACGTTTTGCGAAGCTGTAATTAACGAATTAATGGATGTATAAAACGTATAAATATTTATAAAGCTAAAATACTTTCACATGCAAACACTAAAATATCCCTTGGGAACTTTACATTTACAATTATATCTCTAATCCGAGACCTTGTTATCAAAATTTAGACAATCAAATTTTCGCGGTTCAACATTTTGCATGCAGTTTTTAAATGTCGAGTACGTTACGTAATTAAGTATCCGAAATGTGCTCAAAGCAGGGTTACGATTATTCGAATATTTTAGTATTCAGATTAAGTATTTGAATTTTATTGGTATTCGAGTACTATTGATAAATTTCGAATAATTGCTTTACGTATGTTAATTCGCAGGGTTCCCTTGAGAAGGCGATACATTCCTGAGCAGCCTTTTTAAAATTAAATTATCATTTCAGAATTGAAAACCACTGAACCACGATAATTTTTCTTACTCGGCCGAGAACATCCGTGAGTGTTCGTGAGTGTTGCGTGTCGTGCCAATGTGTCTCGCTTAGGAAAAATAAGGGTACATACTTGCATAGTGCTCGGTAGTGACATATGTGACTAATTTTTAACCGAACTATATAATACGCTTATCCGTAATGTTCTAATTTTTCTCTTCTGACAGCGTCCATTCTATTTCCAATCGTACGTTCCTATCTACACTTTAATATTCTTACTATATCGTTACATTAAACGATTTTCTCGTAGAAATGACTGCATTCCCCGCAAAACGAATTAGACATTATACGCGTATATAACCTATATTCTTAACACATATATTGATTCAATCGTAACCCTTCCATAGGAAATGTACGTACATTCCATCATGTTAAATTTTTTGATTTACGTAAACCAATAAGTAAATATATATATATATATATATATATATGTATATATGCATATCTATATACGGATACGATAAATTCTATTAAAAAAAAAGTAATATTTATTGCTATAAATAAATGACATGTTTTGGTGCCGAAAAGAGATTTAAATTGATTTATATTAATAAGCTTATAACAGAAGCGATGCGAATATTTGTTTCGATGTGATATGCAGCAGATTGTGCCATTGATTAATCTTGTTCCACTAAAAATTTCATTCTTTTTACAAGTATTATTCGTTTTCATGCAAAAATAAAATATTACGTCGAATATGCTTTCTATAATAACTTGCGTACGATAGTTTGTATTGTTCGTTTACGAAGCATGGAATTCGAACGTGAAATTCCTTACAGTATAGAACATTAGAACGTGACACGAATAAATATCTTCGCCTCGATATTTACAATTAATCCATTGAAATTTTAATGCTCTTGTTTCGCTTAATTTCTGTTTAGTTTTTAAACGGTCGTACAACGATTAATCCGAATTTTGTACTTTCTTTCGAACGAAATAACTACAAACGAAAACTGTTTCTGTATTGTGAAAGAAACAGGTTATTTAAACTTGTGATTTTTTTCAATGATACCAGAGCGAAATACGAAATATTGTAAATATTTTGAAATCTGTGACCTCCAATAATTTTCCTGGGGTCATTTTAAAGAAATTGTGTTAATAATCTAAAGATTAAGCAGTCCCATATTTATAAGAAGCAGTGTATATTAGTAAATGAAGTTATAATCTGTTTTTCTTTTGGTTTTGATATTACAGATGGCATCTAGCGCGCTTGAAGAAAAAATCAATAAAATTAGGCAACAAAATGAAGAAATTAGAAGAAGATATGAGGTATATCTATCTGTTGCGTAAATATAATTACAATTGTATTGTAATATATTTTTAAAATCATTCGATATGTAGCTGTACCGTGTCACCTTATACTCAATGTACACTTAGCATTTATATTTGTTCTATAAATCATTTTCATTGTCAGGAAGTGGAAGAGGATAAAAAGAATGCAGCAAAATTAAATGCTTTGGTGCAAATGGTGCCATCGTCAGACTGGCCAGAAAGAAGGGAACCCCCAGAATTTTCAAATCCGCCTAAAACCAAACAAAAACCAGTCAAAGAAAAACAAGAGTACATACCACAATCTCACATTATCGAAGGAAAGAAGATACACACATTTGCTCAAGTATGTAACAAGATTTCATACAGAATTTATTAAAATGTATTGTATATAATCACTGCAATTATGTTAAACTTTTGTTTAAATAACTTAATAGTTTTTGCACTTTTTATTCAACTTTTTAAAAAAATATAATATATTATAGGGAGAAGGGCCACCACCAGATCCTAAATACAATTTTCTGGCTGATTCAGAGCGAGAAGAACCAGGCATGGAGCATGCAAAAGAAACTTCTGGAAATAGATCTCACAATAAAGTAATAAGAGGCAGTTTCAGGAAGAAAACTGGTGGAAGAGAGAGCACACAGAAAGTGTGTAATAATATTGTTTTTGTAAATTTAGTTACTTTTGTAAAATATAAAGAAATTTAACTTTATGCAGGATAATAAAGTATATAAAGGAAACTACAGGGATGACTCTCAACCAGGATATGATGCATGGAGAGCAGAACGGAATCGTATCGACGAAGATCGCATCAGCAGGCAAAGAACGGCGGAAGGCAATTGGCGCAGAGAATGGGATAATGATAAAGTATGATCGCACCTTCGTTCTATTTGGCAAAACATAAATAAATATATGTAAAACATAAATAAAAATTTTAAACATCACCAATTTCTTAAGACTTCTAACAGTATATCGTATCATCTGAGACACGGTTTTCAACTTCACGTTACAGATGCATATTATAGACGACGTAACGAAGAAAACAACAAGGCCCGTATTGGCAGACTTTACAAAGAAAGATCATAAAGACTCTGACAGGAGATACTATACGAATAGTATGTATCATCTGTAATTAATCTTCCTTGCATTGTATGAATTGCATTAATAAATCATATTCTTTGTAGATAATGAATATGCTAATCATACCCGAGGCGGAAGTCGCGGTTCTCATCGTGGTTCGTCGAAGAACTTTTACGGGAATTACGAGAACCGATCTCACAATACATACGATCAACATAGAAACAATGCAGCGATGCCAGCAAAAATTCCATTGTCTCCAACTTCGGAAGGAAGAACAGTTACTGCAACCGATAAAAGTATCAAGGTTACAGTTAATCAAAGCAACGTATCGAAAGGTCCGATGATGAGCGTCAAAGGTATTTTGTTAACTACATTTTATATAATCTTTTGCTAAAGTATTGAAATACATAAATGTTTGCCTTCTACCGAGAAAACATATGGTTTCCATTCTCCCGAATTTTGTTAGTTTTTTTCGTTAAAAAACCCAATATTTATGAACTACCAGTAAAAATGCTCGTGGTATTTATTTTCTTTTAATTGCCTTATGTTACTATAGTTTGTAAATTTTAGTGAACACGCCAAATATAGTTGGAACTGGGAGAGTCGGGCCACGACAGAGGTCTCGCGTTACGTATAGCAGCTATTTGGATACCGAAGCACCAATGTCAGAAGTTGAACCTTTCTTTCGTCAAAAGTCATTTGAGGATAAGTCAAAGGGAACCTATTTCAATAATCAGAAATCTCCTAATGTAAAAAGGTCTCAGTCTCTGAAAAAGAAGGACGGCGAATCAAAGTATTTATATAATCCGAGGAAAGAAATGAGAAAAGAAGATAGTGATACTAATTCTCAGAGGCACCATGAAAGCGAGGTTAGATCTTACGCGCAGAAAGATTTGCAAAAATCTCATTCTGCTAAATCGCCGAAGCTCATGAGAAGAAACGCAAATGCAATGAAACAGGATTCCTCGAACGAGAATGTCCCGAGCAAATCCGAAACTCGTGAATGCTTGAATAATGATTCAACGGAACATGAAAATAACGTTATAATTGAGAATAGCGAGACGTTAGAAACATTCAAATCCGCTCTAATGATTCATCATACTAAAGTATCTGATACAGACAGTGAAGAACAAACTGTTAAAAATGAGATTACAAGCGATACAGCAGCAAAACAGGAAACGGAAGAAACTTCTTTGACTACTTTGTCGCATATAGAAAATTTTGATGGTACTACCAAATATGATATAAATATAAACAGTCTCGAGAACGTAAGTGATTATTCGCAGTTGCTTGTAAATAATTTAACAGACGATTTACAAGAATGTAATATGTCTTCCGAGGCGTTGGTTCCGAATAATGTTAAGTGCGAAAAGGAACTTCTGCCAAATGAAAGCAATAACGTCTCCAACGATATCGTTGAGCTAGGAGAAGAAGCATTTTCGAACAAAGATAATCAGCAATCATTGGAACAAGTCAGCCAGGAACTTGTGCCAAACGAAAGCAATAATGTCTCTGACGATATCGTTAAGTTAAAAGAAGAAGGACTTTCGAGCAAAGATGATCAGCAGTTATTGGAACAAGTCAGCCAGGAACCTGTGCCAAACGAAAGCAATAATGTCTCTGACGATATCGTTAAACTAGGAGAAGAAGCACTTTCTAGCAAAGATGATCAGCAGTTATTGGAACAAGTCAGCCAGGAACCTGTGCCAAACGAAAGCAATAATGTCTCTGACGATATCGTTAAACTAGGAGAAGAAGCACTTTCTAGCAAAGATGATCAGCAGTTATTGGAACAAGTCAGCCAGGAACCTGTGCCAAACGAAAGCAATAATGTCCCTGACGATATCGTTAAACTAGGAGGAGAAGCACTTTCTAGCAAAAATGATCAGCAGTTATTGGAACAAATCAGCCAGGAACCTGTGCCAAACGAAAGCAATAATGTCTCTGACGATATCGTTAAACTAGGAGAAGAAGCACTTTCTAGCAAAAATGATCAGCAGTTATTGGAACAAATCAGCCAGGAACCTGTGCCAAACGAAAGCAATAATGTCTCTGACGATATCGTTAAACTAGGAGGAGAAGCACTTTCTAGCAAAAATGATCAGCAGTTATTGGAACAAGTCAGCCAGGAACCTGTGCCAAACGAAAGCAATAATGTCTCTGACGATATCGTTAAACTAGAAGGAGAAGCACTTTCTAGCAAAAATGATCAGCAGTTATTGGAACAAGTCAGCCAGGAACCTGTGCCAAACGAAAGCAATAATGTCTCTGACGATATCGTTAAACTAGGAGAAGAAGCACTTTCGAGCAAAGATGATCAGCAATCGTCGGAACAAGTCACTGAACAATTTGCAAATAATAACTTTGATGATATCATAAATGAAGATACCGAACAACGAAGTGCACTAGCGACAACCGATGCCGCTATTCTTTTGGAGATCGAAACATATTCTGTGATAGGAGCTAAGAATCAATCAATTAACAACGAGTTAATAGAGGAAAAAACACCGATCGTAGGTGAAAAAATAGATGAAAGCGTTGACAACTCTAATATAAACTTAAAAAACGCTGCAAATTCGAAAATAAATGCGGATAATATTCTTAGCGACGTGAACGTGAATGGAAATTCGACGGAAATGAATAAAGAGAAAACAGAAAAGATACAAGACGTGGAGGAAGAACTGTAAAATATTACAATAAGAAAACAGTATCAGTTATCAATAATACACTCAAATCGATTATATCGATACATTTTTTAGTATTGAAAACATTGTCGTAGCTCGCTTCTGTCGGAAATATTCTCCCGATACATAATCAGGAGTAGATTTTACGACAACGACAGACATCGTCACATTTCCTTTTAATTATTAGAATTTAAATTGTTACTTTTGAATTTCTTATCGTTCTTAAGCAATTTTCGAAAGCAGAAGAAAACTAACGTTTAATTTATTGATTCATTGTCGTCCATGAGAATTAGAAATATCGTCATAAATTGTTGAGTCTGTTGGTCAGGACTATTAAAAGATATTTTAGATACTTTCAAGACTACGCTTTCGGAATTCGCTGATTAACTAAGTGATACTAATTGCGCACAATCATATTGATGTTACTTGTTTAATCCTTTACGGCTTTACTTCTATCATTTTCCTACGATACTGTCGTTATAAACGAAAAGCTGTTTTTTTTTTCTTTGTTAAACACGTACTAACGAAATAATGTATGAATCCAACCGAAGTGTAATACTCTTTACGTTGTAAAAGATTTACTTTTATTTTTCTATTTTTGTGGGATGAAATTCCGCAAAGGATTTAACGCACTCAAAGTTAATTGTTACAGCGCTTTCGTGTACGTAGAAAACAAAATTATGACTTAAATTTCTGATATTTTGTATAAAATTCTACGACAATAGATCGCACTTGAATAATATTTTTATAATTGGCTATAATGATTAGCTATATATTAGACATTTATATGTGTATATCTTTTAAATATCCTAGAAGGAAAAAAAGAAGAAAAATTAACACGTCGATATCCCGAGAACTGTTGATTCAAAAGCAACAGTCACGTATAATATTCTAAACGGTACACTATGTTTATTTGATCTTAAATAAGGATCAATGTTATGATACTTTATAGTCTATACATATATATACATATTTATTTACATCTTTTTACTAAAAGATTATTTATTGTATGTTTCTTTTTTTTTTTATTATATAATATTTTTGTTAAGTTCTTGCTTTATGTTTTCAATTTTATTTACGACATGAGTAACTAATCGGCTAATGTATAAAAATCGCACCGCCACATATTAAGTAGAAAAGAAGGAATTATAAAAATAACTGAAAGATGAAGATAATTATGACTTATGGATCTGTCTATCTATGATCTTGCTTTTGCAAAAAAAGAAGAAATTAGCGAAATAAATTGTTAACCTTGGAAGTTTCTTTAATGAAATGTAACTACGTTTGCGTTTAAATTTTTAAATATTTCCACGCGTGAAATTATACGCATAAAATTTTCTTTTTTCTTTTCGATCGCTAATTTTTTTCAGCAAAATTGCATTATTTTCATATGTTAAGTGCCATCGTGATATTTCTTTTTTTTTTTTTTTTTTTTTTGGGGGTGCCATTACCGTTTTAAAACTGTTCCTCAAACATCTCTTCGCTATAATCCTCGATAAGATCGTCAGATTCTGTTACCAAAATTGGTGGTGCATAATCCAAAGCCTCCATCGAGTTTGTTATTCTCAGCCACAGTTTTCTATTTTTAAGATTATTCTAATACATGAAAAAAAAAATAAACAATAAAAGTTGTTAATACAGACGCATTGTCTATTCTTCTGTGGTTTGCAACGCCATTCAATATTGAAAATGAAACTTTTAATAAATTAAATAATGTTTCGAAATACGACTCACTTTTATCATTTCCCTATAACACTGACAAAACTCGTCGTATCTTCTAAGAGTCATGTTTAACAAACACAAATACCCCCATATATCTGGATTGCGATTATCGATTCGATTCGCTTCCGACAGTGCTGTTTCTGCCTCTTGAAACTCATTCAGCTTGAGCGAAGTACATATATTTAAAAAATTATGTTCTATCGATCGAAGCGTTTTAGTTTATTCAAAGAATTGTCTCTTACTTCGTAGCAGCTTATGCCAGCACCTAACCATGTTTGCGAAGTTGGTGAGAACTTGCATGCGCTCAGAAAAATTTTTTTCGCGCGTTCATAGTCACCAGCTTCGAAACAATGATACCCCAGTCTAAGAAATTATACTTATTAATACATTATGGGTTTTTCAAGTCATGGAAATGTTTAATGCGATTAAAATAGCATTAGTATTGTTGTTACCTCACTTCCACTAAATGCAAATTGTTAGGTCTATCAAACAACATGCGTGTAAATTCATAGCATTCTATAGCTTGTTCCTTGTTACCCAATTTTAAGTAGCAGTGACCCATTAGACTACCGATTGAATAATCCTACGAAAAATCGACATCAAGAATGAAACGAATCTATAGAATTTTAAATCGCATAAGTCAATGACACAAACCATTCCGTACGTGCATTTAATTTCTTCTAAATGAGAAAGCGCGTCTTCGAATCTACCAGACAAATAATGCTCCACCGCCATGTAGTACAGGAAATGAGTAGATCTATTAGAATTAGACATTTCCTCTGCCAATGCAATTCCTGCAAACTGTAAACGACCGGAATACAATATTTCAAAGAAGAAGAAATTAATGTTGGTAGCAATGTAACATCAATCAGTCCAGGTATATTGTTTTCAAAACTAATTTTTAGCTATAATTAAATATACTATACTTTATGTTAAATATGTTTTACTTCGCAGAGATTCAACTTCAATAGAAATTTTGTCGTCATCATGTAGACATTATTCTCGGGACAATGAAACGTGAACCAAGCGAGCGGTTCTTCGGTAAGTTTTATTACTTGATTCTTGTCTCTTATACATTTCTCTGCTACACGAAGCGTAAGATCTACTCCTGCAATATTGACAAACAATTGGATCTTATTAAATACATAGTTACATACACATTAAAAGCTACTTTACAATTCCACTGTCTGTAAAATGCCAGAGCGATGGAGGTTACCTGGATAATATTCTGTTCGCAAATAGAAAAGATGCAAAGTGGCCCAGCCCTCAAAAAATCTTGGGTAAAAATCTGTGATGGCTCTGAAGAATATTTCTGCCTGTTTGTATTCTTGTTCTTCGAACAGGATCATCGCGTAAAATAGTAATCTATAATCACTAGAATTTACTGTTTGCTCGTGATTAAAACTTATGTCTTGGGAATAATCAAAGACCAAGGACTTGCTTACGCGAACACATATTGCCTATTTAATGCGAGCGCTTCTAAGCAGCATTGTTTCGCGCGTTCGGTGTCACCGATCTTTTTAAGAAAAATCGCATACTTCGTCCAAGGTTCTGGGTCAGTCTTATACGTCGTTATTACCTGCAGAAAGAACGAACATTCAGTAAATTTTAATAAACCCAATTGTTTTAATTCAATAGTATAATCCACGCGGGGTACCAAAACATTATTTTAACATGTTTAGAATATTGCCTAGAAATAATAAAAATTTCGCATAAAGGTTGTGGGACAAGGAAAAAATTTTACTATTATTTTATGTTGAGTACATTAAACGGCAATATCTCGAACGTGAAAATATGCAACGCGCGGCGTGTGTCCTTTACTATTACAGAATAAACTGAGCAAAGCGTTTACTGTCGTGTAATAACGTTTCGCTTTATCCAAGTCTTCAAGCTCGTAAGCCTCTTCGGCGTAAAAATACAACAGTTTCGCATTCACGACGTGTGGCAGATCCTGAACGTGTCGGCCTTCGACGATTTTATTGATAGCTATGTGCATCTGTTCGACCAAGTACGTGTACACAGATGCGATGAAATTCTGCGAATAAAGTCGTTCGATATAGAAAACAGTATTATGTTCGCATATACAGATATGTGTATGTATATAGGTGTAAGTACTTGAGTTTTGTTGGAATCGATTAGGTTCAAAGGCATCCGGAACCTTTGATCTAGCAGCATAGTGACTTTCGCTTTCAATGTGTTACGTATAGATATATATATCCCAGTTTTATAAAGATATTGCATAAAGCACGTTAACTCGTCCTGAAATTTGCATATTTAACGTATTATTTTATTTTTCGATTTTAATTGACGTACACAGTGACGCTTGGTTAGTACAGTTAGGTCACCGACGACCCGCAACTATTTAAATCGTTTCGTTTCGTTTTGTACAGCGTAATAGATTTATCGATTTACCAATTTAGAATCGTAGCAGTATTTTCTCGGTTCTTTTTCTTCGTCGGTAGTCTTTCCAACGATTGTGAACGGCTCGGGATTCTTTTCATTTTCATCGCGAAAATCCTAGCTTGAAGAAGTAAAAATTTCCAATTGTAATATTTAAATCCCATTGATTGACATTTAACGATTTTCTAAGCATCTATATTTTATTCCTATGTTTTAGTATTTTATATTTTATACAATTCATACTCGATAACTTTCCGTGATAACCTCGGCCAATTTTTGAACGCAACACGTGTACTGTTGTTCTGCCACGTCACCGGTGTACACGTAGGGCGTTTTTTTTTCTATTCTCGGAATCAAAAGTTTCATCCTGTGAAAATATCATCCAACCTTACCTTTAATTGTATTGAGTTATACAAATAGTATAAAAATAAATAAATAATATAGCAACGATGGAATTTATAACGGTATTCACAAATTCGAGAAGTCTTGCATGATTCTACAAGAAACGAGAGGCCGATAGACTTCGATTTCGATTACAATAATGGTAGGTTCTCCAGTTTCTGACATCAACGGTGTGCTCGAGGGAACTTCCGCTTCGGATTGTTCCGACTGTGAATTCTAGAATTCAATGATTTCGTTACAAACAATTAAGTACACCGTCGTCATTTTTACTTTTGACGTTTTATGTTTCTTTTCTTTGTCCTTTGTCTCTCTGATCCGCGTTTCCGGAACAAAGATATTATTCTCGAGACCAACTTTTTCGGATATATCCGTGACATTATAAGTATACAATTGGCCTACGATCCGGGAACTTCCCTCTGCAAAAGGAAGAATTTTTCTTTCATGAACATTTCGTCGACGTCTTCGTGAATTAGTTTAAAAAATAACGCGGTTTACTTCCTGGGAAAAGAAGCTCCGAAACATCGACGTAGCACTGGTATAGTTGTGACTTCGGTAACGAGCTGACCTTAGACTTTGCCGAAGAGTTCTTCTCGTTCATTATGAATTGGAACGGCCAATATTTGTACCTTCAAATTTTGAATATCTTCGTTTACTAGATTTAATAGCGCTTTTAAGTAGCGCGTAATTAATACCTCATAATATGATTTTGCATCGCTTCGATTCCCGTTTTCCATAAAATACATCGATGTACGGCGTTCCATTCGATTCGTGGCGCGTCATTGCACACCATTTCCTAAAATACCAATAATAATTTTTAATATAGAATGTATTCTATAAGAACATCTATTGGCATAGACATTCGGAAATTCAATAATAATAGTACCGCCAAATTGATCTGCTTCTTAAACATATTCTTCACTCCCATAAAATCACAGTCCAGTTTATACTTGGACAGTCTGGATCTATTTTCAAGATTGTTCAATGTATTCCAACGCTTGGTCCTTTCGACGTCACGGAATTTCATCCATTTCCCATGCTCGAAAATTACATTTTCAGGGACCTAATATCAAACAATGAGTTTGTTAAACCACAGATTTATGAGCGGCAGTATGCGACAACCATCGTACCTCGGCATCTATGTACGCTATAGTGCCAGCTTTGTATTCCAAATTTTCCGTGAACGATTCTGGCAGATTGTAAATACTCTCCACCGTGATGTTAAGAAAATTCACGTTTTCGCTCGTTCGAATCAACGGTATACCATCTTGTAAAACATTTACCGTCAAAAGGGGGAGATTCTGCCACGGTGTTAGCGTACCGTCGTAAGAAAACTGTGGCGTTTCTAGTATCAGTTTCTCAGTGAAATATCGTTCGCCTAAAAAATTTGTATATTTTCTAACAAACGATCGTTACTTTAAAAAAATCACGGTCACCAAGTTTAACATTTTTAGATAAAAATTAACAGTAACAAGGTTCTCAGCACCTAATACTATCGGCATTAAATCGAGATTACAGATTCCCAATAATCTCGGCGTAAGTGTAGACGCAGACTTGGTAGTGAATATCGATCGTTTTTTAACTTCGGTGATAGAGACGGTAGAACGTTCTTCCTCTTCGTTTTCTGCGACATACTCAACCTTTACTGCAAGTAAAACATTACTTGCAAATAAAACAGATAAAATATACGTATGGTCTATTAAAACGAATAATTTTAATTTTTACTTAAAATTGGAGTCGATACAATTGAATCAAGACTTTCTCGGTCGTTTATAATAACTGGCAAGTAGACTACGAAATCGACGTCGTGAACTGATAATTTCTCCTCGCAATTTGCTTCCACGAATATAGGAGTACTTTCACCCAAAATAATTCCATTATGCTCCACTTTGAATGTCACCTGTATGTCGTCCTTTCTAATCTAAATTTTTCGAAAACTGTGACGTTATACGGAAAATGACGATTAATAAATAATTTTAAAGGTACAAAATTTCTGTCTAAAACAAAATAAAATTTTTAATTCGACTTGAAAGTTACGTTACAAATTTGAATAGCCAACGTTACATTTACGATCATTGGAAAACGAGTTTTTAATTTTGTTTATAAAACAGTTCTCGCCGAATACTTACTATATTTTCAATGGTATTTACAATTATTTCGAGTTTCTTCTCTGTTAACGAACTTTGTTGCAATAACGAATGCTCCATTTTATTGAAAAATGAAATCCTGATAATTAATGTAAAAAGCACCACGGTTCGGTGCTTCTGCTGTTTGAAAAACAAAAACAAAAAAAAAAACAAAGAACAAACTTCAAAAATTCACGATAAAATATGTGGTCGCATTATAATATTAATTTTATTACTTAATAATATATAATTTGTTCAATAAATTAGTATTACACGTATGCGCGATGTATTTATGATTAAATACGTACGATATATAAATACAAACATTATAAATAATTTATTACACTACTACGAGGGACGGTCAATCAATTGCACGGTTCGCTTGGTTATCACTTCAGTTCATAAAATATGAAATTGGATCGAATTCACCCATTCTGAGCAAGTTCCACGTTGTTTTATCGATTTGTACACAGCTATTTATGTATTTACATCGAAAACAGCGTCGTTTCTTTTGCGTTTATAAAATTTTTAATTGTATATTCAAATTATCTAGTATTTATTTTAAATTATCTCAAAAACCTTTGAAATGGAATCATTGCCATGAGCAATGTTTTCCTTTCTTCAAGGAAAATCATGTATAATTTTCTTCCTGCAACTCCTTGTAGAAGAGTTGGTGAAGTAAGAAAAGGTAAAAATTCTTTGAGATAATCTGCTTGAGTTAAAATTTTCAAGCTTGCCAACAAAAAACTTATAATTAATTGTTCAATAAAACTTAATATCGTTTCTTTACGTATATCACATTTTATTTTATTAACAGTATATAAAGACGAGCGCCTCTTCAAATGGGAAAAGGTGTAAAATAGAGTAACGATCTGTGAAATTTCTATATCCGAAGTTAAATTTTTATCTAATTAGTTCTGTATTACCAAATTTTATAAAGAACGCATTAAGAGGTTATAAATTGATGGTGCTTCGAAATCGTGTAAACTATTTGCACAGGTCAAGGCACTAAGATTCCAAGTTCAAGTGTCATGTCAGCAACAAATTTTATATTAAATCGAAAATCATAAAGAAGTATCGATCGATTAAATTTTTCGTTTATTATCATATTTAAAAAGTTTGTCTTTACACATTCTACTTTTACTATCTTCGCTATGCCTTCAGAGCAATGGCTACACTGCGTAATATAGGAAAGTTTATTTACACAATGTGAATTTCTTATATTCAGAGTTTCTTCGATTAAAACATATTTTCCGAAGAGAACAATTTTATAAAATGAAATCGGCAAATTCCTGAAAAATCTGAAACCGAAATTCGAAAACGAGTGTTAAGACAAGGTAGAATCTCATCCGGTACGAAAAATATATTCATAAAAATCCACGTTATGTAAATAAGCGTTTCTCATTTGAACGTAACGCGCGAGTATACTGCTTGTTGCACGGTATAAAAAGAAATGTACGAATGTACATTTGAGTATCAAAACGTTACAGACGGATATCAGTCGACTAGCAGTACGATCGTATTTTCTTCTTTTGCATGGCTAAACGTGCGATTAAATTCGTAGGAAAAAAAACCATAGATTCGTACCCGGAGAGAAATATCAGTGAGTGTGGAAAAAATTTCTCTCCGTGCGCTTTAGGTCTCGTCTAACGCGCTACTGGACGCGAAATAACAGTTCGAATTGACGGGCAACTCGATGGACGAAAACCGAGTGGCGCCACGCGTCTCGAAATCATTTCGATCTTATCGACCGCACGATCATTTTCAACGGAAACGATCAACTAAATTAAAGGGTCTTCAAGGTCTTCTCGATGTGCCTCAACGTTGTTTCCGGCACAGCGTCTGTCAACGCTTTTTGAAATCCTTCGTAGATCATCAGACATCGAAACATCCTTTTCGTATGGTTTCTGTGAAATTAGAATGAAATAACATTTCTTATCGGGGGAAAAAATCTTATCCTATGATTTTTCTTTTTTTTTTATTATAACAGTCAGGATCCATGGTAATACATATCATAAAAGACGTTTATGGTACTCCTTAAAACAGCCCCCTAAACATAAACCTGGATTATCCTTACACCCACTGCAAAAGTAATTAGTGTTTTTTCGTAATCCTTTAGCAAAACATTGTCTACATCTTTTCCTTTTTATTCTGTTTTGTTCGTCTCTTGATAACATTTCGGGTAAATGCTCATGTTGCAACAAAGTAGGAGGTATATTTTCTTGATTATTTTCGAATAAGAATGCATTAATAATGCATAGACGAAAATTGAAGAAGATTATCTTCTTTGTTGAAGGTGAGTATTTCGAATACAGAAAAAAAGAATTTAACAATAAAGTTTCTACAATATTTATCCATAATTTAATGTACCATTTAAATGTTCTTCTAACACAACTACAATAAAACAACATTTGATCCTTCTTGTAGATATCATCCATAAATGCATTATACTTATATAATGCTAAGGGCTTTTTATATTTTTCTTTTTTTTTATTTTCCAATTCTATAAAATCTGCATTAAATTCGCTCGAGATAAACAAAACGTCTTTTTTATCTTGAAATTTACCCATCATAATATTGTTTTTGTGACGAAATATCATTTCACCTTTTGCAAGCTTTGCCTTAACAACATGTATATTATTTCCATTTCTGAAGTTTTGTAAAGTGCCTGTGCAATAAGTTTTGGCATCAAGTAGTTGTTTAGATAATTCGAAACTGGTATAGAAACTATCCATATAGACAGAATGTCCTTTTTGTAGAAAATCTTCTAGTAAATGTAGAACTACTTTTGTTGCGTGTTTCTTGCCACCGCCATCGATACCGCTTCCTTTATACGCGTTGATTCGAAGAGTTATTCTCGAACTTTCTGTTAAAACATATAATTTGACACTGTATTTATATCTTTTACCAGGCATGTAATCTAGTTTGCCTCTCCAAGGAACTTGTGTCTCATGTATCGAAAGTTCTTTTAATGGATAATATACTTGTTTCATTTTATTATTGAAGTAATCAATAATTGGCTGTATCTTGTTCAAACTATTATTATCTTCGTTGTTTGAAGAGAAATGCAAAGAACTTAAAATTTCTTGAAACCTGTTCCTACTCATATGTTGCAAGAAACAAGTGAAATTAAACAGCCTCTGTGTACTCCAATAATTTTGTAATTGAGGACATTTAATTGTGCCCATATGTAATAGCAGACCAAGAAATATTTTAAACTCTGCTACTGTTAATTCTTTCCATTGATCACCTTTCCTGCTCTCTCCATATTTATTTGTTTCAATAACAATATTTGAGAAAAACGTCTTATCAAATAGCAGTTCAAAGAAATTATAAGGATCTGGTCCACCGGCTGAATACTTCAAACCAGCATCTTCTTGAAATTGAAATTTCTTGAATTTGCCATTGCACATCCATTTTCCATCATTTTCTATCACTTCTATACATTTATTTAATTCTTTACTCTCTGATTCACTGTTACTCTCACTTTCATTATCCATTTCTTCAGATATTGTTTCACTATCTTCATTATCTGTCTCTATAGGATTTGTACTCATGTTTTCCTGCCAATTTATTTCACTATCATCGCTATCATATATATTCATTCTCTGTCTTTTAGTTCGTTTAAGTGCCAATATAAAATCTTCACCTTCATCTTCACTGCTTAGAATTTGATATGTCGATGGTCCTGGTTGTGGATTATCCATTTTTAACTTGATCTTACAATTTATAGAAGTTTTGCTTTTTATACACCTTATTCTGCGATTCGTTTTTCTAATAGTATGACTTTCTAACAGTATGATCACTCTTTAAAATCTGACTGTTGCCACTGATCTCTGTACATGACCCACATGCTGCGTCATCGGTTAAATGAGCGTTGCATGACTCATGTGCTGAGTCATCGGTCTCTAATGCATTAAAGACGGGACGAATGTAAATAGTACTACTCACGTGATCTTCACGTGATTAAATTCCCATTGGTTTGCTGTGCAAACGCGTTTGTACGAGCCAAGGCTGTGTTATACTGTAATAGACCGAATGCTTCGTATTTTGTTGTATCGTGTTATTTTTTAAAAGTAGTTTTACTTATCTTATTTTTAATAGCGTTTTTATATCTTTTCTTTTAATGACAATTTGCATAAATATTTATTTATCGAAGATCTCTCTACTAATACGTTCCTGTCACAGATACTATGTGTGCACGTGACTCCGTTTAACTTGCACTCTATCTACATATATCTTGCATTTACAGGGTGATTCTAATAACTGGACTTTAAAGAAATCTCATGCATTTACCTGGCGTCCAGATTCCCATCGATCAACAATCTTGCACCCGTGTTGAGTAACTTATCTTTCACATCTTTTGGCAACATCATGGTGTGTTCTGGTCCAATTCGATCGACTATAGAGGCCAAAAGTCTGGCTGTCGTTGCCCTCACGATAGCGTTTTGATGACTAAATAAAGAAAAAGAATGAATTTATAACATGATCTTCCGATTCGAAGATCTTGTACCGAAACCGATATACTACCGAGTATCGAAATAAGTACCGGAATTATTCAATACATCGATATTTGACCAGAACTTTTATACAAAGGTCTGAAACAATTATTTTCGGGACTTATACAAGCCCTGGTTAAGGGAATCGTGAATTTTGTCATTAAATTTTGTCGCATGTCATAAGTCAATGCTGTCCAACATAAATTCCTGAAATTCTCCCTCTCTGTATCTGTTACTACAGTTCAGTTCTGTAATACGACGTGTACATATAGTGGGAGAAAGTCGTGTAAGCGGCGTAAGATATTCCACAGATAGCACTGCTTAATACTTTCATGGCCGCTGTCACGCATGCGTGATTTCATTCTGCCCAGCGGTTATCGGCCGGTGTCACGTATTCGTCACTTCGCTTACGCGGCTTTCTACTATATCGCTATTCACCGTAATTATCTCACGTTTGTTTAAGTTGAACTTTATTTCATAGATACATTCGTGCTTTTGTATATATTTCTTTTCAACAATCCTTAATAGCCTTCAATGCCCCACTTCAATCAGTCTAAAACTGTATTTTTTCTCGTTCATATTGCGTCGCTAACTTTTGTATTGTATACTAAGAGTTTAGAAAAATTTCAAAGTATCTTGAAAAATGTCGAGGGATACAGAAGAAATATATGCTGACCCCTTGTCGGATATTGATAGCGATACAGATAAAGTATCAATGTATAGTGATGAAGATTCCGATAGTGACAGTGACATAATGAGACGTGTTAGATCACAAGCACTACCATCATGGAATGACTCTGATGAAGATGAAAATAATCCAGATGATGAAAGTAAATGGTTGGAAATTGACATTAAACCAGAGTTTCACAATTTTATTGGACAATCTGGTGTACAGATACCTACAGAAGATTTAAATGATGTAAAAGCAGTTACAAAACTTGTTATTGGGGATGATTTAATGAATTTATTTGTTACAGAATCAAATAGATATCGTTATCAGAATAGCAGTAACAGTAGTACAGGTAAAAATAAAGAATGGACTGATATAAGCATTACAGAAATGAAGCAATTTCTAGGACTCATTATAGTAATGGGATTTGTGAAGAAATCTGAGAAAGATGAATATTGGTCCACAGACCCATTACTCTGTACACCAATCTTTGGAAACACAATGAGCAGAAACAGATTTCGCCAGATATGGAGATATTGGCACTTTAGTAACAATGATAATTGCCAAAATAGACTGGACAAAATTAGACCTGTTCTTACATATGTGACAGAGAAATTTCAAACAGTATATAAACCACAAAAAGAATTGTTTCTTGACGAAAATGTAATACCTTGGGGAGGAAGGCTCTCATCTCGTAAATATAATCCTGCAAAACTGATCAAATATGGCATACTAGTGCGAATGGTTTGTGAAGCAGTCTCTGGTTATATTTGTAAATTAGAAATATATTGCGCACAAGGAAAAACATTGCAAACTACAATTTTTTCCACATTACACCCGTTCTTAAATTTATGTCACCATATATATATGGACACTTACTATAATAGTACAAAAATTACAGAAAAATTGCTGGAATATGAAACAGGCGTTTGTGGAACTATAAGAAAAAACAGAGGTGTGCCAAATTGTTTGAAAAATGTAAATTTAAAAGAAAATACAACAGCGTACCGCAGGAAAAACAATACCCTTATTCAAGCATGGAAAACAAAAAAGAAGCTTGTATACATGATTTCTACAATACATTCTGCTGATATGGTTGAGATTATAAATCATAAAACACATGAAAAAATGTCTAAACCTATATGTGTGGCAGAGTATGATAAATATATGAAAAGTGTGGATCGTGCAGATCAATACCTTTCATATTATCCTATTCTTCGTAAAACAAAAAAATGGACAAAAAAAACCACATTGTATTTATTAAATTGTGCACTTTTTAATGCGTATATAATTTATACAAAACTATCAGGAAGCAATATGAGATATAAAAAATTTTTATTTGCTGTTGCCCGTGTATGGCTTGATTCTACACAAGAAACAACTGATGTTTATCCCAATGATCCAGAACCAAGTATGTTAAATGTCTCTATAATATTTGTACAAGACACACTGATTACTAATTACAATTTTTAAACAGGTACTTCTACTAAAAGAGCACCCAAATATGAACCAACTGGTAGGCTATGTTCAGATATGAAAAAACATAGAATTGTAAAAATTATGGGCCAAGGGAAAATAAAAAATCCCAGACGGCCCTGTAGAGTATGCACTGCAGCAAAAAAAAGAAGTTCTACAGCTTTCATGTGTTCATCTTGCGGAGTTCCTCTGCATGTAGGAAAATGTTTCCAGAATTATCACACACTATCAAAATACTAAGCTAATCAGCTAGCAATACTTATTTTCGTTACAAATTATGCAGGCGAAACTCGTCATTAGATAGAAAAAGTCCGTAGAGAAAAAGGTTATGGAACATTATTATACGGTTTATATTAAACACCTCTACTTCATACGGTGCTAGTTGTAATAGTTTCTAATTAAGGTGATTACGATGGTTTTTTTTTATATAGGACGATATGAAATAAATTAAAAAAGAAAGGATTAATATCATATTTACGACTTGACGATATGAAACCTAACCACACTACCAAATCCACTGTCATGAGGTTAATGGCTTACTTGAATGGCGGCCGGTTCAAAACGATTTTCCACTTTCTCAAAGTCCAATTCTAATTTTTCTTTTTTCTATAGTAGTTTCTTTATTCCTAGCATTCATTATGATAAAAACCTATAATTATTTAACTCTTCAGGTACGACATAACTTTCAATTTTATGTGATATGATAAAATTTGTCTTTAGGAGATAAAATTTGATTCGTAAACATAGAAATATATAGGGTTAAGGGGGTAGGCACGGCACGTGACCTCGCCGATTCGGCAGGTCGGTATTACAGCAGATATTCTATGCACAGAAATGGTAATACCATCAGATACGCTGCCGCCTAAAGAAATCAGAGGCAGCTGCTTGCTATTGCCATATACCATTCCGAACAGTGTGACCAATCGACAATAGTAACGGCGAACTTCCTTAGCGTCTAACAGAGTGGTGGGGATAGCAGGTATACATATCCTACTAACCCAGCCCTCGATTCTACGGCTGTATTTCGTTCATTTTTTCCTCGACTTTCGACGTTTATATTAATAAATGTGAACAGAATCTCGTTCGATTTTGACCAGAGCGCACTGCATTGGACCTTCCTCTTTCGAATGAGACCTCATCCGACCCAAAAGCTGCTCATATAAGGGCAAAATCTCTTATTTCGACATAATTGAGTACATCGAAATCGACAGTAATGACGGCGAACTTCCTTAGCGTCTAACGTAGTGAAATAAAGAACGCTAGTGTGAGCCTTTCCTTCTTGCTCTTGTAAAAGAGAAACAACTGAAATACGACCTCGCGATAAGCGGCATACGATTCCAAGCCTCGACTGCCCCAGCATTTTTACTTTCCGACCTATGTAAGGTACAATAAGGAAATTTATGAAGTATCATAATGTAAAAAAAATGTCGAAATTTTTTTTTAGCGGAAATACACGTTTTAGGACCCCCTGATCATATTGTGACTATTAAAAAAAAAGACTTTTTTTTTTGTTCCTATTACATATAAACGGCTGAATGAATTTCAATGAAACTTTACATTTCAGTTTTATGTTCTCGTTTCAAGGTCTGATTAGATTTTGAGCGTGATCAGCCCCCGGATAATGATGATTATACGACTTTTAGTTTTATAATTATTTCGATACATATACATTATTTGTAACAAATTTTGGCAATTATTTAGAAAAGGGGGAGGTCTCACCGATTTTGATGATTTTTGAATATGTTGTAAAAATCAACATTTTGAACAACTTTTTCCTATACATATAACCACCGCTGGCCTTATTTTTCGAGATTTTTCTTCAAAAAGATTGCTGCTACTGCAATGAATTTTGTCTATATGTACATGTCCGTGACTCTGTATGCGTCAGTCCACGACTTTTTTCCTCGACTTTCGACGTTTATATTAATAAATGTGAACAGAATCTCGTTCGATTTTGACCAGAGCGCACTGCATTGGACCTTCCTCTTTCGAATGAGACCTCATTCGACCCAAAAGCTGCTCATATAAGGGCAAAATCTCTTATTTCGAAACCCCCTATTTCGGGCCAAATTGTGTCGGTATACCGCGCGCTGCATTGCTCGTGCCTACCTCCTTCGGTGTCTTTCAATCATCGATTCATTTTTGCTCATTTATTATTAACAATAAATCCAATATAGAGTCTCCCACGAAGCGGGATCTATGCAGGTGATTCAGTATTGGAATCGTACAACTCTTTTAGTAGCCTAACCCATACCTCGATTCTGCGGCTGTATTTCGATCATTTTTTCCTCGACTTTCGACGTTTATATTAATAAATGTGAACAGAATCTCGTTCGATTTTGACCAGAGCGCACTGCATTGGACCTTCCTCTTTCGAATGAGACCTCATCCGACCGAAAAGCTGCTCATATAAGGACAAAATTTCTTGTTTCGAGAACCCATATTTCGGGCCGAATTGTGTCGGTATACCGCGCGCTGCATTGCTCGTGCCTACCTCCTTCGGTGTCTTTCAATCATCGATTCATTTTTGCTCATTTATTATTAACAATAAATCCAATATAGAGTCTCCCACGAAGCGGGATCTATGCAGGTGATTCAGTATTGGAATCGTACAACTCTTTTAGTAGCCTAACCCATACCTCGATTCTGCGGCTGTATTTCGATCATTTTTTCCTCGACTTTCGACGTTTATATTAATAAATGTGAACAGAATCTCGTTCGATTTTGACCAGAGCGCACTGCATTGGACCTTCCTCTTTCGAATGAGACCTCATTCGACCGAAAAGCTGCTCATATAAGGACAAAATTTCTTGTTTCGAGAACCCATATTTCGGGCCGAATTGTGTCGGTATACCGCACGCTGCATTGCTCGTGCCTACCTCCTTCGGTGTCTTTCAATCGTCGATTCATTTTTGCTCATTTATTATTTACAGTAAATCCAACACATACTCTCCCACGAAGCGTGTATATAAATGAAGAAGACTTTCGCGGCAATATTTTATTTTAATCAACATGCAACCCCACTCTAAAATCTTCCACAATAATGTTTCCAAAAAAACTTGATTACTATGCATTCATTTGAAAATTTTACTGTACAAAATAAAGTAACATTTATTTTCGTGAATAATGTAGGGTATGAAATTGTAGACAATAATGTAGCGAAAGGCTGCAATACTTACTTTGAATATTCGCTCAAGTAGAGAGGTAACGCGCGCGCGCTCTAGCCGGATTGGAAACATTTGAAAACCTGGAAAGTATTGTCAGACTCCAAACTCGCAAAACTATTGGCCGATTCAAAACTTGATCGATTCCGAGATCCATATGGAATCGATAACTTTCTGTAGTAATTTGTGCTTGACGATTATTAAATATTAAATGTGGGTAATTATTTAGATTACGGACGGTAACACCGATTTCGGTGATTTTTGAATATGTTATAGAAATCAACATTTTGAACAACTTTTTCCTATACATATAACCGCCGCTCAGCCTTAGTTTCAGAGATTTCTCTTCAAAAAGATCGCTGCTACTACATACAATGAATTCTATCTATACGTAAGTACATGCTGTGGCAGCGTGTGTGTAAGCGTTCAATCGCCGATTGTTCATTGTTTCTATAGATGCATCGAGGCGGCTGACAATGGGTGTGCCTAACGGCAGCCGGCATAAAAACATCTAACCCTTATAAACCTAATTATTCTACCTAGTAACTAATATAATGGATTAGGTCTGGGTTAGATTTTCTTATACCGGCCGCCGTAAGGCGGTCGGCCACGTATTCATTTTCTATTTCAATTTTCTCTATTGATATTATCAGAAGTGGGAAACATTTCATTATTCGATCATTAAAATCATATTGTCGATGGAAGAAGAATTCAGCTAAATAGCCTACATAATGTATTTGGCGAGTTCCATACTTCGGAATATTCGAACCATTGACAGCAATACAGAACTAGATTTAGCTTCACACATTGTGCATTATTTCTTGTCACAAACAAGAGAAAAAATCGGCGATCGTGGACTGACGCATACAGAGTCACGGACATGTACATATAGACAAAATTCATTGCAGTAGCAGCAATCTTTTTGAAGAAAAATCTCGAAAAATAAGGCCAAGCGGTGGTTATATGTATAGGAAAAAGTTGTTCAAAATGTTGATTTTTACAACATATTCAAAAATCATCAAAATCGGTGAGACCTCCCCCTTGTCTAAATAATGCCCAAAATTTGTTACAAATAATGTATATGTATCGAAATAATTATAAAACTAAAAGTCGTATAATCATCATTATCCGGGGGCTGATCACGCTCAAAATCTAATCAGACCTTGAAACGAGAACATAAAACTGAAATGTAAAGTTTCATTGAAATTCATTCAGCCGTTTATATGTAATAGGAACAAAAAAAAAGTCTTTTTTTTTAATAGTCACAATATGATCAGGGGGTCCTAAAACGTGTATTTCCGCTAAAAAAAATTTCGACATTTTTTTTACATTATGATACTTCATAAATTTCCTTATACCTTACATAGGTCGGAAAGTAAAAATGCTGGGGCAGTCGAGGCTTGGAATCGTATGCCGCTTATCGCGAGGTCGTATTTCAGTTGTTTCTCTTTTACAAGAGCAAGAAGGAAAGGCTCACACTAGCGTTCTTTATTTCACTACGTTAGACGCTAAGGAAGTTCGCCGTCATTACTGTCGATTTCGATGTACTCAATTATGTCGAAATAAGAGATTTTGCCCTTATATGAGCAGCTTTTGGGTCGGATGAGGTCTCATTCGAAAGAGGAAGGTCCAATGCAGTGCGCTCTGGTCAAAATCGAACGAGATTCTGTTCACATTTATTAATATAAACGTCGAAAGTCGAGGAAAAAATGAACGAAATACAGCCGCAGAATCGAGGTATGGGTTAGGGTACTAAAAGAGTTGTACGATTCCAATACTGAATCACCTGCATAGATCCCGCTTCGTGGGAGACTCTATGTTGGATTTATTGTTAATAATAAATGAGCAAAAATGAATCGACGATTGAAAGACACCGAAGGAGGTAGGCACGAGCAATGCAGCGCGCGGTATACCGACACAATTCGGCCCGAAATATGGGTTTTCGAAACAAGAAATTTTGTCCTTATATGAGCAGCTTTTCGGTCGGATGAGGTCTCATTCGAAAGAGGAAGGTCCAATGCAGTGCGCTCTGGTCAGAATCGAACGAGATTGTGTTCATATTTATTAATATCAACGTCGAAAGTCGAGAAAAAAATGAATGAAATACAGCCACAGAATCGAGGTCTTTTTAGGTTACTAAAAGAGTTGTACGATTCCAATACTGACCAGAGCGCGCTGCATTGGACCTTCCTCTTTCGAATGAGACGTCATCCGACACAAAAGCTGCTCATATAAGGACAAAATCTCTTATTTCGGAATTGCATTCCCACAAGCGAGTTCCGCCATTACATGGGTAATAGCAGAGCAAGTCACGTGACAAATTTAGTTCAGGCAGTCGCTACGAGATGGCGCCTAATCAAGAGGGCTGTGAAGGTGAAACCATACCAAAGTGAAGCGTTAGCTTCGATACATAGGCCCGTCGCCCCCCCCCCGAGAAAGCCAGATGCTGACAACCTAACCCATACTTCGATTCTGCGGCTGTATTTCGTTCATTTTTTCCTCGACTTTCGACGTTTATATTAATAAATGTGAACAGAATCACGTTCGATTTTGACCAGAGCGCACTGCATTGGACCTTCCTCTTTCGAATGAGACCTCATCCGACCCAAAAGCTGCTCATATAAGGGCAAAATCTCTTATTTCGACATAATTGAGTACATCGAAATCGACAGTAATGACGGCGAACTTCCTTAGCGTCTAACGTAGTGAAATAAAGAACGCTAGTGTGAGCCTTTCCTTCTTGCTCTTGTAAAAGAGAAACAACTGAAACACGACCTCGCGATAAGCGGCATACGATTCCAAGCCTCGACTGCCCCAGCATTTTTACTTTCCGACCTATGTAAGGTATAAGGAAATTTATGAAGTATCATAATGTAAAAAAAATGTCGAAATTTTTTTTTAGCGGAAATACACGTTTTAGGACCCCCTGATCATATTGTGACTATTAAAAAAAAAGACTTTTTTTTTGTTCCTATTACATATAAACGGCTGAATGAATTTCAATGAAACTTTACATTTCAGTTTTATGTTCTCGTTTCAAGGTCTGATTAGATTTTGAGCGTGATCAGCCCCCGGATAATGATGATTATACGACTTTTAGTTTTATAATTATTTCGATACATATACATTATTTGTAACAAATTTTGGGATTATTTAGACAAGGGGGAGGTCTCACCGATTTTGATGATTTTTGAATATGTTGTAAAAATCAACATTTTGAACAACTTTTTCCTATACATATAACCACCGCTTGGCCTTATTTTTCGAGATTTTTCTTCAAAAAGATTGCTGCTACTGCAATGAATTTTGTCTATATGTACATGTCCGTGACTCTGTATGCGTCAGTCCACGATCGCCGATTTTTTCTCTTGTTTGTGACAAGAAATAATGCACAATGTGTGAAGCTAAATCTAGTTCTGTATTGCTGTCAATGGTTCGAATATTCCGAAGTATGGAACTCGCCAAATACATTATGTAGGCTATTTAGCTGAATTCTTCTTCCATCGACAATATGATTTTAATGATCGAATAATGAAATGTTTCCCACTTCTGATAATATCAATAGAGAAAATTGAAATAGAAAATGAATACGTGGCCGACCGCCTTACGGCGGCCGGTATAAGAAAATCTAACCCAGACCTAATCCATTATATTAGTTACTAGGTAGAATAATTAGGTTTATAAGGGTTAGATGTTTTTATGCCGGCTGCCGTTAGGCACACCCATTGTCGGCCGCCTCGATGCATCTATAGAAACAATGAACAATCGGCGATTGAACGCTTACACACACGCTGCCACAGCATGTACTTACGTATAGATAGAATTCATTGTATGTAGTAGCAGCGATCTTTTTGAAGAGAAATCTCTGAAACTAAGGCTGAGCGGCGGTTATATGTATAGGAAAAAGTTGTTCAAAATGTTGATTTCTATAACATATTCAAAAATCACCGAAATCGGTGTTACCGTCCGTAATCTAAATAATTACCCACATTTAATATTTAATAATCGTCAAGCACAAATTACTACAGAAAGTTATCGATTCCATATGGATCTCGGAATCGATCAAGTTTTGAATCGGCCAATAGTTTTGCGAGTTTGGAGTCTGACAATACTTTCCAGGTTTTCAAATGTTTCCAATCCGGCTAGAGCGCGCACGCGTTACCTCTCTACTTGAGCGAATATTCAAAGTATGTATTGCAGCCTTTCGCTACATTATTGTCTACAATTTCATACCCTACATTATTCACGAAAATAAATGTTACTTTATTTTGTACAGTAAAATTTTCAAATGAATGCATAGTAATCAAGTTTTTTTGGAAACATTATTGTGGAAGATTTTAGAGTGGGGTTGCATGTTGATTAAAATAAAATATTGCCGCGAAAGTCTTCTTCATTTATATACACGCTTCGTGGGAGAGTATGTGTTGGATTTACTGTAAATAATAAATGAGCAAAAATGAATCGACGATTGAAAGACACCGAAGGAGGTAGGCACGAGCAATGCAGCGTGCGGTATACCGACACAATTCGGCCCGAAATATGGGTTCTCGAAACAAGAAATTTTGTCCTTATATGAGCAGCTTTTCGGTCGAATGAGGTCTCATTCGAAAGAGGAAGGTCCAATGCAGTGCGCTCTGGTCAAAATCGAACGAGATTGTGTTCACATTTATTAATATAAACGTCGAAAGTCGAGGAAAAAATGATCGAAATACAGCCGCAGAATCGAGGTATGGGTTAGGCTACTAAAAGAGTTGTACGATTCCAATACTGAATCACCTGCATAGATCCCGCTTCGTGGGAGACTCTATATTGGATTTATTGTTAATAATAAATGAGCAAAAATGAATCGATGATTGAAAGACACCGAAGGAGGTAGGCACGAGCAATGCAGCGCGCGGTATACCGACACAATTTGGCCCGAAATAGGGGGTTTCGAAATAAGAAATTTTGCCCTTATATGAGCAGCTTTTGGGTCGAATGAGGTCTCATTCGAAAGAGGAAGGTCCAATGCAGTGCGCTCTGGTCAAAATCGAACGAGATTCTGTTCACATTTATTAATATAAACGTCGAAAGTCGAGGAAAAAAGTCGTGGACTGACGCATACAGAGTCACGGACATGTACATATAGACAAAATTCATTGCAGTAGCAGCAATCTTTTTGAAGAAAAATCTCGAAAAATAAGGCCAAGCGGTGGTTATATGTATAGGAAAAAGTTGTTCAAAATGTTGATTTTTACAACATATTCAAAAATCATCAAAATCGGTGAGACCTCCCCCTTTTCTAAATAATTGCCAAAATTTGTTACAAATAATGTATATGTATCGAAATAATTATAAAACTAAAAGTCGTATAATCATCATTATCCGGGGGCTGATCACGCTCAAAATCTAATCAGACCTTGAAACGAGAACATAAAACTGAAATGTAAAGTTTCATTGAAATTCATTCAGCCGTTTATATGTAATAGGAACAAAAAAAAAGTCTTTTTTTTTAATAGTCACAATATGATCAGGGGGTCCTAAAACGTGTATTTCCGCTAAAAAAAAATTTCGACATTTTTTTTACATTATGATACTTCATTTTCCTTATTACCTTACATAGGTCGGAAAGTAAAAATGCTGGGGCAGTCGAGGCTTGGAATCGTATGCCGCTTATCGCGAGGTCGTATTTCAGTTGTTTCTCTTTTACAAGAGCAAGAAGGAAAGGCTCACACTAGCGTTCTTTATTTCACTACGTTAGACGCTAAGGAAGTTCGCCGTCATTACTGTCGATTTCGATGTACTCAATTATGTCGAAATAAGAGATTTTGCCCTTATATGAGCAGCTTTTGGGTCGGATGAGGTCTCATTCGAAAGAGGAAGGTCCAATGCAGTGCGCTCTGGTCAAAATCGAACGAGATTCTGTTCACATTTATTAATATAAACGTCGAAAGTCGAGGAAAAAATGAACGAAATACAGCCGTAGAATCGAGGGCTGGGTTAGTAGTATATGTATACCTGCTATCCCCACCACTCTGTTAGACGCTAAGGAAGTTCGCCGTTACTATTGTCGATTGGTCACACTGTTCGGAATGGTATATGGCAATAGCAAGCAGCTGCCTCTGATTTCTTTAGGCGGCAGCGTATCTGATGGTATTACCATTTCTGTGCAGAGAATATCTGCTGTAATACCGACCTGCCGAATCGGCGAGGTCACGTGCCGTGCCTACCCCCTTAAGTGCCAACAATTAACAAAGGATTGTGGATTAGCACACTGTATGGATATTGTACTTGAAGAGTTAAACTATTCAAATGATAATTAATTTACCTAGCACCTCGCTGGACAATCACACCGATCGTTTTATGAGGCGGAAGATACTCGGTCATGCGATCTAGAGCTGCATTGCTATCTGCTCGAAGAAATCGATTCGTGTCTGCTGTTCTGTGAAGCAGTGGTCCAGCTATGTCATCGAAATCCTGTTGGAAACAAATTCTTGCTAAAATGTAGCGATGGACGATAATAAGAGACGAAAATGACGATTAACAGTGACACGACAAAAGTGAATCAATTCTAACCCATAAAGTTCATTCTCTAATATTTAACAAGTTTGTTACGCGAGTCATAATGTTAATGAGTTATAATGAATTACCTGATCTATGCCGCGGATTTGCGAAGTAAAAATGTCGCTAGCGGCTAAGCAGGCAGCACGCGCGACCTGTGATCGAAGGCTTTTTATTTGCCGGCCTAAAAGTCGATTTATCGTCGCTGTGGTGGAAATGTCTAAGTACTCCGGTTGTTGCTTCGTTATTTGGGATAATGCCTTTAAGCCTTTCATAGTGACTTCCCTAAAACGGTGACCATAATATAAGTCTAAGGTTTGATATGCAGTTGTACCTCTAATTGTTTTAGAGATATAGCTTTTCCCAGTTGCATGGGGCACTATACTTTATTTGTAGACGTCGAGTACAAAAAAGATCAATTTGACACGAAACTGCGCATTTATTTATTTTAGCGATTTACCATTCTTTACTCTCGAGTTGAGCGAAACATTGTTGCACTATGGGCTTCATTTTTTCCGGCTTTACCAAACTTCCTTTGCTTCGGTATTTTCTCATCATGCGAGGTACTTTTGACGGCATTCGTTTGGTCAGATTAATCGGTTCTATAGTTGGAGTCTGAACATGGACATTGCAAATTTTTATATTATGTATGATATGCGGTATACGGTATTTTAGAAGATTTTTCTTATAAGCTCTTATACCTCGATTTTTAAAATTCCCGGTTCTGTGTTCGTTTCACTGGAACTGTCCCGACTTTGTCCATCGTCCAATAACGTATTACTCACGTTAGATTCGTTAATGAACTAGAATCGAATGTTTCAATCAATAGTGAAACACGAGTAGAATATGTATTTAATTTTATTGGAAAATTGCATACTCTGTGGGTATTATCATCATCATCGTCATCATCATTATCGTTTTCGATTAATTCAGCAGCAGTCTCTAGATGATTTTCAACATAATTGGCAGCCTCTGTGGAATGAGGTCTGGATGCAATAATGATCGTTTGTGATTCCATACTTTTCGATTCCCTGCGGGACTGACTCGGCTCCACTGATTCGACGAAGTCATCATCCGCAACGGGAGAAACTGCTCTCTCTTCGCTCGAATCTGCCGACTCTTTGTTTTCTAAGTCGAAACTCTATAAAGGGGTAAACATTTGGTTAATTACAACTTACAGTCCAACAATCATTTAGTTTCGATTTCAGTTAACTAACCAATTTACGCGAACTGCTGCACGAGTTACGCCTCGGTGACTTTAACGCTTCGAAATCGTTGGAACTCCGGCTCGACGATCGACTTGATTTTTTAGGGCTGCCGGATCTCCTCGAAGGCGATGTTTGCACTTCCTGAAAATCCGCGTGCAGATCGTCGGTAGACGCTTGTAAATTCTCACTCGTCAATATCCGTTCGTTCGATAAAACGGACACTATAGATCTTCGTCCCGCGCTCGCTCTCTCTTCCGTTCCTTCGGCGTCGTCGGAAGTACTGAATTCGCTACCGTTTTGATTTTCGCGACACTGCGAGTGTTCCGAATTCCGGGACGATGAGCGACTTTGGTTTCTCGATTTCGTTTCCTCCTCGCTGCTGCAGTCTTTGGAAGTTTCATCTTCGTTCGACGTGATCGTCGGCTCGGTTACAAGCTCGACTTTCTCATCCAACGTGATCTGAAAGCGAGGAAATTATTTCCAATATTAAAGGAAGCTTGCGATCGTGTTTGCCAATAATACTTACAATAAAATCGACTGTGTCCTGTTCAGGGGGACTCGATTGACCAGTAATAATGTCGAAAGCCGAGTCCACGTTAGGCCTTTCGGGACTAGACGATCTGCTTTCGCTGTCGTCTTGAGTATCGTGATTTTCTTGTCCGACGTGTTGCGCGCAATTATTTTCTAACGTATCCGACGACGACAGTTCCTGATCGTCTATCGAAAAGTAAACGAAATAATAAGAAAGTAATTCGTAACGAATAATTATATTCTAGTGGAATATTTTACGAATTTCATGTGACGATATTGTAGCGTTTCAAGCTTATTGTAAATTACATGGAAACCGAGATCTCGATCGAACTGCTTTTAGATAGGCTTGTTCGAGCGTGGTATGAACGTTACAGGCAAAATATTGATTTCGTCCCTGCGTTAGGTCTAATGCTTTGCTCGTCGTCCGAGGTTAAGAACCTCGCGTTCCAGTTAGTGTACTTTCGATCGCACTGGCTACTATCACAGGTCATTTTCTATCACTTTAACGATCAAAATTTTATTGTACGAACGCTCCAACGACTGTCCAATTGACGCCACGTACATCGTAGTCTATAAACAAATAACCGACTCCAGCGAACGCTACGTTCAAATCAATCGAGACTAGACAGCATTGTTCGTCCTTCGCGAAATCACTGTCGAGGTTGAATTTCATGCTTGTGTTGCGTGTAAGAGAATCGAGCAGAGTTAGGGGCTTTTTATTACGACCACCCAATTGATCCGAAAGATTAAACTCTTATTACTTGTACATAATTTAGTTGGGATATTTCAGAGTTTGCATTTAGGATAAAGATTCATAAGAATTTTTAATTTTAAATACCTTCGATTCGCGTCTCTATCGTATCCGGCGTCTGCACTCGGTAGCTCTCATCCGGTAAGAAGTGATGTTTGTTCTTTTCGTTGTACTCTTCTTCGTTCACAGCTTTATCTCTAAAACAAGAAATCGAACGATTCAAAATAATAAGCTTGCGTTTATTAGTCTCATGGGGCTCTCGGATGACTTCTAGAATGATTTCGAACACCGGCAAAGTTCGAATTTTTTGTAGTTTGCTTTTGATTGAAGGAAGCTACATAAACTATTGATGCTCGAGGTCGGTCGCGGCTCCGAAAGTCCTGCAAGGGTTAACGTCGCGTGGAAGTTTCTCTTGGCGCGCTTATAGGACTATCTTTCATGCATCAAATATGACGCTGATGAATGTCGAGGACAAAAGTGTTACAAACTCGCGTAAATACGATCGAGTGACACACGTGTGATTTCTTAAACTTCGAGCCTACGGTTTACGCGTTTAACACTAAATTCACGGAACTCGTAAATATTGTTTGTTAGTAATTTATGTTGAATTTCATTGATGTAACTGTCGACATGGAGGATTTCGATAGAAATATGTAAAAGGTGGTGGGAATGCTGGCGAATCTCTGTCAACCAAAACGTACATCGTATCGTTGCTGTTGTTTAATGTTAGTGGGATCACAGGCGTCGTATGAGCGGTTGTAACGATCGTTGAAATCGAATCTTCGTCCTCCCTCGCGACTCCCACCGATTGCCTACACCTAAACGCGCAAGGACAATAACGAAGAACCGCGTCTGCTATTTTGTATTCCCTTCTTCTGGATTTGGCAGTCTTTTCGTTGAAGTTCTGATCCTTTTCGGGCGAATTGGGGTCTCCGTCTTTGAAGACCGTGACCTTGTCGTTCTCCTTGGCCTCGTCGGGCCAAGTACAATACTTGAAGATCATTCTCGGCGTTGTTCCCTCATCGATCGCGATCGGGAGTCTTTGGTTTCGGGTAGGTGGTACCATTTACACAGTTCGCGAACATTATTCCCACGCAATTAGGTCGTTTCATTCTTCGCGGTTCACCGTTGTCGCGACTTAATCGAATGTTATTGTACAGTTAGCCTCTGACGACGGTTCTTGACACTCTCGTACCATCGCGTGTCACTTTTTTTCGGAAACATTACTCGGTTATTTGCCCCTCTATTACCCTGCGCGATTATAGTGATTAATATTGTTCTTAGACGTACAAATTTATTTGTTACAACGTTTATACAGTCTTTGAATTAACGATAGACGTTCTATCGATTATTACAGGGCAAAATTAATGGTGCAAATAGAGTCAGATAAGATGTGTATTGGAGGCTTCATTTTGGGGAAAAGTGCGTTCGAAAAATCAGTTCAGTCATCAAACAACCGTGAATAGTTTGCGCGATTAATTCATTCAGAAGCATTGTACGATGTTCGGCTACAGGTGTCAGACGTTGTAAAGGCTAATTCTACGTGCGAAAATAAAACAAAAATTAAGATAAAAATTAAACTTGGTATTAAACGGCCGAATAGATTTTAATAAAACTACGATACATCTACTTTTAATCTAACTGTTGGAAATATGTTGCTTGTAATTTTTTTATGCGTTACAGGACTATAATTTAAATAACCTTTCGTAATTTTAGAAACAAAATTTAAATTGCAACGCGGAAACAGAATTTGAATTTATAATTCCAATCGTACGCCTCTGAAACGAGATTCAAATTAACAATTCCATAACCGTTATTCCAAATGGATTTCATTACCATGCAAATTGCAAATAACAAAAAAAAATCGTCCCCTAAAACATTTCTAATTTCGCGAGTCTAAACGTATGCCAATTAAATTTCTACCTCGAACTTCTAGAGGTTGTTGTGCATTTCACGTTTATCTTGCTAAGGTTAACGAATGATCGATTAACAACCTGTTATGAAATGGACTATATCTGACGGGAGGACTGTAATTTAGACAGTCGAAGTTTCTGAACTTCGCGACACGAAATAGATGCATTTTCACGATTCGTAATAGCCGTTGCAATTAGTTGCCATTGCTACGATCACGGTAAAATTTGTTTAAATCGCGTATATTCCTTGCAACGATGCTTCTTCGGAAGAGATGTATGGTATGCTTCCGGCATATGAATTATTCCGATCTCTAAAAATATATACCAAGAAAGTTCTCGATATTTCTAGACAAAGTAGCAATTCCCTTTACTATGCTTCAGTTTTCTTTACAATCTTCTGAACCAACGACGTTCGATTATTCGTTGGAACCCGCTATAGTACATTAAATTACTTCGTAGCATTTCCATTTCCATTAAAAGTGAAAACTTTAAAGCATTCCTAAAACTAAAAGTGAAATAAAATTGATATATATATATATAAAATACAATATTAATTTCTACAACTTTATGTGGATGGAATCGATGCACATTACATATTAACTTCGTTAAATACAAATTAATATGCAATATACGATCCGAAGAAGGAACGAATTGCTGGTATTTACGATCGTGAATCGCTGTCAGTAACATTTAAAAGCGCACGATATCGGTTCGAAGAACAAACTCGATCGCCGATGGACGGTTTAATCGCAGAACTCACGGGATCGTTGATAAACATGCTTCCAAAGTATTCGAACGCGTTTAAGCGCGATCGAATGCAACGAGTCTATGCAACACGAAACGAACATTAATTTTCCTCGTGACGAGTAATTCCATCGTTGACGACTATTTTCGAAATAAATAAGTTCTCCAAGTTTCTTCGACGATCACTTTCCACGGTATTCGCGAAAGCAGAAAATCCAAAGGGGGCGAACAAGCGGAAACGAGCGTAATTTGCGACGACGCGACAAATGACGAGGTACGCACGACTGTGCCCCGTATAGACGTCGAGCGTCCCGACGCTGACCGCTGCCCCTTCCTTCCAGGTAAACCACCCACCTCCTCCCCCCCTCCTCCCCTACCTTTTCTCTCTTTTCCCTTCTACCATTTCACCTGTAACCACGCGATACCTTATCGAATGGCTATACACTGACCGTAACCACCCCCATCCCCCACCTACTCGGACGTTAGGGTGGAAACTTTACCTAGGCGTACGCGTTCCGAGGTGAAAATGACCAGGTGTTATTGACTGTTGCTATTTATTTCCCCTGTGCTGTCTTCTTCGCAGAAATGTTCGACGGCCATACGAATACCATGCGACATTTTTTATTAGGTCGTAGAATATTTTGAATATTTAGTTTTAAATTCGTCTTATCGGGCATGCAGATTCTACGTCGAAGTACAGCGTCCGCTGGAATTCTCCGGCTATCTTAATCGGGAGTTTCAATTAATATGCGTTTAGTATTCCTCGTTTTACTTGTTTAGAGCTCGGCGAAATCTAATTGCACTTTACGTGACTTCTCACGCGACGTTCGTAAATCAAGGGAAGAGAAACGAGATCAAGAATGTCTTCAGCATATCGCTTGCCCGTTTATTCATTCCATACGATTGTATTTTTAAGCGGTACCTCGTGCATAATCGCGACCCGTTGGCGTGCCCGTTCCAATTTTAACTTTAACGATTTTTTAAACAAAAGTCGATTTAAAATATATAAATAAAGTAAATTTCTCCGTTGTTAACCGGTAGTAATAAGGCATAAATTGTGTATACATATATAGAAATGAGTATCGCGCTACTGTGACGATAATACCCCCATAAAATTGACTGCGTCACCAGTTGGAGATAAGAAAAGACCCGTAGCAATATAAGCCATAAAATATGGTCTTCTATAGTTCTTCTCTCTTCCGTTTTTTTTCTTTCTACAAATAATATCCTGTACGAAGCCACGTTGGCTTCGAAAAGTAATCAATAACGAAATAGTTATATCGTTTGCTTACGATATTGGACTGTGGTAATAATTATACGCAACTATCTACGAATAGGTAATACAATATTCAAAATAATATTCATGCTTCTTTATATTTGTTCCGTACGCCAGCTTTTCAGTTACCGTACGAATATTATGAACATTGTCTTGTATATTGATCAACATATACTATTACAGTTGAGTTTATTTTAGGATACAATCGATCTCACGAGATGGCTGATAAGAAAAAAAAACCAAATAATATGTCTTGTGCGTGATCACGTACTTTTTGCCATCGAATCGATATTATTCTACTAAGAAATCGGTTAGAAAATAGTATATTACTTACATGTCGTACATAGACACCGCGTGCACTTCGTTTGAACCCGTTCTGGCGAATTGCTGGCGATGGTATAATTGCGATGGAGACAACGAGCGTAACCTTCTTCTGTAAGGAGCGTCGACGCATATCGCAGGAAAATGTTCGTTCGTCTGGGCGTCCGATGATATCAACTCGACGTCGTTAATTTTTTGCGCGGCCGCTTCCTTCGTCCTACGATAGAATCTTGCCTGTAACGCATTACGTGTCTGTCAAAATTACTCGATATCTAACTAAAACAAATGTTTACTTTTCATTGGCATGTTTAAAGTGCCAACGCAAATGTAAGGTACTAGGCACATCACGATCGACACTAAATTTACGGGCACTGATCGCACGTATATTTATTGATACCTTTCATGTTGACGATTATCTTACGATACGATTTTTCTTTAAATTAGAACATATATTCATGCCATTGCATCAATCAAATTCAACATAAGTTGTTAAAATATAATATTTATTCGTTCTGCAATTTTAAATATGGAATCAGACATCCGTCAAATTGACGGCTTCCGTAAATCTAGTGTTAAACACAGTTTGAAGCCAGTGATTGATGCTTACTCGCGATGGCGTGTTTCTATCGTTAATATCCTCTCTCTGGTTAAAATCTATCTTATTGTAAGTACGTGTCAATGGCGTAGGGGCCGTCTGTAACGTCCGAAAAGAATTTTCGTCCGCGAACCGTCCCTCTCGTTGCGTAATCGTGTTGTACCTGCAAAAAAAAAATGAAAAATATTAAAAGACTATTTTGTTACACGAAATAAATGCAGAATCACCCAGAATCGTTTCTGCGGATGAAGTTTATACGTACATATCGTGCATAACAAACGTTTGTTGCTTGATGCTTCTTGGCAACGATGGTTGATTACGTTCGATGGAATTCGAACGACCATATCTTGACCCGATGTCGGATCTCCTTTGACACCTATCCTTCTCCAAAAATTTTTGATAAAGCTTAGGGGCAACATCCGAAAACTCGCGACTCGTGTTCTCCGAAATATTCTGCAACATTAAATACGTTCTTAATTACCGCGCAGTTAACACTAACAATCATTTTTCCTAAATTAATTTTTTGTAACTTACATTGCAATCGGTGTTAGCGAAATTTTTAATCGAATGGTAGTAATGCGTGCTCGTACTGCTCTCCGGTTGATTTCTTTTTCTTCGAAACATAGTCCCTCTGGAAATGTATAGTATTAATCGTACAAACGGCGGTTAAATTTTTTGTTTAATCATCTATCGACGTTTTACTAACGATTAATACCTGACGTTTTCTTCTTGAGAATTTACGTGCCTGATGTCCTCTACGGCGTTTCTCAATAGTTTCCTCGATTGAGCGGCAGTTGATTCTATATTAGTAGATTTAAACAGCACTGGTATCCTGGATTCCGTTTTATTGGTATTTTCCTGTAATGCACGCTGCGTTATATTTTTTACGTTTTCTCACGCAGAAGGAAAACATTTCAAGAAACTTACGCTTCTTTCGAAATTCTCTTCGATAATATTCTGATAATTCGTGGATTCTCTTGTGGATGATGGAAGTCTCGTCTGATTCTTTGAGTTAAAATTAGAGCTAGTACCTTCGCCTAAACATGACAAGTTACCAAAATACAGGTTTTGCTGTCTAAATTAACTCGTTTACAGATCATATTCACTTTAAAAAAAAAACGATTACCATTTCGGACATTGGTGTTTACACCTCGAGTCGCTTGCTGGTTAGTTTCATCTTCGCATTGAAGGTCCTAAAAACGATACGCGCTGCGTTTATATCTTCTAAAGATATACTAGGTTCGTAACAATTAATAATAGAACAGTGTGAGATGTATAACCTGAAATAGTTTTAATAAATGCTTGAAATTTAAGCTGGACATGATATCGACTGGATATTATACGAGACGTTGACTGCCATCGGTACATTTCCACGATAAAAAAATAAAAATAAATCGTCGTTTCGAAAGGATTTTCTCGCACCGTTGATCCGATAAAGCGACCCCGTAAAGAACTTGAAAAATAAAAACGAAACGGATGATTTCGGTACACCGACTTGAAAGTCGTCGACGAATAACGCAAAACGATTAATCGTTCAAATCTAACGTAGGGTAGAATTTACAGTCTGAGAAACACCTTGTTTCCTTATTATTTGTTCGCGAGTCGTTTGTATACAATTATGATTTGCTCGACGATAAACGTTAAAAATACTGCTACTTATCCGGCGTGCGACTTATTTATTTAAATCGTAAATGCAGGGTGGAGAGTTGAGACTGTGATTTACAGATTACTCGAAGCTGCTTCGATATAATACGATTGTACCCTCACGAACACTGTTGACCTCGGAACACGCGAGAAAACGTCAACCTGGTCTTAAGCTTGCCCGGCTCCTTAGGCTTGCATTTCGATAATGGCCTCATCAAAATTGTTAATTGCCATTTGCATTTAACGCGACGATAATACACATACTGGAGCTATTGATTTGAACTCATTACCCAGCTACCGTTCATTGACGTCAAGAATGATAAAAATAGAACAGAGTCAGATTGTCCTAATATAATACTTACGATCGGTAGCGTAAATTTTATAACAGTCATACCTGGTCTTCCGTTGGAACTATTTGCCAAACCACAGGTTGATCCGACTTTGGTCGCATGCCCACTCCGAGAGCGACAAAATTAGGTCTATCAATCCATGGATTCTCACTGTAGTTTGCATGTTCGCTCCTGGAATAATTTAATTCGACGATTTAGTACTACGAGTTAAAGTCTTAAGAAACGTAATAATCCTCGAGTAAAGTTTTATAATCATTTCCTTGATATTATCACGTGTATTACGTTTCGAATATAAAATCTTTCTCGGTAATAAATTTTTCGTCAATAAACCTTAATTTGATAATAGTTAGTTGGGGTACAGTGATTCAGAGGCACGATATAATGCGGTATACACGTGTTGTAATAGTTATTGTAGTTTGAAAAAAACTTATGAATCCATTTGCAACGATGCCTGTGCAGTTTTATGATTCAGGATATTACCTTGGATGTTTTTCTGTTTCCGATTTCGTCGCTATAATTTGTCCTTTTGTGCGACCGATGCTGGGCGAAACCGAACCGCTTCCGGCCACGATCCAATCGACGTCAGGACCTGAAACAATTTTTATCAAACTCCTTATATATCTTCCTGTAATTTCCTTGCTTATCTCTAGAATTTTTAATTTCCAAAATGAGGATCGCTCAAGTAAAATAACCAACCTGTGGCTATTTGCACGGTGGGCGAAATTTGCAAGCCGTACATAACGAGACCATCGGCGGAGACCAGAGGCAACGATTTCCGTGCAAGCCGTGCTCTGATGGCAGACATCATCGCCTCTCCGTCGTGATATCCTTCCGACGCGCGTTTTCCAGCTGCTAATACTTCCTGCAAGCAAAAAAGTCCCTCCTAATATACTGCTCGACATAATCAGAAGATGTACAACATCTGTTACGTGACAATTCCCTCTTAACAAACTATCCTTCGACACCAACAGGAATAAACAAGTACCTCAGATTCGTAAATTTGCGCCAGGACAGCTAACGTATCCAGCGCAGCCTGTCGAACCCTGCGACGTCGATCTCTGACCATCTTGGCCACTTTATTTGCCACGGTGTCCACTTTGAATTCCGTGCTTGGGAACGTTACCAACGAGAAGATCAACAATTGCAGGGTGTTCTCCCTCGTCTGCGATAAACATAGTTTAACGATTGTTGGAGTGCAAAGGGCGCGCTTAAATATGGCTTCGAGAATTATGGATGTCACCTTTGCGTTTCTGGCATTCAAGCATTGTGGCTGCAGAAGCTGCTCCAAGAGAAGGGCCGGTCTAAGCCTCAGCATCGCGATCCTGGCCAGCTGAGCAGCGCTCGGGCCACCTTGTCTCGCTAAACCCCAGGCCAACTGTGGTAGTCTATTCTTCAGGGCGTCCTCGCTCACACCAGCTACGACTACCTAATACGATATTTGATAATTGAGAGTTAATAACTTTATGACTTTGGAAAAAATTGCTCGATAGCGATTATATTGGGTTGTTCAGGTGTGCATCCGGGCCCACGACTTCTCGAGTCCCCGACCGATCCATTGTTACAAAAGTCCTACGAAAATCAGAACCCCTAAAAGCGCAACATTTGCAGAGCACGTGAGTTGCCATCAGCCACTTTACCATTTTTTTTTTTTTGGACACACATTGTTTTCGACACCAGGGACCTCCGAAACTTTTCTCGAACGGAAGATTCCTACGCCGTGCACTTCCCCTTAGAGTTACAAATAATCACACCCACTACCACCGTCAACCACCAATCAGTCAAAATTTGTACACCCCCATCAGCAACATTTTCCACCGATAGCAACAGAACCGAGATTATGTAAACCGCGTGCACAGTAAAAAATGTCACTCTTTTCTTTGAAAAATCAACCTGAACATTCGAAATAAAGAACACACGAAATCACTGTCTCGGTGCATTACTTATACGAAATCTGCTCCGACGACATTAATTTGCCGGGTTCGCGACTTGAGAAATTTACGACTTCTTACAAGAAAGTTCGCGATCATATCCGGTACATGGGTTCCAGTTAAATAAATTGTTGGTTTTTCTCTCCTAAAAGAGAAAGTTTTGTATTGGAAAAACCATCGACGCGTATGTTGCGATTCGCGTTTCGTGATACAAGTCAAGAGGGTGCAGCTGTGTCCCTTCCTTGGCTTGTTTGGACAAAGTATAGGGCTGATTGGGTCTGAGGGTACGGGACGAATTTTTCGTCACTGACCTTTTCTTTCTGTATGTTTCTTTCAAACCGTGCAGACGCGCCTTCCAAGTGTTTCTAATAAAGCTTAGTTAAAAGTTATATCGTCCTAATTGTTTTTTTTTATTCCACTACCTATTTCTAATATAAATATATACAGAGAGGTCCACGCAATTGTTTCAAGTCATAACTCCGTTATTATTGCATTTACGAAAAAATGCCAAAGGAGAAAGATAAATGGTTCGAAGAGCACTACATCTGTAGGCCTTTAAATTTTGTTTAGATGCAGCAATGCATGTGCAATTAACAATTGCATCATTTCTTTAAATAGAAATGCATATTTTTTTTTTACACAGATCGATTCTTCTGTTCATTCTACGTAAAAAATAATTAGGGTATCATGGCAAAAAAATTATTAGATCTCGAGATATTATCAAAAAATGTCTTTATCGAAGAAGATACTCAAACACTTCATGACTATGTTGTAAAGGTAAACATCCTTTCGACATTGTTATCATAACAGAAACTGATTTGTACGAGTAAGCATTTCATCATTAAGTAGCAATTCACATATCGTAACTCGAATACGAAAACTAAGAATTTGAAAAAGTGCGGTTTCTAAAAAATAAGTTTTGCAATAACGTTATCGCAACAAATACATCGATACGTTGGCCAGCCCGTTCACCTGATTTAAGTCCCCTTGACTTTTTTCCGTGGGGTTATTTGAAAGATAGAATTTATTCAAATCCCATAGATTAATAATAATTAAACGCAGTTATGCAAACAATAAAAAAAACGTTATCAGAAATGTTTAGAATGTAATGGAGAAGCGTTTGAGCATCCTCTTCAATAAAGACATTGTTTGAAAATATCTCGAAATCTAATAATTCTTTTGCCATGGTACCCTAATTATTTTTTACGTAGAATGAACAGAAGAATCGATCTGTGTAAAAAAAAATATACATTTCTATTTAAAGAAATGATGCAATTGTTAATTGCACATGCACTGCCGCATTTAAAAAAATTTTAAAGGCCTACAGATGTAGTGCTCTTCGAACCATTTATCTTTCTCCTTTGGCATTTTTTCGTAAATGCAATAATAACGGAGTTATGACTTGAAACAATTGCGTGGACCACCCTGTATATTTTACATTGTGGTGTGGACGTTGCTGTTTTTAAATCACCGAAGAAATAGTTAAGAAAGCAATGGGCGATAATAAGTTAGCATTTAGATGGGTCTAGAGGTGCGAATTTACTGGTTGCAAAGGTACCTTTGCCACTGCGAGGCCTGCAGCAGCTACCCGACAGCTCCTTTCGCTGCCCAACACCGCATGCAAAAGAGATCCTAATCGCGGCTCTATCGCGATCAGCGCTGAAGACGTTCGCAAAGCCGATGCTACTCTCTCCAAGCCTCTGACACGAGCACGCCAATCTTCCTGAAACGAGATCGAATCGCGATTAATGGACCCGACACTCGTTGACTGTCGCGATATCGACGTATCATTGAAACGTATTTATCGTGCGCGCCAAAGAGTTCCGTAAGTTCATTGGAATTACGAAAAGTCAATGATATTGATCACTTCCGTGTAAATAGAGCCGAATCGGCAAGTGAATGCAAATGTTAGTGCATTGCATTCGGACTTGCTGCAACGATCGATAATGTTCGCTCGTCGGCTCCTGATTCTTATTCAACGACATCGCATATAAATGATAATTCCCGTACGAAAATTTTCGTGAATCGTGATCGACATATATTTTTTCCACGTCGATCGTGTTATCGGATTCCTCTGTTAACGTGCTGCGATAAGATTTTACTACTACAATTATAGATATAATTGCGCCGTCGTAAACAATTTTTATTGCTTATCAATCGACCCTCGTAATACCGATTCCCCGTTATTCGAGTTCTCCTCGGGTCTCTGACCGTTCTCTCGTGTCATCGCGAACAGTTTCGAACGAATACGAAATGCAAAACGCGGATATTACGAGGAGTTTTGAAGACGCCTCACGAGGCATTAGTCGGCGAGATTTAAACGACGCTGAAATCGCAATGGATTTGCATATACATCGAAACGACGATTTACTGGACCGACATGGCACGCAACGCGTTCTCTAATTATTTTCTTGTTACCCGCGAGCCGCCGTGCGTTTCCCTCTGCGGCTTCGATGCATATTGTGACACGGGGAAATCTCTCTCGTTTTTCATTCGCGGAATATTTATAGTGATCGCGCACGAGGACTGTTTCACCGTCGCGGCGCCACGTAGAAAACGAAACAGCATGCATAATGCATAATCGTAGCCGTTTCACTGCCGCGAAGATACGAACATCGCCGGGGTAAAATGTCACCTGGAAGTGTGATCAATCTACTTAATTAGACGACACGGGGAAAACACCCTAACAGAACGGATGCTCAAAGATTCCGCGGGCAAAGAAAACGAGGAATTAAAACGTCACGTTGACGCACGTTTTTCTCAGAGGAGAACGAACACGCTACAAAGTCGAAAGCATGGGACCAGCTGGGCTTGTTATTCATTCTTCGCGTAGCATGGACGGGGACAGATTTCGCGATTAATTATCTGTACAGGGTGTCCCACGCAACTGGGACAAAATTACATCTCTAAATTATCCAGCCCTTTCTTAATTTCTAAATATTATTTGATTACTGTTTTCGATCGTATCTATTTCCTTTTTTTTGATACCGATTCGATTTCACAATTTTCTACGTGAAAAACCGAGACGACGCAACCTTTCTACGTACAGCGAGGGAACGTAGAGGCGTTGAATCATTCATTTCCGTGTGAAACAATTTGTTTTACTTCAAAAAGGGTAGATTGGTCGTCACGGACGATCGATATTAGCGATCCTATTCACTTTTATAGTTCTTATTATACACAAAGCACCTGGCCACATTCATAGAGAAGCGTACGGCAGCCTTGAACTTCCGTTGAATGAAAGGCAGACGATTTCACGGTCATGAGACGTTCAACATTTCTCTCCGATAACGATAATCGCATAAACCATTCATTATTTTCGCTGAGAATACTATTCGTCAGCGTCGAATTACTAGCACGGCAAGAATATATTCCTAACAGTTTGTGGATGCCTGGTGTACAATTTTTGTATACTATTTTAACGAGTAATTTATTATCATTTTTTTAACGAAATATGTAGTTTCTAGTAATTTGTATTCTATTATTTCTGTTCGTCGATAGTATCGTATATGCTCGGTTTATAAAGAGTTGGATCGTAATAAAAATAAAAATTTCACCGCAAAGCTTCTCGCTACGGGTTCAGAGTACTATAGATCCTTCACTGTCAGAGCTCAACAGGAAACCGGTCAGTCAGTGTCTCGCCAGAAGGAAGAACGAATATTTACCTCGTTCTTCTCGCGAATGCACGCTTTTTCTACGAATTCCAAACCTAAACTACCCGTTTCGAGAAATGATTTAGCAGGGCGGAAATTCGTACGACGAGTTACAAACAATACTATCGTTCGTTCTTCTGATAAACGTGCGCGCCATGTTTAAGAACCGCCGGAGAGTCGTCGGTCGATTTTTGAAATGCATCGTCGTCTGCGGTTTGATGTTTTTTCTTTTAAAATTAACTGTTCTTCTCGTCGGCGAAGAGGATAAGCTGGTACCTACGATGGACGAATTGAAAAAATTAATGGTACGTGTATTGGAATACGTTAATCTATTACGATTAATATAATCTTTAAGTCCGACGTTTTAAAATTATCAACAAGCAAAGCATACCATTGATTCGAAACAGTATTATATTTTCCGAGGTTTGAATATTCTTGTTTAGGTCGAATCTGAAAATGACAATTCCCAACGGTTATTAACAGTGAAGAATACTTGCCGAAGATACAATCTCGGTGTATATAAAGAACCTGATAAACTTGCCGGCTTCAAGCACCCACCTGCGCCGCAATATGCTGTTTTTTATATAAGCAGGTTCGTTAGTATTCGAAACTCAATGAAATTCTAAATGGATTTAATAACGAAATGACGAGTACTATTAAACGTACGAAACAAATTTAATAACTTCGTCAAAAATCGAAGTTTTAATTAACTGCCCCGCTGCGACGTTATTTGTCAAACAGATCGCACAATCTATCATACTGTCCAATTTACAAAGCCGGTAGCACAACATGGATTTACAACTTATGTCTTCTAATGAACGTGCCCGAGCACGAGTTAAACAATGGAAAGGAGCAAATATCGACCATCGCAAGAAGGGTAATACCGGAACTCGAATATCCAGCAGCCGACGAGGTAAAGCTAAATCATTCTAAACACGCGTCGAGCTAAACATATTGAGCATTCGCCGGTCGACTCGGGAAATTAACTACACGGTCGGGTAACGTGACTGGAACCAAACGATCTTAAACAAAATTGGTACCGAGTTAAGGGGCCTTTCTACTTTGTGGGATTTAAAAAATCGAATTTTCTTTTTTGCATTGTCTTTCAGTATGTAGTCTCAAAAATATGTCCACCAAATATTAAATTGAAATTTGAAAAACTAACGAAGATATAGCCTGCTGTAAAGCTGTTTTTCTCGAAACTACATTTTTCGGAACTGCGTATGTGATAACTAGACTGCGGATCTTTATGCAAATTCACATTTTTATTAATAGAATTAATGAAACGGAAGCTTCGCAGAGGGCTGTCTCAACCCGTAAATATAATAATTCGTATTTTACTTTAAGTATTTCTTATATTTTTGCATATTAAATGCATTCTGTAGTTTTTTGAGGATTAAAATTTCCCATAAATGCATAAACATCCGCAGTCTAGTGATAACAAAAAAACTATTCAAGATATCAACATGAAATTTACACAGTATCTTTAGAACTGGTCTCCCTATAGCATGAACTAGGATTATTGCGATATATCCAATACTTTTTCTTTTATTAACAAAAAGGCAAGCGAATATATGAAAATATTCAGTATTTTTTCGTAAAATAACTGCCAGTTTGTCATTTTTTGTTTTTTTGAAAAGATCCTAGTTCATGCTATAACCACACTCATCTATAGTAAGAATATCGTTGGTTTTTGGATTTCGGGCGCCGTTCGTAAAAACTGCTGTTTGTTGATCAACAAAAACAGCGTAATCAATAGATATTATGCGTTGCAAAAATTCGTAAATATAGCTAAATATATAATAAATGCATTTACAAAACCCGGAATTAATCGCTCTTTAATAGCCCGCAAAAAAAATTATGAAGAAACATGTATTCTTCGTGCCTACAAGGTAGAATGGCCCCTGAAGGGAAACGTAGACCAAAGATAATAAGTCTTCAAAGATTTGATAGGGGAAAAGATTATCGATAAAAAGAATTGATTTTTCTTCGCGTAAAGGATAGTCGTCGAGTCACGTGCACGTGACAAACAGCCGTTAAAGCGTTAACAAAAGAAAACTGATGTAGGCTCTAAAAGCAACGAAGAAACTGCTCGTGGTAAGGCACCCATTTGAGAGATTACTGAGCGCATATCGCGATAAGCTGGAAAACTCCGTGGCTGGAAGGGAACACGGGACACTTCACTTTTATCGGAAATACGGCGTCAAGATTGTTCAAAAGTACCGCGGTGAGTCACGGCAAAATATCGATCGTGATATTCCTTTGGTCGTGCGAACGACTAACACAGAGTTCGTCACTCGTTCGCAGACAGGAATTTCACGGAACCGCGAGAGGATCAGGCGATCAAACGTGACGGTGTACCTCCGCCGGCTGGAATCGAGCCGACGTTCCGTGAATTTGTACGCTATTTGATCAACACCGACTTGGCTAGTTACGGGGACGATCATTGGATGCCCTATTACCTCTTCTGTACGCCGTGCATCGTCGATTATGATATTATCGCGAAGGTATGTTTAGATAACGACCCGTCAAGTGTCCTAAGCTCGGGTCCAAGTCGCGGCAATGAACGAGGGAGGTAGGCGTTCCAAGAATCGAGTACATATTCTTCATCCATTCGATCGATTCTAGTCCCTGTTTTATTTATGCACGGATTCGTTACATTTACGACGCTTTACAGGTTGAAACAATGTGGCGAGACCAGATTTACACGATCCATAAATTAGGCCTGCAAGAGGTAATTAAGCCAAGATGGCGACATAGCGGTGGTCACTCGAATGCATCGAGGATATATTTCAGTCAACTGAACAGAGATATGGTGCACAAGCTATACGGAAAATTCAAGCTGGATTTCGATCTTTTCGATTACTCGCCCAACGTTTATTATCGATACGCAACTTCCGTTTAAATTTTTTAATTAAAAAAAAAATAAATTGGACAACGATCTTGCCAGTTAAATTTCATTTTCATAAACGGCATTCTCTGTAAAAGAAACATCATAGATGGTTCGTAGACCCTGAGCGTTGTGTCGATCAACAGGATAACGTATAATGAGTTCGCAAAGAACCGTCTCGATTTCAATCGCGCTACCAGAACTTTTATACATCAGCGCTTCGTCTCGCTTTTCCCTAGTTCTTTCACCCCCGTTCCTTTTATTATATTTTTACTCGTCATTCTTTGTATTTGTAGACGAGTAAAACTTTCGAGAACGTCTTAGCAACGACACGTAGCCCTGAAAATTAATATAGTTCTTTAGCTCTTAATGAGTTATTCGTCACTGTTAACTTATTCCGAACGGTAGCTCTAAGGGTAGATTCAAAAGAAACCTTTGCCTCTATCACACTTTTACACAATTATGCAATTAGTCTCTGCCATGATACATACATGCTTGTTTCTAATTTGCATATCAGAGACGTTACAATGATAAAAACAATAATTTACAAACCTGTTTTGATTCCAAAAATGCTTCGAGACGGCGCCGAGGGACGTCAGAGTTAAACAATGCCGTGGTATTTCGTTTATCGTCGCGTTAATTAATGCGAGTCAAGGGGGAGCCATCGACTTCAGGACAGATCGTTCTGATACATTACAGCGAGGTAAGTAGGTCAATCGATTTTGTCAGCAAAAGTTCGTCGCGTGGCGTAACGTGATTTAAACTCCATCAATTAGGTCCACGTATGTATGCTTATCGGCTAAACACGTTTCTTTGTTTTTGCCGTCGAGTCTTCCGGCAATTTTTGTGCAGAACGCGTTCGACGTGTTCGTAAAAAATATAGAACGGATTCGATTGGCGTCGTTAAAACATCGAGAAATATTTTATGAACGAGAAGATTAGCACTAAACTTAATCGCGTAGACACAAAGTATTGCCATCTTGTATCGATCAGTGTTAGGAATACGATAGAACCTCGATTATTGCACGAGAATCTCCCTCGTTTAATGGTATCGACAAATGGAGGGGAGAGGTCGCTGAACACCGAATGAAATTGGGGTCGTAAGAAGTGACTGACTGTGCAGAATACAATCGAAAATCGAAGAAATCACGCAGATCTATCAAAGGAATTGGCTAACAGAGAAAAGAAAATTATTACACGCAAAATAAAAAGCCAACCAAATACTTTGGCTAGAAAACTCGTTGAAAGAATGACCATTCGATGAGTGAAAATTGGGAAAAAAAAACGTCACATCGCTTACTTTGTTGTGCAGATCCTCCAGTATTTCTTGATCGACCAGTCCCAATTCCTCCCAGCTCAATTCCTCCGACATAGTACCCGCCTCGCCAACATCGTTAACAGCACTGCCATTTTTCTCGATCACACTTGCGACCGTTTTATCTTGATCGCCATTCGTGGTTCGTTCGCCGGCATCGCCATTGCTCTCCCCGGTCGTCGCACAATTCTTCAATTTCGCAGCGTCCCGATTCGAAGCATTACTTTCGTCAATCTTCGAATCCCTCGCGAAAGATCCCTCGGCATTGTCGTCCTCCACGAAAGAACCAAACGTATCGTCCACTTTCTCTAATGGAACTATCTCCTCGGCGCTCTTCTTTTGCACGTTCCTAATTTCCTTTCTATCCTCCGACTCCGAATTCTCGGTTTTATTTTCGCTAAAAGCCTCGAAATTCGCTGAACTCCCAATACCCTGTCCACTCTGAACCAGCTTAACGGCTTCCTTCTTCGCCTCTTCGACTCTACCAGCGATCGGAGACACCCTAAAATTCTCGTTTTCCCCGTCCTTGTCCCTCTCTTCCTGTCGACTGTTCCTCCTCTTCCTCGGCTGTTCCACGGGCTTGTTAACGATCGGGCTGCTGGTCCTCGCGAGTATACTCTTCTTAGGGCTCAGCTCCGCGTTGTGCGTGTAAATTTCTCTCTTCGGGCTGCTAGAGACGGACCTGGCCGCTCTGGATGGCTTGCCAGATTCTTTGCGAGGACTACACGGCTGCGAGGATGGTCTCTTACGGGTGTTGGGCATCTTCGTCGCCGGGGAGACGGGGACCGGAATCCTGGTCTTCGGGGTCGCTTCGAGGGACTCCGTGTCGTCGCTGTCCGGGGTTCTAAGTTTAACTATTTCACCCCCAAAGTGCACCCTTCTCGGAGTCTTCCGTCTATCGGGGGAAGCGTCTTTGGTCTCGGCGTCGTTTCTCAGGTCCGTGCCGCTCTCGTCGTCCTGCTCATTCTCTTCCAAGATGGTCATCGTGATCGCCGTCTCTTCGTTGAATTTAATCTCGGTTTCCAGCACCACCCTAGCCGCCGGCATGACTCCGTTGTTAACCTCGTCCTCCTCTTCGGCGATGCCGGACGTGTCGCTGTCGCTCTCCCACTTCCGGTCCGGGTCTTTCGTATCCCCTTTCTCAACGCTTTTACCGTCGACGTCTATCCTCTTCCGAGCCCTCTTCGCGGACTTGACGTTATAGATCTTCGACAGGATCTCGATGTTCCGTTTCAGCTTGTTGTCGTAATCCTTCAAGTAGTTCTCAAACTCCTCCGTGCCCACGACGTCGTGGATCTTCATCAGCGACTTCAGTACGGCTTCCTGGTGCGGCACCTGAGCCAACCGGGACGCCAGAGCGATCGTCGTGTCCTTTACGAGACGTTCGCTGGGCGACGGGCTGCTGGACGAAGGGAACAACAAGGACGGAACGCTCAGAATCACCCCCGTGGTGACGTTCGTTTGGAAGGAGTCGCGCACTTCCGAACGGTTCAACCCATCCTGAAGAATCTGCAAGAAAACGTGCAAACCGATCGATGCGTGTATCGAATAGTGGGTGGGAGGAGGTAATCTACAAGGTCACCGCGTGCTCGGCGCTCGATTTATGCTCGTCCGAAATTTGGACGAGCGGATAATTGGTAATCGATTTAATCGTCAGCGGGTAACCTTGACGAAAGAACGAACGTCGACGTAAAGAGAACAACCGGTGGAACGCAGAATGAGTCGACTAACAAGAAAAGATACCAATCTGGATACTCGGAAACTTACTAAGCTTTTGGGAATGTGTAAAGCATACGTAACAATCAGCGAAATTTCCATGCTTCGTAATTGTACAACCCTGTTATTGAAACGGGGAATCCCACGCGTTTTGGGCGAAACAGAGACGAACAAAACAGAAGATTTAAGACTAAAGACCGTACCTTTTTGATCGTATTTTCCCTGTCGCGACTATGAATGAGAAAAACCCGTAAGGCGTCCAAAGCACCCTTGCGAACAGCCGGCGCCGGGTGGCCCAAATTATTGACCAGCTCTGGCACCACTGGTTGCATGACCTTGTCCACGATGTCAGCGTTCAAAGTCGGCAACACGTCTATGAGCACGCGAAGAGCGTGCTGTCGCACCTCCCATTCCGGATCACGCAGTCTCTCTGATATCTCCAGGAACGTGAGACGCGTGTCGACCTCGCTTGGAAATTTCCTAGTGCGCACCTGTCCGGGACAAATCGAAATTAGTCGGTCGTCGTTATACAGAACGACGGTTAATCTTGAAAAATGAAAACGCGTTACCCGGAGTTCGTGGATCTACAATTAGATAGAAAATAGTTAAGAAAATCCATCTTTTTGTTCTAGAGCATACAAAGTTTTGATATTTTATAAACCTCCAAGCCGATCATTTTGATATTTTATTTATCAGACTTGAACCGCAAACATGGTCGGTCGCAATACTGGCATTTCGATTGATCAGGTAACATGACTATACCAACCACGTGCTCCCAGAGAGGAGTGAGCTGTACAGGTTGCCCGTTCGATGAGGTCAATGTCATCTTTCGAGGAAGTCGTTGACGATGACCTCGACGAGACGGACTCGCAGGAGCTGAGTAGAAATCGAAAGGCGACGATCGGAGAATCGTCGAGGAATCCTTTTGGGGCTGCAGAAGCCCCGAATTCGTCGATCCTGTCATAGATGACGAGTTCTCGAAGCACTCGGACATACCACCCTACGTCTCGTCCCTGGAGAACCTTCACCATCGCCCTTGAAAATCGCTTTTCTAGTCCTTCGCCGTTCATCGGGTCACACGAGGATCAACCTAATCGACAGATTTACTAGATATACAGGGTGTTCGGCCGACCTTGGGAAAAATTTTAATGGGAGATTCTAAAGGCCTAAACAAGACAAAAATCAAGGATATTAATTTGTTGATTGAGGCTTAGTTAAAAAGTTATAGAAACATTTCCGGCCACACAGTGTATTTTCGGTAAAGAATTTTTTTCTCGAAAGTGCGTAGGAATTCGAGGGTATACCTATTCACCAAATATGATTGTAATTGACCCCTGCAATCGAAAATAATTTTTTTGAAACGATTTAAAATTTTTGTTTTTCGCCGAAAAATTTAGGGAACCTTGGGTCGATATTTCCTGAATATTCGTTTCTGATTTTTAGTAACTTTGTTTGACGCCCTACAGAAAATTTGTCTAATACTTTTTTATAGGTAACTACGAGTTCTACTTCAGAAAAAAGTTTCATTGAAATATATTCACTACTGTAGGAGTTAGGTATGTTTGAAAATTGGACCACTTTTATGGGGTTTTCCTCATTTTACAGGATCAAGGAACAACTTTTCCAAAATTTTCAGAATTTCTACATCTTTTTCACTAAAATACGCGTTGTTTGCTTTTTGAAACATTAAAATCCTCCAATCCGTTCAGAATGTTAACAGAGGTTTTAGAAATTTCAGGGTACCATTTCTAGCCTCACAATTTTTTTCTCGAATGTACGTAGGATTTCGGGGGTATGTGTATTGACAAAAAGTGATGGTAATTAGCCCCCCATAGCAAAAAATATTTTTTTTAGAACGATTTGAAATTTTTTTTTTGCCGAACAATTTACGTACTTACGAATTTTTTTTCTCAGAAGTGAATAGAATTTCAGGGGTACATCTATTCACCAAAAATGATTGTAATTGACCCCCGCAATCGAAAATAATTTTTTCAGAAGGATTTGAAATTTTTTAATAACTGTTTAACGAAGTTCAACGAAGAATTTCAACAAATTAATATTCTTGATTTTCGTCTTAGTTTGGCGTCTAGAATTTCCCATTAAAATTTTTCCCAGGGGTGACCGAACGGCCTGTATATAATTCTGTAAATGAGATTGTAAGAACAACTACGACAGCTGATACAATAGTACAAATTTCTTACAAGAAAGGTGAACAAAAGAAGAAACAAAACTAATTACGTACAGTAATTTCAATGATTTCTATAACTTTAATTTAGATTCCAGGCGAATCAATATGTTCAGCCTTAGGTCCTGACTTCCGCGTTAATCGATCAACGATATTCCCTTTCCTTCCGGCACATGCATTACGTACAAATGCATAAAATGATTGACATTAGTACGACTTTAACCACTTAGCAACTGACGCATCCCCAACTTCCGGTTTCAGTTACAGAATCAATCACAGTAGTCACGCAACGTGTATCAATATAAATTTAAGCATCTCTAGTGCACATAGGAACATCTTTTTCCCCTCGAATCGGTTCGATCGTTTACATTTTACACAAATCGCAAATACAATTCGTTGTAAAGAAAAACATACATCATTAGATAAGTAATTCCTTTTTGGTAGTGTAAGTCTTAAACTTCGAAGTATATATTATTCTTAACCAGGAATCCTAACTATTATGTATAGCGAAAATAAAGAAGAGGTTTTGGTTGAAATAGGTACGCATAAAACTACGGTCTCGGGTCTTGAAGAATAACTTTCCAGTTCGCCGTCTGTATGCTCGTTTAAACCTATCGTGAATTAAACGAGTAAAACATTTTTAATCAAGCAGTGAAATTTTCGGCGCATAATTTTCGTTTCGTTCGTTACGAACATTTATCTGGCCCGGTAGCCGATATTTTTAAGAGTAAAAAAGGAACGAATCGAGGCGAAGTCGCAAAGTTTATCATCGAATCTCGCGACACGAACCCCGCATAAAAGTAGTACACACGAAAGGCGATTGCATAATCCAAAGAAAACGTGCGTGCGTCTGGAAAGTCCGGAGAGGAAGGGGTTGTCCTCTTACGAGGCCGCATAGGGTGAATACTTATCCATCGTACTTAACTTAACTCGATCTAGCGTACTTTTTTTATTCGAGTAGTCCTTTTTATTCGAATGCAAGACAGACTGAATATTCATTGTAAAATTGTTTAATTACTACGTTGATTGCCACGGCAATTTACCAAGTCTAGAGATGTCCTCGACATTTGTTCAAATTGTAGTATAAAATGGAGAAATATTCGATAATTCAATGGTGTACCTCTTATTTATCTAATGATAGCAGCATTATGCCATTATGACAGTGTTTTCATACTACATTTGTACATAGTTATAAATTCCATCTGTAATGAATTAGCAATTGCTATTAAATAAATTATATACAGTAAAATTTGGAACATTAAATACTCTCGAAAAACAACTTCAATCAAAGTTCCTCATGAAATTACCTAGTATACCTACATATAATCGGTTTATCATATTTCAGTACACGACCATTAAGAGCGAAAATCGATATAAATCAATAACATCGTTAAAATCTGATTTACGTTGTCAAAAATGAAATTACGAACATAACTCTTTTACTGCCCGTTTGGCGCCTTTTTACCAATACACTTTCCTTTCAGCTTATTTATCACGTGATCGTAAATCTGTTACATCCACGTAAATCGACAACACTATCGAAATTAATTTACACAAATGATAATATGTACATAGAGAGAAATGTGTATTTGCATCGCTATAACCCTTATCGTTCGTGGACTAGTAAATAATAATAAACAATCTTGGTTGATAAATTACATAAATCTTTTTACTCTAAATTGTCACAATCGCGGTAACATTGTTTTGTACATGAAGAGTATACAGTCTATTTCGTTCGACAGCAATATATATTTTCTACGCGTATGAATACTTTTAATTGCAAAATGAGCCCCTCGAAAATCAAACTGATTAACTCCAAGAAACATGATACAGAAGTTGATGTTACAAATATTATGTGAACGTTATCTCTTAAAATTTTGTTAAAATTAAGAAATTTACAGGAAGTAGAGTTAAACAATTCGGTTTCTAAAAGGTTCAAATTACAATGCTACTAAATTATTACAAATTAATACGTTTGAACGTACAACAATAATTGACTTACTCGTGCCAGCGTGCACAGAATGGACTGTACATTTTCACTGCAACGGCACACATATCACAGTTTCCACATCTATAAGCCGGTTCACTGTATCGTACGCGTTTTTCGTTTCATTTCGAACACAGATTCGATGACAAGCGGCGCGACAATCGAAACAATCATCCGACAGGAAATTCACTCGACGACGGCCGACATGTGACTGCCGCTACTCGATTCTCGAAGCAAGGTGGTTTTGCAGGTAATATCGACCACCCTCTCCCCACTTCTCTAAAAATGATCTTCTACAGGCGCATATGTATATTCTAATCACCGACGGAACCACAGAAACAACGGTCCTCGGTAAAGGTAAATACGATCGACAGGGACAGGTACATCCAATCCATCTTTCGTAAACTGGACAAAATGGTTCGGTCGATATTTCACAAATCAAAGTTTTCCCGCCAATTAAAATTACGTTACGTTTTGATATCATCGGTTCGAAAACTTGCGTCTATACAAATAACAGAAACATTGACTAATGAGTTTACTGTTCGAATAATTGGTTTCTTATGGAAATATTACAACAGGTACAAACTTCGGTTAAATAATATCGAAGCTATACGCGTTCAAATAGTAGTTACCTTAAGTTAATGTTTTCATAGGGTCTATTCTAACGGTGCACTCATATGCACGAACGTTGTAAATAAGAACGAACCGTTCAACGGCAAATGACAAAATAATGTATGTTTTAGTCATTAAAACAAAATATATAAAACATGCGTTGTATTCAAATTAATTTTAAACAAATAAAAAAGGAAATGTACAGTTGTACGACTTCGTTACGACCACACCTTGCTCAAACTTAGTTTTATTTCTTTTTAAGTAATGATGATTTCAATGTGTCAGCAGTATTTCGTTTGGGTGTGAAAGCACATGTTGTTTTCAGTTTGAAATCATTTTAATAACGCGTAAACATTTATAACTTTATGTTCTTTTTTCAACGAAAACTATCAAAATAAACGCATGCATTATGTATTTTCTTCTAATGGTTAAATAAACGTACATTATTTTACTATTTATAATTAAATATGTACATATTAATAGAGCACGTATAGAAACACTTAAAATTTTTTCTCGAATATACACAACTGTACCTTGAACTGCGTCATAAAAATTCTTCGATTATTGCTTATAACGTGACGTTTGTTTATATATAAATATAAAATAACCTCGGAAAGAAGGGTATGTTTTACGCTCTTATGATTACGTTTTTTTTTGTACTACAAACATTTTGTACTGGATTTTGTGAATATAATATCACTGCATAGCTCACCATAGCAATGGAAAGCACTGTATTCATATGAATAGGAATACTGAATATGAACCAACTTAAAATAGCAGTGAACACCAGCTCTAGTGCGCTTGCAAAAGTCTTTACTATCGAATTCAAATTTTTCAAGAAGAAACTTGTAATTATTCCAATTCCTGTATTATTCAGCATAATTAAAATAACTTTCGGTTGCAGAAGTATACTGGCATCAACATTACTAAACATATCAGATATGTCACTTTTCGAGATAAAGATTACTAGAAGAATAATAAGATTCCAAAAAATACTATCACTGTACATAAATACATTCTGTACAAAAATATTAATTTTCGCTCTGTCTTTAAGTAAATATTCAGTGTATACTCCAGCCAGACAGGAGCAAATTGTCTGAAAAAATTCAAATATTAATGTTTAATTTTATCAATGGTACACGATAAGCAATATAGTCAAACTTACCTGAACAAATATGAAAATTATATTACTATTTAAATTAAGTTTGGTATTAAATATACTGGCATCAAAATCCAAATCTATGTGTTTTACCATGCATCCAATGGTTAATATTATTAGCGAAAACCATTGTTTTACAGACAGTTTTTGATTAAAAACAACCTAAAAGACATAATGCTTGTAAAAAATATATTTTTACTTTAACATAAGATGCAAAGAAAATTTTCTAGAACATACTTGGAAAATAATTCCTGTCACAACAACACGAAATTGCAATAAAATGTAATAAGTTGTTGGATCAAATGCAGCCAAATTGATAAATGCCAGATTATTGTATAAACAATATAGAAATGAAGGTATCATGTACAGTAGTAGCACTAGAATAAAAAAATAAAATATTAAACATTATTCTTTTCATATATTCAATACGTTATAAAAATATAATTATTATTTGGAGGAATTGATTAAGTAAAGTTTTATTCGTACGATAGTAACACAACAGTCCAATATTAAATTAATTGAACAGCTGTTCAAATATGTTTCATACAAAGGTGACTAATTACTGATATATCTTATCTTGTACTCAGTTTATTTTACGTATTTGCTCCACTAGCTGAAACCGCTTAATTATTAAAAAAATTTCATTGTAGATTCAAAGTATGATTTTATAATGATGGAATAATTTTAATTTTGTGGATAATACCTACTTACCTCTTTTATTCTCTCCTATGCTTTCACAAAGATTTGCAATACTATTACTAAAAGGAAAATGAAAATTAAACTGTTCCAATATAAAATTCATACTAATAACAAAATTTAAACTACATAGATTGTTATACATACTCTTTACAATACAAGATTGTTGAAGCAATCAACTTCAATACTTCTGTTATCAACACCACCATAATAATATTGAATTCATAGGATCCATTTCTCTGTGACCAGGTTACAATAATACCTGAAATAAAAATAATCTTGCAGTATATGTCATATGTCAGAAGTTAATTGTTCAATTTGATTAACTTCAACATTAATATGAAGAACAACAAATATAAACAAACACTTTATAAATGTTCAAACTTATACATACTAATAATATTGTAACACTCACGTTCAAAGCCGGTAAAATAATATATGCTTTGTTAACGATAATTACATGAAATTTTATATTCGTTCTATCTGAACGTCGTTATTGCTTCTGTTTAACAATTACTAGCTAATATATTACATGGAAAAAGAATAAATATAAAAACTTAACCACACATATATACCTTGATTTACGTAAAGTGCCATATACGAAATAAAAATGGCGGGACTCCATCTTCCCGGGAATAACTCTCCCCAATTGATGGAACCCATCGCGAACTCTTCTTACTCAATCTTGTTATGTTAAGGACATTCATTCGTGAAGCACTTATCACGATAGTTCCTTCCCACTGGAAAAGCTTGATAAGAACTGAAATCATAAACCGTGATAAGCGCCCATCATTCGCCCTGAAATTCAATTGAACACTACACTTCGTTCGACGAGAATAGGCAGCATGTGTCTATCAGTCGACTGTGAACATGTACGTTCAATCTGCTTCGTCGCTTCAACCAACTTTAAATAATGTTATTATTCTTCTGCATAATTATATATTTTATTTTACAATTTCTTAAAAACACTTAAACGCATTCGTAATGCATTACATAAAATTTATTTACATATAACTGAAAACTTGTATTTAAGTGCTTTACAATACACTACAATTTTTTAAAATTCTAATCATTTTTGTAGTTAATAACTATCCCGCTATTTGCGTTCATTACTCATTGTGGAAGCACCTAAATAGAAAATTTCTAATATACACAGAATTCGTTATACATACCATGAAATATATTACAATTTACTATTGTTACAAGTATTAACAATGCTGATAATATCTACAAGATTTAAGGTTTCGATAGGTTTATTAAACATGTTTCAAACTATCTATTTATTACAATTTGAAACACAGAATAATGTTTAATTTACATTAAAAAATAATTTCCTTTATACTATACCAATGAAATTACAACCATGTAAAAAAATCTATTGGCAATTTATATATAAATTAACTATTATTGCAAACAGTATTGCCTGAAAATACAAAAAGGCAGTGCAACAATGTGCACAAGAACTTATGACATCAATTTTTTTAATTTGCTAGTACTAGTATATTTCTAGTAATTAATAGAAAAAGAATTGTACCATGTGATTGTTTAAATATATATATATCAGAAAAAGACAGGGATATTTTTAATACGACAGATTTTTGTATGAATTATACACATATTTTTGAAAGATCGTAAATCGTAAATTTTTAAAATTCTTCGAAATAGAATCAGGCAGTGTAATAGGTATGCCAGCAAAATGATGATATTGTTTATTTTTCAATATATTTTGTACCTTTTGTAAATATTTTATAAAGACATGTATTGCAATACTATATACTATAAAATGCAAGTCTGTAATCATTTATATATGTATATAATATTTCTCGAATCATATTACATTAGGACCAATTATCAGTTCGTTATGAAGTATAAATATTACATATTAATGAATCCCGAAAATGCTGTGATAGCGTGTGATTCGAAGTTTTTATGCATCCCGTCAAAAAAAGAATGAATTTTTAATGTTCATACATATCGACACCACGTTATGAATCATATTTATATAGAGAAATCAGCAATATCCTTATCCCATGGCACATTACATTCCATCATATATATTCATATCAATGAATAATTTGCAGAGTCCATTACCTTTCCTATTCTTTTTATTGTAAGGCCACCGTTTAGCCACATGTGAAAGAAAAACTTACCTCAGAATTATTAACGCTTATTATGACATTATTGGATAAAAGAAATGCTAAAAATGCTTTTCATAGAAATTGTACGTTTTTAAAAACTGTAAAAAGTGCATGAAAAACCGCAAGCGTAAATATAATTTATGAAAGTAACGGCTTAATAAAATTACCAAAATTGTTAAATACAGCTACAAATCATGTTTGGCTATATTATTATTAATGACATCATGTGAATCAGTTTTATATATAAAACGCTCGAGTTACTTTTAAATTTGTTCTTCTATAGACTATTCTCTGTAATTATCTTAACATTACACGTTGTATTTGTAGTACCATTTAATTAAGGACATTATAAACAATCAAATGAATAAAAATGTTCGTTCTTACATTTGCTTTAGAATACTTTTTCTAAAATAAATTCAATCTTATCGCATCTGTACACATCGTACCTAAACCATTGTACATATTATAAAGCTTATTAAGATGAATTTAATGTTTTTAATTGTTTCAAAATCTGTTGAGTGATCAATTTAGTAGCCTCGCTTGCATTAGGAATAAGAAATTTATCCATATCTGAAATTACTGTATCGTAATATTGTGTTGTACCGTATTTAAACGTGATCAAATCCGACTGTTGCTTCTTAGATGTTATTTTAACAATACTTGTTAATGGACGTTTGACAATTACATGTGCCGCGCCTTTCCTTTCTGGTATTTCCCGGAGCACCACGAGGTGAGTATCGGTAACCAAAAGTACACTGAAAACATTAATTAAAAATGTACATCTCTGCTTTTATTTATTTCAATTCAATATGTTTCAATTTTACTAAATTATTCACCTATCACAGAGATCTCCGTTAACTTTCACTTCTTGACATTTAAAGGAATGTAATAACTTTGGATCCTTCATCCAATGTTGAATAGATACTACTTCAATGGGTTCTTCGCTTTCATTATTTGTCATTGTCATATCTACAACACAACATACGCATACAATACATCAGTGTGCTTGGTCGATACGTTAAAATATTTTATCGCTCGAACAACTAATTTATTTTAGACTCGTGTATTTAACAATTGAAAAAATATAAAATAAGATATACCTAATTCCTGATCGTCGTCTATGCTAAATACAGGGCCCATTTTCTTTTGCCGTTTAACGTATTCTAAGTCTTTGCCATTTCTATTATCCACGTTATTATGAACACTTGCTGATGGATTAACAATATAATCAAATAACTTTCCTTTCACTTTCTTAATCTTTCCCAAGAAGTCGGAATTATTATTCTTGACTTTAGCAGGACTTGTTTCGTTAGAATTTGTTTCAGATATATTAGCATTGCATACTAAACAATGTTGTGAATTATGATCAACGAGACTAGAAACAACCTCATCGCCGAAATATTCGTGTATAGCTGAAACAAAATACAAATACCGTTCAAAACGATACGATCGATTTCTATTAATTTTATAACCTCAAATACAATTCTCTCTTACCTTGATATCCCGCCGTAACCATGCTAACATATTGGGTATGCTTTTGTAAAAACGATGCAACCACCATATGTGTATAACGATCTTCTTCTTGCCTACCACTTCCTAAGAAACAAAGATGTTCACCCCCGGCTTGTGATCCAACAGCTAGTGCTTGTCGTTGTGCCTGCAACAATCCTTGCACCGCTGTAGCAAAAGCAGCAGGTTCTTGAAGCATCTGAAATTTTATTTTCAGAATTTAATAAAATATTACCACAAAATCGAAAAAAAAAAAAAAAAAGGAAACACGAAACATACTAAATTACAATCTAGATGAAATGCAGTGGGCAGATGTCCTGCATTGTACTGCTCCGCTGGTCTACAATCCACTAGAAAAAATCTAACCGATTCAACGGAAGTGCTAGATGCGGATGGAGTTTCAATAGAATTTTCAACCAATTCTTGAGCTGATACAGGCAAACAGAGCGCATGCGATATATATTTTTCGTCAAAACTCTCCCCGAACATAATAGGATCTAAGTCCTGTTTAAAAGACGACGGTGTCTTCATTGCATAATATTGTGCTAATGAGCAAAAATCTGTTACGTCTTCTGCTTCCACGGCCGAAGGCATAGCAGCTATTGCATCGATTATACTCTGCTTATCATTATCTTTCATACTTAAAATTTGCTCCCTGCACAGAACAGTAAGTTTTGTAAATTTTATAAAAAAAATATATATCTATGGAAGTAAAATATCTAAGTGTAAATTTCATACTTCTTACCTAGCATTTATTACCATGATAAGCGACAGAAATAACATAAAAAACGGGTCGACTTGCATAAAGTATAAATCCCACATCGTGCAAACAGCCGGTAGCGAACAAACGCCAGCGAAAAGAGTAGTCACCCATCCTTTTGTATATTGATCAGGAGATACTCTTTTTGTATCCAAAAAAGAACATAATTCTGGTTCATGGTAAAGTAATAGTAATCTTAGTACAGAACTGTATGTTTCACCTCTAGAAGTATACAAAAAAAATAACTGCATTAAGACGACATTAATACATTCGTTCCTATTAAAATAATCTTAAGCATGAAATATTGTACCTAGGAATATAAATATCTATTATCGCTTCAAATAAATTATATGTTTCACTACGCGGAAGTTTTAAAGCTATTAAAGGACCCAGCAACTCTATCCATCCATTTCCTCTTTTATATTCTTTCTCTTTACTTTTACAATAAAATGTTAAAATAGACTCTAAATCAGAAACAACGGAAACTTTATCTTCGTCATCATTTCCTAACTTTGCTGCAACAAACATAGTACAATTATAATATTTTCATAAACCAGTTTCGTACATGAATCATTGCATCAATTAAAGATAAAATATTTCAACTTACCAACTAATTGTTGACAATCATCACGAATAATATTCTGTTCAGGTAAATCAAAGACTTCATTAAAATTATTTAATTGATTACCCCGATCCATAACATCTAAACAGGCCTGCCATACATCAGACCTTAAATTCGTAGGAACCGATTGTCCCTTGCAAATTGCATATATATCGGATGCAGATGGTGGTTCAGTATCGAGAAGAGCTGCTTCCAGCTCCAGAATCCTAATAGATTTAACTTCTTATAGTAAAATAGTAATTCATCAGATTTAATATGGAATGATTCTTCTGTCGAATGTCCCAAAAGTAACCAATACCATAGCAATAACCTTTGATATCACTATAACGATTCATTAAGCAAGTTACAACTTCTGAAACATTGTAATGACTATGGAGTCAGCTACTTTTAGGACTACCAATGTAAAAATTATCTTATATACTTTTAACTTTTTTAATTTCATCATACAGTTTGTATCTGTTTAACTTTCTATGGATAGACATTTTGGGACACAAATATTATGAAAACACAAAAAAGTAATATGCATCTAAAAATTACTGTATTCACTGCACAAATATTATTTAATTAAATTAATTTGTGTTCATTTATGGCAACAAGATTCTAAAGAAATTTTCTAAAGAATTAAAAAGCAAAAGTATGATGTTCAATATATGCAGACATCATCTGCAAAGGATTAATATAATTAACAATGATTAATTTCATGTTGGCTTTCCTTCAAAATAATATTTGCATAAAGTAATTATCTGTAAACATACGCTCAGAACAAATATTAATTAACTTCTCTGAAAACGTCAGTTGCATGTTTTTGCCAACCAAAAATAGATTAAGATAACATTTAAGAAACAGAACGATACATCAAATTTGCACGCAATAATATGTATGTTTGCTTATTTTTAGTACGCTAATATTTTCTAATATTCGAGGAAACTGGTGGTGGTACAATACCGTAGTAATTTGAACTTAAATTAGGAGAAAACTAGTTGAAATGTAGAGCTGATGGAATAAGAATAATCAAAATTCACGGGTAGTAAAATGATTTCACCTCGGTTTAAAAAGATACGAAAAAATTTTTAAATCAGCTCACCAGGTGTTTTCATCTTCTTGTAGTGCCATTTTGGTAAACGTCACACTCTTATAGAGATGTGTTAAATAACGAATGTTACATGTACGTTACAATTTTCTACAATGTAATAAACGTTTTCGATCACTTAGCATTCTTTTACGGATTTCATCGCTTTCATGACATTTCTCGCGCTTTGCGTTCTCTTTGAAATTCAATGATCTATAGATATCACTGTGGACAATACTTCGCTCCTGTTGACAGACCGTTGCCATTTTTCAAGGAAAGTTTCGTACATGCGCTAAAAGAGGCGCGAATATTAGACGGCGTATGTATTTACTTTGGCAATTTTCTGTTAATAAATCTAATAAACATAATCGATATCAAAGATTTAAAGCCAATATTGTATCAGTAATGGTAATCTCTTTGATTGATGATACCCAAATATTTAAGATTTATTTTAACAATATTGTACGCTAACCCAAGTTTTTCAAAAACGGAGACTCGTCCTGAAAATTTGTTTCTATATTTTCAACTTATTTCATCTGAAGAAATCATTCATTATTAGATTTTATCGCGTATTTTGAAACATATGAATGTTTTACCCAACTATACTTTTTTCTCGTGAGTCATGACTCATGAGTCGTGACTGTTAATCTAGTTCAGCGCCATTTGCGTAACGGAGAAAATTCATACTAAATGCATCTTTGGAATGCATGAATTCCAGTACAGTTAGATTGCGATTCCTGTGGATCTTTACTTTCTGCGTTTATTGCACAAATCCCTGATCTTTCCTTCTTTTCGGCGGATCGCTACACGTGTTGGTTTTTGTACCGCTGCTCGAACGCCAAGCCCGGGGCTCCCCAGTCCCCGCGCGGCACCAGCCATCGTTGTTTTCTAGGACGGCGTGGCGATCGCCTCCCTAGATCCGCATGTGGCAACGCCATCACCGCCCAATCGGAAAACCGCGCCGCACTCTGCCGACACTGCGACGCCACACATCCAGAGATGCTAGAAATGCACCATCGGGTGCCCTACTCACACATGCCGGATACGCGTACGTGAGCTCGTGGAGTTTCGGAAAGTCGACAAAGGCAAACTGACGCATGCCCTCTTTCTCGATTCTCCGAAACTGCCCGAAGTAATTTCGGACGCCTCGTGGGAGTCGAGAGAGAAAGGCTCACATTTGCCTTCTCGCTCTTAACAACTGAATACGATTCGTATGCCGTTGACGGGAGGTCGGATTTCAGTTGTTAGAGCGAGAAGGCAAATGTGAGCCTTTCTCTCTCGACTCCCACGAGGCGTCCGAAATTACTTCGGGCAGTTTCGGAGAATCGAGAAAGAGGGCATGCGTCAGTTTGCCTTTGTCGACTTTCCGAAACTCCACGAGCTCACGTACGCGTATCCGGCATGTGTGAGTTTGCACCCGACGGTGCTTTTCTGGCACCTCTGCGACACATCTATGCATCAGCTTCTTTGGGGATTCGTCTGCAAGTGACCGCGGTGATATGCTGGCGTGGTTACTGGACTTCACGTTAGTTCTTACTGTTTATTTCCGTGTCAGTAAGATTTGAAGAAAATCACGGGAAGAACGTAGCTCGTATCTCGCAGAAACAGTGAAGTATTTGTAAAAAATGACGGGTGTAAGTGGAGCAGCCAGCATAACCGGCAGTCCGTTGTCAAAATGGCAACTCGCACTAGCTGTTGGTGCGCCGGTTGCCTTGGGCCTCGGTTATATATATTACAAGAACGCCAATAAGCCAGTATCGAAACCTAATCGTGGTAAATTGAAAAGCAACTCAAAGGAAAATGGTACATCGGCTGCTGACAAACAAATCTCTATCGATGTTGATTGTCCACCGAATACTGCAACCAATTTTGAAATTGAGGTTAGAAATATTTTTATCGTATTCCGAACGATAAATCGATTAGTGCAGATACCTACTTATAATCTAGATTTCGAATATTTTCAAAGTACAATGGTCAACGAAAGTATCCGAACTCTTAGATTTGTGATTATTAACACACCAAACGTATACGTTAAACCGATGTGTTTAAAACAATATGATGTCTATATCTATATGTAGCAAGAGGTAATAAGGCTTTTCTGAAAATTATAAGTTTAAGGGTTTGAATACTTTCATCAGCCACTGTTTACTAGATACTGTAATTGTACTGTAATTTAGTTTTTCTTTTTTTTTATGTATTAAATTACAATAGATTGGAATCTGAAATGATTTCTATATTATACGTCTGTAACTACAAAAATACCACGTATCAAAAGTGAATGTATTATATATCATAGTCACCATTGGAGAAAGCTCAACGATTTAAAAACAAAGGAAACGATTATTTCAATACTGGAAGATACGACGAAGCAATAGTGCAGTACAATAATGCAATCGATACCTGTCCTGTGGAGAACACTGATGATTTAGCTACATTTTACCAAAACAGAGCTGCTGCCTATGAACAACTGGTAATATTGTTTTTATTATTAATTGATAATTATACAATTGTTATAATTATAATGGTATGTTACAGAAAAAGTACAGTGGAGTGAAAGCAGATTGCACAAAAGCTTTAGAATTAAAACCAAGGTATGCAAAAGCATTATTACGTAGAGCACGAGCATTGGAACACTATAATGATTTAGAAGCAGCTTTAGAGGATGTCACAGCTGCTTGTTTTGTGGGAGCCTTCACTAACAAGACGGCGGTGGTAATGGCAGACAGGCTCTTGGAACAATTAGGTACACTATGTATTAAATAATAAATTTATCATTAAAATAAATATAAAATTCTAAGTATAAATATGAAACTTTTCGAACTTCTTTTCAGGTAAAAAGCACGCGATTCAATATTCGTCACATATGAAGCATATAATGCCTAGTAAACATTTCATTAAAAATTATATTAATAGTTTCCATTATGATCCTGTTTTTACAATGCTTCAAAACGACGACGACGACAACAGTAATATATCTCCGTAAGCATTACAAAATATGTATTATTTGTTATTATTATTCAGAGTTTTATAATAATTTATATTTTTTCATTATCGACCTCTCACAACCATTTGATTTTTAGGAGTTTCGCAAAAATTTTAAAATGTGTAAAGGAGCAAAAATATGACGACGTAATACCACTTTGTACAGAAGAGATCGATAGTTCCGATCCAGATACATTGCCACACAAAATGCAAGCGTTACTTCTACGAGCTACGTTTTACCTTTTACAAGCGCAGTATGACGCTGCGATCGAAGATTTTGGAACAATTATAAACAGCGACAATGTTTCAAAGGACATTAAAGTAAATGCCTTAATAAAACGTGGTAGTTTGTATATGCAGGTAGAACGTCCTGAGATAAGTTTGTCCGATTTTGATTTGGCCGTCGAACTCAATCCTGATTGTAGCGATATTTACTCGCTCAAAGGACAGGTAATCGATTATTATCGATAAGTTTATATGCGACATTATATATAAAAATTAATTATACAAAATCATGATACGATTGCAGGTAAATATGCGTACAGATAATATTGAGGAAGCCAGAGAAAACTTTAAAAAAGCTGTTGAACTTAATCCCAATTTTGGGGTGGCATATGTACAAAAATGCTATACAGACTATCATTATGGCATGATGAAGAAAGACATGGGAATGGTAGTAGATGCTTTGAATGATTTTGAAAAGGCGTTTGAAAAATTCCCAAACTGCATCGACTGTTACATTCTATTTGCACAGGTATAAATAAATATATTACACTTTATACTTATTAATATAAATATAACAATAACTATAAATTTAATACATATTTTCCTAATGCAGATATTATCAGAAAAAGAAGAATATTATAAAGCAGATACTTATTTTGCTACAGCAATGGAGATAGATCCTAATGATGCTCTAATCTATGTACATAGAGGTTGGTTACAATTGAAATGGAAAGGTGATGTGAATAAAGGTATTGAATATATCAATAAAGCTATACAATTAGATGATAAATGTGAATTTGGATATGAAGCCTTAGCAACGATTGAAGCTCAGAGGCAAGTTAATACTTTTAAAATGTATATATTTATTTGAAAATTTGTGTTATCTGTAAATTTAAATTTTGTACTTACAGAGGAAATCTAGAAGAAGCAATACCATTATTCAACAAGGCGTTGGCGCTCTGCCGTACCAATACGGAGCTTATACACATGTTCAGCTTAATAGACGTCACAAAAACGCAACTTGCATTAAAAGAAAAAGGTTTTGAAACATTATTAAATATACGGACTGTTTCATAAATTTTCATAAAAGCTGTATCGATTAAAGTCAAAATTTCAAATAAAAGATATGTATAGTTACCAGAAGTAAAGAATGAAATTTTATATAAGATTTTAATAGAAATTTCATAATATCACGCTTGTGAATTGTTCTCACAGTTGTATACATATATATTTTATTTAGTTGAATTTAAAAGTCTTGCTTCATTTGTTAAAGAAATTTAAAGTATATGTTTACAACCGGTTGTCATTATTTTACGACTGTTTCTTCGTTTCGATATTTTCTAGAGTAAATTTAACCAGACAAAACTTCTGACAATTGCATTTATATAATACTTGTTTTATTTTTGTTAGATATAAGGTACAGCGATATGACGCCTGTTGTCGATTTAATTATTCAACGTTACAAATTTGTATTAACATGTACTTCTACAAAGATCATGATCATGAAAATCCTATTTGCAACATTTATTATTTACCTATGTTGTGAATCAATCTAAAATTTGTATTCGTATTGTTATTTGTGAATCAAATTTGCCCAATTTTGCCTTTGGTTTGTGCAACCTACTACGTTCATCCGGGCAAGTAACAAAGCCCGTAAAATAGAGAGCTGTTTCGTTATAAGTTGCTCTTATCGAACAGACGACTTACAACGAGATAATATTGTACTTTGTAGATAAAACATATAAAACATTTTTAATTGATCCATGTAAAATTCATGTATGTCAACATTAATATTATTGTTGTATTATTACATATTTTATTTTATTATATTACAACCTGATACTCAGTATCATGACATCTATAACTGTAGGCCAATATGACTGGTAAACTGGAAAGGAACATATTTATTTCCTGAGAAAAGTACAATACTATTTACACTGCTTGCAACGATTATTAAATGTACAATTACATTAATAATAAATGCGTCACCTTGAAAGTACTTATATATGTATAAAAAAATTCTTATATAAAAAAAAATCTGATGGCCAACATATTGTCTTATTATGAAACGATGATACAGTTTTATAAGATGATGATATATACATATATATGTATTTATATACCCTGGTTTTAAACATGTGCCTTCTCAAACATCATAAAATATCGAAGCAAGAGGGTACCTTATGACGAATGCCAATAAACTGCAAATAATCTACAACATTAATGGTATTTTAAAAATTCTTACATAAGGAACCATCGAATGTTAATTTTTTCTGAATTATCCTACAATTTTCGAAGCCTTACCTGAATTAACAATAAGATGCATGTGAGCGTAGATTCTTTAATTGGGCCAGTTTTAATTAATACGAAATTAATCAAAGTGAAATTATTGCAAGTAACAACGCCTCTCTCGTCTTCTCGCCAATTTACGATATATAATTTTCTAAATATCCACGTTACGAGTTTACCTAAAAGAAAGTTCACGCGCTAATAAATTAATAAATAGAAAATACAAAGAAATTAACTTTAAAAAATATATAAAATTTTTAAAATGTATTCTCATACCAATAACACCAATATCTTTTTTATTAAATGATGTACTGCTGATTTCCAATTTGTCTATTTCTTTATTGTATCTGTAAACAAACGTGCCCATAAACCGATTTGAACATCGGTTTAAAAAAAAAACTGTTTATTACAATACTTACTTCGGTAATCTGTGTCTAGGGCAGGGAACAAAGTGAAATAATTGCGGTACGCTATAAAGGAAATTAATTATTTGTGGAATGAAAAATAGTAAAGTTGTCTTGCTAAAGTGTCCGATAATGCCAACAACAGCAAACGTCATTCCAGATAAATAACAAAACGTATCACCTACAAATATCTGTGCTGGGTACCTTGAACAACGAATAATTACATATTTTTTTTTAAATGCCTATCATTGTTTTGTAGTTTTTTTATTCAAAACAAAGTTATACTCGTCTAATTATGAACGTAGGAACGCTCAATAATGCGTTTTAATCGTAGGTTTTCAAATGCATTTTGTATATGCTGTTGAAGTTGGACAAAATTGTACCGTATCTTAGAACAGGTTTGACGAACTTCCCCGCCGCGGGCTACACAACTTCCCCTTCAGCGATTTCCCCACTATCAAGAATGCAAACGGCGAGAATAACGGTGTGTGTGCAAAGTTTGAGCGTGATAAGGATGCATGTGGCTGTGTTACGAAAATCAGCGATCAAGTAGGAGGAAAGGGCCCGTAGACCACAAGTAAGTACCTAGTCAGGTCTGCTTGGCATATGACTGGTTGGGAATCATAGTGGTGTAAGTCACACTGGACTGTTTCTCATGAAACGGTGTTTTGCGTTTATTGTTTTTACAAAATTTCATATACATATACACTTGTGTCAATGATTTTTGTGACTCGCTGTATATGTATAGTCTGTCCGCTCTCAGGCATTGCTATAGTTATACACCGCACTGTATTATATGAGAATTATGGCGCTCATAACAAATGAGTTAGGGCGGTATGAAACGCGTGCGCCTTAGAAGGATCCGCGATCGCGCTTGCCGACGATTCAGTAAAAGAGTGTGTGGGAGAAGCATTCGGGCGTGGTTTTTCAGCTCGTCCGCTCTCAGGGAGACAGCCTAAGAAGGCGAAAGGATTTCGATAGATCGGCGGCGGACATGTACGAGCTAAGGATCGGACTCGCTGTGGAGAGTTGAAAATATGTGGCATTATGCGGAAACCAATTTTACAAGTAGCAAAACGTCGAAGGTCGGCTAGAAGACACGCTGTTTCGTTTACTGAAGAAGTTTATTAACGAGTGATCGTGGCCATTTAAGAATTAAATGGCACGCCGGGGAGCGGTGACGTCCCGGTTTAAACGTCACGACGAAAAGGCGTTCACATCAACGTTAGCCTCAGACTATATCGTGAGTTTGTACACAAAATTACGTAAAACCTTGATATCCGTCGATTAACATTTGAGAAACTTTACGAATGCGGAAGGAGAAACTATATAATAATTTTTTCACATGCAGTTCTCGTGTAATGCGCATTTTTTCAACGCGTGTAAAGTGATTTTCGTTGTTTTACTAGTATGAAAATGATTTTTAAAAAGTAGCTAACTTACGTACAAGTGGAAGCGACAAATTATACATATGAACTTGAATTAATCACTATACGATGTATCATCAACAAGTTAAAACTTCGTTCCGTAGACACGTACATCGATTATATACACACTTTTGGATGGGCCTCTCTCGTAACAAAAATGTTGCAATCGCAATAAAATTTTTATAAGACTATAAAATGAGCAACTGACAAACTAAAGCGAAGACGGCAGTGCGATGCAGCCCCGCCTAGATGGGAAACTAGCCTTGCTATATACACTGTTAGTCTTACAAGTTCTTATTGTTATGATTTATGTTGCTACAACTCCGCCTTCAGAGTTAACTTTATCGACGACACATACCTCTGTCACATTCGTAAAATTTGAAGAGCCTCAGGTAAGATTTCATCGGCTATCAAATATTATATGTAACATTTTATCATTTACTTCTAACTCGTACAATATGTTACAGGAATCTCAAATTCAACAAATCGATCGTATAAAGTTTCCCATCTATCAGACAATCAACAGGGAAGTAGTACTAAAAGATGTCAAAACTTTTGAGCTGTTTGATACATACAATCGTACCATTTGTTGGAAATACGGGGTGAATAATCAGAAAATGAGAAATGGAGAAGATCTCCAAAAATGCATTTGCACTCAAGGATGGCATGGATCAGACTGTGGTCAACCAGAAGTTGTCTGGAGGGCAATTATGGCATCGAAACAAAATATTAAACTAAGACATCGGAAGATAGCTAGACGTATTATTCATACATTTTTTCTGAATGAATATAATTCAGCAACTGCAGAGGTGATAGTAGAAGAACTATACAATGTAGTGGATCTTTTTGTAATCTGTGATTTCAGTAATGCAGAGGATAATTTTCATCATAAGCTACTTAAAGGTTTATTGCAACAAGAACAGAAAAAGATTTTATATATTAATATAGCAACAAAGGTGCACAAGCCGTTAAGAGTAGTGTCTATGTACGTCTGGGAGAAAATAAAGACTGTAGTACGAAATTTAAAGGACGACGATATTTATGTAACGACTGAATCGGAACAAATATTAAACTCCAGGGCATTAATGTTCCTTAAGGTATATAATGGATGGCCCCAACCTATTGGTTTTAGATTAAGATGGTCCGTTTATGGATTCTTTTGGCAACATCCGCTTAAAACAACGATAACGGTTGGTGCGTGTACAATTGGATTAATGCGGGAAGTTTACCGATCGAATTCGATCACGTTGGAACAACTAGAAGGAGACTTAAGTGAAAGAGATAGTCTAGGTCTAGTGATAGGAGACTTAAATCATTATGGTGGATGGTATTGTTATCTGTGCCAGGCACCGGCAAATATTATAACTAGTCTGCACAATAAAGTTAAATCCAAAGAAATTCAAATAAAAAAAACTATTGACATACCATTCATTGAGGACCTAATAGGAAGCGGATTGTGGTTAGACGGGAAAACTAATCTCCTAAGAGTCTCTAAATCTCGGGACCTCTATTTTGCGCCTGAAACAATACTTAATAATACATGGAAGTACGACTGGCTGGTAGAAAATTTTTATGCTAAATTAGACTATTATTGACATACTGATCGCACCCGACTGTGATATTAATTCATACTCAATATTCAATGTAAACTATACAATATTGTACTGAATTTATATACCAAAATAATATGTTGATTGAATTGTGAATAATAAATGATTTATACGTATAAGTTACAAAGAAACCAAGAATCTGTAATTGTTTTTCTTATTCAAATGTAGACTTTAAATCAGGCATGTCGAATACAGTAGTGCCTACTTAAGTGTCCGCACTCGGGACCGGCCGCGAACGTTTAAATGGGCATGGTTACTTCTCAGAATTCAACGGAGATTAGGAAAGGGGATAAGTGCGAGTGAAATACGATAGCTTGCACCCGAAACCATATATGTACCTACATATTGTATACAATGTATTGATAACGACCGGCGTCAAGTTACGTTCGACACGCTCGATGTTCGAAGCTGCTTGGCTTCCAAGAATTGATGGAGATAACCGCGGACGTTTAAGTGGGCACTACTGTACATACCCCAATTCATTACATTTAATAAGTCATTTAACTTTTTGCAGAATGTAATAAAAAGTAAACTATCTGGAAGGTAAAGTTTAATTGATCTACATATGGTCAAGATTAATTTGATACACGGATCATGTTGCCAATTAACTTAAATATCATTATATCTTTCATCGATTCTGAAGTTAATATGGGTTTAAGGTTTGATACCAAAGTTTAATATTTTGGTGTCTGTAAGATAATGGCAAGTATTTAAAAAGAACAAAAATATGAAGTATAAATGGAAAAATGTGGAATACCCTGTACATTAGTTTGCCTAATTTATGTATAACTTACCAATTGAATTTAAGTAAGCCCAATGAAGTAGCTATATATGGAAGCATAAAATATAATGAGAACTGATGTGCTTTCCAAAGGTCTCCTGATAGTTCTATGATATTGAAAGCAAGAATGCTTATTGAAATTATTAAGCTTTGTCCAACTTCTAAACCATTTATGCCAGCCAATATATTTATTGCATTTGTGCAGAATACTGCCAACATCCCCATGTATATATAGTAAAATATCCATAGATCCACAGACATACCAAACCAAAATCTTAAGGGTTTTGGCACAATTATTAATGTAGAATTGAAATTAACGTAATACACCATTAAAAGTGGCAAGGAGGCAATAGTTGGTAGCAATAATTTGTGCCGCCAACGAAGATCCAAAACATCATCAGCAAAACCCAAAAGTAGCATACAACATATTGAAAGTAGAGCAGCCAAAAAGTCCATGAACTGTAATTCAAATTTAGTAAATTATCATATTTTATTTGTAAGACTTAACCATAATTAACTTATTTAATATAAATATGTCCTATGTAATAAATTATTCATTGCATACCTCGTTATAAGGGAAGTTTACACGATTGAATATATAATTTGTAAATGGTATAGGAATAAACAGAAAGAGTGTTATAAGAAAAAGGCATCCACTGACAACACCAAATGCCTCTGGTCTGTAAAAAAATTCCAATGTGCAAGTTACCTGAACGCTGTCCGCTGTAGGCAAAGGTGGAACAAGAAAAATATCATGTGACATCAAAACTTCACTTACACTTTTTCACCACCACTTTTATTCATATCAATCCCGTATAGGTTAGCTTTAATAAACATATCTTTTATCCTCGGTATTAAACGTACGGTTAAAAAATACGCACTGACTGACATTGCGAGGTTAACTAAGAGCGGAAAAATGAAATTCCAAGCGTTCTCGTTGTGCTTCATATTGAACGTTTCGAAAAAAGAATGGCTTTGAAAATACAAAAACAAAATGTAGATACCACAGCGAACGATCGACGTGGTCTCACGCAAATATTACCAATTATTTGTTGTCTTTAATACCAGATAACACAGGTGCAATGACGTCTTTCGAAACAGCAAGCAAACAGAAATTTAAACGGATCGCGCGTGTTTATGGTTATAAGATAGAATAGAAAAAAGAATCGATTGTAAAATTATATTCGGTTTGGCGTGTAAAATTTCAATGAAATTAAACGAATAACGAAATAATAACGTTAAACATTTCGGTTTATTCAATTCTATTCTATATGTGAAGTATCTAGGTATATTTATTAATAAATTAGTATATTATATTTTACGTTACAGATAAAAATTTCGATTTTTATACTGTCGCGAAGGTTCTCACGGATTAAAGAAATTCCAAAGGTAGAAGAAAATTTCGTTTAACTGTTTTATCGTAATTCTATCCTCTGTTTTTGATCAATATTAATTTCTTTTTTTATCAATATATGTATAGATTGGCTTATGAAGTGTACGTGTGTTTTTTCTAAACATGAATTAGATAATATGGCTTTGTAATTATGAAATAATTTCTTAAGTACCGATCATTAATTTATAATTCTTTCTTTCAATAACGTGTCCTCGACTGTGTTGACATCGTTTTTCATATATCTCGATTCTAAGCAGAAAATCGAATATTTTTAGTTACTTTTCGTAATCACCTAACCTAAATTTGTCAAATACAAACTATATTTGTTTTCATGTGCAATTTATATTACTGATACAAAGTTATACGTGTACTACGCATAAAATTTCCATCTAGTTTTATTTCTTTTTTCCGACATTAGTACCGTAAATCTAATACCACATTTTTTTTTTCTACTGTCAGTTGCTTATTTCGTGCCGATGGATAGTCAAAAGCAAACAGACGAGATCATTGCACTAGGAAGTATTTATAATGCAGAAGAATTTTCATACCACGAGGAAAATGGTACTTATCAATGCAGTTTCAAGATATTCATAAATCTTCCTACGAACTACACGGTAACTTACAAGGATTCTAGACAGCCAGAAGAACCTTTGCAAAAGATCAAAGTATCGCATTTACCACCTTTAACGCTGCACATCATTTTACCCGAAGATTATCCTTCCATATCGCCGCCGAGATTTACTTTGGCTTCGTCATGGTTGCGTATCACGTTATTAGCCGAATTGTGTAGAAAATTAGATGATCTCTGGGAGGAAAACAAAGGACAAGAAATTTTGTTTATATGGATAGGCTTCATACAAGATGAGATCTTGGAATTTTTGAATATACAAGAAAGTGTTAATATAAATCATGCGTATACACGTTATAAGAAGACTTTGGAAAAGAAACAAGTCATTCAGGAAAATGAAATAATAGATGTAGAGAAACTATGTGTTATCGAGAATACAAAGAAGGAAGTGAAAACTCTAAATAAAACTCAATATTTGAGTAAAAAGAATGTTGTACACAAATGCTATGATAAGCGAGCTATTTTAGATTGCCCCATTGATAGGAATCCTATTCAAGCATTGATTGATTACAGTGAAGAACGCGAACACATTGAATTCCAGAAAAGCTTCTACACTTGTAAGATATGTTTTGTGGATATAATGGGAAAACAATGTACACAGTTTTTGCCATGTTCTCACGTATTTTGTAAGGAATGTATAAGGAGTTACCTCAGGGTAAAGATCAAAGATGGAAATGTACGAAATATCTGTTGTCCTGATGAAAAATGTACTTCCGAAACAACTCCTGCTCAGGTAATCTCTTTCCTTCATTCTTTTATTTGCAGAATTAAAGTTCAATTAAATACTTTATGCTTACCATCATTTGTTAGTTTAGTACAATTGTATTTAGAGTTTTATCAAAATTTTCAGATAAAAGATCTAGTAAGTACAGACTTATTTGCAAAATATGATTCTATACTACTGAGTGTCACATTAAATACTATGATGGATATAGTATATTGTCCAAGACGTAGTTGTCAATATCCAGTTACTCGTGAACTAAATGAACAAATGGCAAATTGTCCAGTGTGTCAATACGCATTTTGCATTTACTGCAAAATGGTGTACCATGGTATAGAACCATGTAAAGTCTACTCTGGTATGTTAATCTTCTGATGTATGTAAATTTGACTAATACTGTTTTAAAACCCTTTATCTTATCCATAAATTGTGAAATATACTGTACATGTATTTTTATGTAATATATATTTTATAAGTTTTAAGCTACATATGTATAAGTAAAAGAAATTACATTGTAGCTGAAACACAACGGTTGGTAACTGAATATCAAGAAGCCTCTAATGATAAGAAGCTTCAGATGGAACAGCGCTACGGTAAAAAACAGCTTCAATCTTTAGTAGACAATGCCATGTCTGAGAATTGGATTAAAAGTAATAGTCAGAAGTGTCCTAAATGTAATGCTGCTATCGAGGTATTATAAACTGTTTATGTTTGCATAGAGAGTGAAGTATTTAAAACCGGCGAAAATAAAATTTAAGAGGGACTAATTAAAAATTGATCATCATCCAAGCTGTGGCCAAATCCTCTAGGACAAAGTTCTATTCATTCATTATGATATTAAAAATGGCATAATTCAATAATTATACAAAATCCTTCTTCAGTAAATTATTCCGGTGGTCTGTTTTAAATACCTCATTCAGCATATTTATATTTTACACAATGAATTGTTGATTAACACAAAGTTATGTTGAGATGCACTTACTGACTTTTCAGAAATTAGATGGTTGCAACAAAATGGTATGCTGGCATTGTAACACGTTCTTTTGTTGGTTATGCGGTGATATTCTTAACCGTGAAGCGCCATACGAACATTTTCTAGATATGGGTTCGAAATGTTATAACATGTTACATTACGGAATATTACATGAGGAAGAAATTGAAGAAGATAACAATTTCTTTGAATTTCCATATAATTTGAATTACGAGTCGGAAGACGACAATTAACATCAGGAGTTTGTAATATAAAATTGAAATAAACAAAACAGTAATAATACATTCAGAAATTTAGCAGCCATTGTTAATTTTCGAACGAATATGTTCATTTTTTACTCATTTTTGCAGTGCAAAAAAAGTGAAACATTTCCATTGGAATCGACCTCTAATTGTATAATTCTTTCTAGAAATCCTGTAATTTTTTAACGTCTCGTATATTTATAAGTGTTTGTGCCTGTACAAAAAAGAATGTATGTATATTTTCGTTAAGTTTATTATATAAATACCATGCAAAGTTTAGAGCATTATTTTGTAAACTGTTTTCTTAAAGTAATCTATTCTTTCGTAAAAAATTTGTATATGTTTGAAAATGGCCGGTTTGAACAAGATGGGCCGCGTTCTTGGCCGTCACGAGGTTTCGACCGGCACGCAGAAAATCGACGCGTGCGCCCAAAATTGGTTTTGACGCATCGCGCAGTGGGAGCGGCAGCGATTCTCTCTAGCACAAAGCGTGCCCGTCGTGGCGGCCAAGAAATGAGCTAATTCTTGAACAGTATAAAATATGAATATGCGATTTTGAACCGTATCGAACCGTATATTGTATCTACGAAAAATGTAGTACGATTAATGATTTAAGGTTATGATTACCAAGTAATTGCACAATAATTATTCAAGTTTACCGATTTATAATTCCGATTATATGGTAATTATAGTCATAAATCGCAAACAGAATATATTTCATCCGATTGTTTTGAACTACGATATAAAATTATAAATATTGTAATCTATACTCTATAGCAAATTAATAAATAATTATCTTATAGAAAGGTTTCGCATGTATTAAATTTACGAATGTGTTATTGATAGAAATTCACTTTCTTTATTGGAAAAAAAGGGTGTATCAAAAAGTCATTTAATATTCTTCAGCACCCTCTCCTTCACCTTCAGCAGAATCCATTCCAACTTCTTCGTAATCTTTCTCGAGAGCAGCAAGATCTTCACGAGCTTCAGAGAATTCACCTTCTTCCATACCCTCGCCAACATACCAGTGGACGAATGCTCGTTTGGCATACATCAAATCAAATTTGTGATCGAGACGAGCCCAGGCCTCTGCAATAGCCGTAGTGTTTGACAACATGCAAACAGCACGTTGCACCTTTGCAAGATCACCACCGGGCACCACGGTCGGAGGCTGGTAATTAATGCCAACTTTGAATCCAGTGGGACACCAATCAACAAACTGAATGGTGCGTTTGGTTTTAATAGTGGCGATTGCCGCGTTTACGTCCTTTGGTACCACATCGCCTCTGTACAACATACAACAAGCCATGTATTTCCCGTGACGCGGATCGCACTTCACCATCTGGTTAGCTGGCTCGAAACACGCGTTCGTAATCTCTGATACAGAGAGCTGTTCGTGATATGCCTTCTCCGCTGAAATGACTGGTGCATACGTTACCAATGGGAAGTGAATTCTGGGATAAGGAACTAAATTAGTTTGGAATTCAGTCAGATCGACGTTAAGAGCACCGTCGAATCGCAGAGAAGCTGTAATGGAGGACACAATTTGGCCGATCAGTCTGTTCAAATTCGTGTAAGTAGGTCTTTCGATATCTAGATTACGACGACAAATATCGTAAATGGCTTCGTTGTCAACCATAAATGCGCAGTCGGAATGTTCAAGCGTGGTATGCGTGGTGAGAATTGAATTGTACGGTTCTACAACCGCGGTAGAGACTTGTGGGGCAGGATAAATAGCGAATTCCAATTTGGATTTTTTGCCATAATCAACGGAAAGACGTTCCATTAAAAGGGAAGTGAATCCAGAACCAGTACCACCTCCGAACGAGTGAAAAATGAGGAAACCTTGAAGGCCAGTACATTGATCAGCCAATTTACGAATTCGATCCAACACGAGATCAACAATTTCTTTTCCAATCGTGTAATGACCGCGAGCATAGTTATTTGCCGCGTCTTCTTTGCCGGTGATCAACTGTTCCGGATGGAATAGCTGACGATAAGTACCAGTGCGTACTTCGTCTAAAAAATAAAAAATGTTTTGATTAAATTTCATATATTATCATTTAAATTTGATATAACTAAAGTTACAAATGAAATCAAAAATATTTACCAACGACTGTAGGTTCCAAATCAATGAAGACTGCCCTAGGTACATGTTTTCCTGCGCCTGTCTCACTGAAGAAGGTGTTGAAACTGTCATCACCTCCGCCAATAGTTTTGTCAGATGGCATTTGACCATCAGGCTGGATGCCATGTTCCAGGCAATATAATTCCCAACACGCATTACCAATCTGTACTCCAGCTTGTCCAACGTGAACCGAGATACACTCACGCTAAAATAAAATTATAAAATCTATTAAATCCATTCGAAACAAAATTATTAATTTATGAGGATAAAACTTGAAGCTATTAAATTATTTAAATCATCGTACGAATAAAATATAAAAATTATATAAATGAATAAAGTTAGAATTATCGTAATTAAATAATTAAGTTAAAAAAATGTTTAAAAATATATAATATATGTAACTAATATAGGAAGCCGGCCGGCACTTAACCGTTACAAAATGGCTGCTTGTTCCTACGCTGATATTACTTTTTTATCTTTACATCCAATATCGATAAAGAAAATAAAAAACTTACCATTTTGTATTGTAAAGTGAAGCGTCAAAATTCGTAAAAAATAAAATATAAATGGATGAGAAGGCGTCGACAGTTGGCTAAAGCAAGTAATGGAGCTTTCGCTAACAACTATAACGTTTCCACCCAAGTTTCACAGACAGAATGCTTCTAAGGACGTTGCAACGGGTATTTATACCCTCGGTAATCGGCTTCTTCAACGCGTTCTGATTGGTCGTCGATGGCCTCATTCCCTTTCGTGATTGGTGTTTTTTCGACCGCAGTACCCACGAACGACTGAACGTACGGACCTTATACGGAAAATATAGTCCCAATAATAACGACATAATCGCTTATTTCATTGACATTAACGCAACATATTCATTCATTATCTCTCACGAAATTAATATCAAAACGAATTAATTTTTAATCGTAATAACTCGACTACAACGTGAAATAATGTAGGCAATTTTGACGAAAATGCAGTCGCTATGGGCGATGGTTTCTTCCATATTTGGATCGTACATCTTGATTGGTGACTCACGTAATTTATCTGCCAGTTTTGTAACAAAACATGTATTACGGCACTATATTGATAAAAAAAATAATTAAACTTGAATATATTATGTTGTACGAATTAATACTTTAAGGTACCTAACTATTTTCATTACCTTTTCATTCTTTATTAACCGATTTCTGTTAATTGCACACATGTATGTACATGTATGTATATATATGCCATGTACATAATTTATAATTGATAGATGTGTCAAGTTCTGATTATTGCTCTGTGTTCAGATATATCATTTTTCTGTGAAAATAACTTAGTTTATATGTCAGCTTGCAATAAGAAACATAATGTCTGACGTGATTGCCATTTTCGTATTAAACTACGTATGAATATTGATTTATATAAATTTATTTCGTATAAGAATGATCAAATTCGTAGGATTCATTGATATGTAATTATTATTTAATGTTTAGTAGAGAAGTTAAATATTACAAAGTGCATTTCTGAAACAATATTCTGTGACTGTAACACATTAAAATTAGCCCATTTAAAGTATACTGATAAAATATATCGCTATTATTCATTTCTCATTGTTAAAGTTTAATGCATGTACAAAAATTAAACGAAGACATGCAATTTAACAAACTATAAGGGGTTTGCAATATTTGGATTGCATACACCCATATTAAGTATTGATCTCGTCTCCGTATACTGGGTGTTCCAAAAGCATGTTGCTACAATTAAAACTACAATGTAGCGCCAACGTTTTTATAGTATTAATCGACAGTAACGATTCTGTTGTTAAATTTATTAAAAAAAATATTTGATGAACGTAATAACTAAAGTTAAAAAAACATGCTAATGAAAATGAAATAATACTATGAAATATTTTTGAGATCGGCGCATTAACTTCGGTAGATTGATTATGCGATGAATTGAAGTTGATCTACTTCCTCTCCATGAGCACAGACCGTATCCGCTCTCTACTCTTGATTCTGCGATCTTACCTTACTGTGGTTTCTGACCTCTTTAAAGTTTCATAGTTCTTTCAGTCTTAAGAAACTGTTCAACTGTAAAATCATGTGATAAACGTAGTTTACATTCTTGTATTTTAAAAACGTATATAGAATAACATCTAGTTTTACTATTTAAAAACAGTATGTTTTAACGAAATAATAGTTTCCGTTCATATTCTACGTGAATGCATAAAGAACAAGGACCTATATGTATAAGCATGTATGTATGCATCTTGTCATGGTCGAATAGGACAGCTGGACGACGGTTAAGTGTTTCACTGATGCATACATATACATATGTATGTATGCAGGTACTTATATTCCCTCGTAAGACTTAAACGATTTAATAGTGTCGATTAACTAAAGATCGCAATTCATTGTGTAAGTATAGGGACGAATATAATAAAAAATCTATATAAATATTAGATCGGTACTTCAACAATTTTTTAAGAAATACCATAACTCATGCGTTCAAATTTTTCAAAAGAAACTAAATCGATAGTTGACACTTTACAAACAAGTTATACATATGTATGTATGTAGTTGTAAATCAGTGCTGTTCAACGGCATCTTGTTTTCCGTTTTACTAGTAAGGAAACCATAATTTTTTGTTACGATTACAAAATTTGTCATTAATGATTACAAAAATTAAGTGCTGTTTTTTTCATCATATTAATTGTACTTATAAGAGTATGTTAGATTTTGGTTTGTACAATTTATAAGGTTTATTTGATATTTTAAATAAAACAGTTTAGGTTAACGGTAACTGAATAGGTGGCAGTAAATGAGTCATTTACCCTTCGCATGTTTCTACAAATGGAAACGAATTACATACTATAATATTATATACCTGCACATGTAATATACATACGTACAAAAAGTTAGGTTACGTACACACGAAAAGAGCGTTACAATTGCTAGGCAACCCTTCAATGTAAACAAATAAATGATAAACGTATTTTCAGTTGTGTTCACATTTTCGTGGTAAACTGAAATAGTTTTTAACATGTCTACTCAGGATATTGATTTTATTAAAGGATATGCACAACACGAAGAAAATAAGAAAGAGCAAGATTTAAGTGTCTGTTACGCATATCCTATTATAAATAAAATAGATAAAACTGATGTTTTAACAGAAAATAGCAAAAGTCCGCGGGAATTAAGTCAGAAATCTACATTAATCGAAGATGGATTATATGTTTCCGATAGTCCTTTTATTTATAATGACGTTGAACCTTCTCAGTTTAATAATTTGAATATTTTAGAATATCAATCTAAACGTAAATTCTGTGGGAAACTTGTAGAGATTGTAGTTCGCGAGGTCAACATTAATACTTCAGGAGATCAATCTGATACAATTGAAATCACATTCATCTACTTATTATTTAAGAACAAAATTATATGTAAAGCAAACAGCCCATTCAATAGAAAATTACACAAGTTATTGATTAAAACTTCGGAATGTAATAATTTTTCTATACAAGTATATGCCAAAGGTGGGCAGTCTAGTATATTACCATTGCCATTACCTAAACGTAATGTTGAAAACAATAAAGTGGAAATAGATTTTGCAATAAGCAACAATTTTGGTAGAATATATGCTGGAACAGTAATGTGCACAATTACTTTAAGCGATTATGGTGAAAAAGAACAAGAATCCTACACAACACATCTTTATAAATTAAGTAATGACCCAAATGATCCACAAAACATTATGTCCTTGCTCAGACCATCCAAGAATCTTCTCAGAAAAGAAGTAACATATTTTTTATTAGAAAATCCAGCATTATCTTTCAATGTTGATTCTCAATCTGCTATTTCTAAGAATGTTCAAGTAGAAGAAGCAAAATCACCAGATATAGTTGTAATGGAACAATCTGCATTTTCTTTACTTGATATGCCATTTAGGAATCTATTTCAAACTAATCGACCATTAGAACCATTATCTAGTACTCATAGACACAATGCAATAGAAAGAACAGTTCTGGCTGTTACTATACTGAGAGGAATAGAAATACCAATTAGGGAAGAATCTGCACTGGTGCAACCATTCATTGAAGTTGAATGGGGTAATACGATTCATGCAACATCTGTGGCAGAAGGCCCAGCACCTGTATGGCAACAAACAATGCATTTTGAGTTGCCAAAACAAAATGATGAATACTGTATAAAATTTCGTTTATATGATCAGCATCCTGTTTGGGGTCAACAGTGGTTAGGTGAAACTAGAATTCCTCTTGAACATCATAGAAATCATCAAGAGCTTGAACGATGGATTGTATTATCACCTTTATTTAGTCCATTGTTATTATTTGGTTATATACAAGCTAGCCCTGGTCAATCGTATACTCGCATTTATGTCTTAATTAAAACAGAACATCTGAATAGTTTAAAGTTTGTTGAAAGTACTACCATACATACATTGTTGAAGGGAATTCCACGGTGCCTTGCCACACCATACAAAATTAATGGTTTGGAAAACCCAAAGGATGTGGCAAGATTAGTGATGCTTTTATCACCATTGCCAGCTCATTATGGACCAATCACACCTCGTCAAGCATTAAACATAAAGAAAGTCGATCACTATGGAAGAGCAGCACTACTTGCAGCACTATTACAGAGTTTTGGTTTACAAATATATGTTTTATTAGGTATGTAACAGTATCATGTATTTTTAATTTAACAAATTTTAATTATACAATCGATACAATAGGGTCATCACAAATAAGTAAATGGACTGCATTTGTTCTAAGTATTAGTGAAAATGGAATATACACGTTATGGGATCCAGAAATTGGAAGTTATCATAAATTGGATGATAGTCATTGTCCCTTAACTAAGGTGTCTCGTTTAATTAATCAGTTTGGTGTTAGTATAATAGATTTGACAATAAAATTTAAAATAATATACATGTTTAATATTACGAATAATATATTTATAGATATGGGAAAATTTGCAAAAATCTATTTTACCTCATAATCTCAAGTATGATGTAAAATCGAGTAAAGACTGGCGACCTATTGATTCTATTATTTTAACAAAAACCGATCATACTGTACAAACGTTAGAATTAAGTATTACAGACGAGGAGGTGAAACAAATTAAAAAAGCGACCGCGGATATAGAACAACGCTTGAAAGATAAATTAGCCGATTGGCGTAGCACAGCTGGCATAACAACAATATTTAATCGACATGCAACGACCCTTTTACGAAATTTTATTTCGAATATAGAACCTTCCTCGGAGCCACAGTTAGATAAGAGAGATTTGAAACAGTTATACAGAGCTTATCATGTTCATGGTTTTGTATTAAATAAACGTGAATGCGGTATAGACGATTTGACCGAACAGTTGTACGCAACAAAAATTCATAACATAACCGGTCCTGTTGAATTTGCTCTAGTGTGTCATATACAGCTATACATTGGAAAAATCTGTTCAATGTGGTTGGCTGTTATAATTCTTAGAAGTCGAGATTAAATCATTCATATGTCAGTGTATTTGTTTATTACATACTTATATACTCCATTAAAATTGGTATTACAATGTATACAAAGGAGGATAAATAGTTGGTATTTATCACAAAAAGAAATTCTTCAAAAAGTATTGCTTCGGATACAAACTTCTAAAGGTGTACTTTTATTAAAATTTTTCATATAAGAAAATATGTGACAAAATGTCACATAAAAAGGTAATAATGAAAGTTCTTTAGAAAACGCTAGTATGCTACGATTTTTTGTCAGCAATCGTTTCGATAGACACGTGGAACTGTTAAAGGTAATATTTTTAATAAAAAAGTACAAAGTTTCGATAAACGATATAGTCAAAGAATACTACAATTTTTTGTAATTATGTAGCTTTCTTATTATCGAGTTATTTATATTAATAATGTGCGTTATTTGTACATAAAAACAAAAGTTTATTACACGCTATTGTATTATGAATTTCTCATAAAAAAATTTGAACTTTTACAATATTGACTTGTGTAAATGTAATATCAACTTCGTGTAAATGTTTTCAGTTCTCAAAAGTATTCTATTTTCAGCATTACATTTTCTGACGAAAATTATGTATAAGCAACAAATATATTTACATAGTAACAATTTTTAGTTCAATTTCAATACATACGCATATTATAATGATAACATACAACATACTGTACTTAAAACATTATTAACATCCTTTTGACATCTGATTTTATTATCTGTTGTTTTACAGTTTTCTATCTCGAATGGAAAAGGTTTGATGAACAAACACCGTTGGGAATAAATATAATGCATTTCGTTTGATCTTTTGCATTGCGCAGCAATGCCATTTTTATAACAATTGTAATTTTTCCTTACATATTGCGACAATAATAAAACGTATTAACAATACTATATTACTTAAGGGTTGTAGAAATAGTTGAATCAAACAGACGCGTGCAAACAGATACGATTGACTTTCGGACGATCGTGATCGTATATCCTCCCAGTTGTATTTTTACTCGAAACTGGGTATACAAATTTTTCATGAGAATGTCAGGCATGTTCCATTTTTACGAAACTTTGATTTGTGCGACATGTTTACGTTTCTCAACGAACGTAGAACAATTTTGTTGTATTCAAATTTCATTGTTCTAATCTGTTCCGTTAAAACGACTAAAATTCGTTCATTATGTTATATTTACGTTATGTGTGTGTAATTCCTGTGTAAAATCATCGTAGAAAAATGTTTACTTATATAAACGTTTATCAAACTAATCTAATTTATCTAATCGATAAAATTTGAATAAAATAATTGACGCGAATTCGTGAATGTTTCCATTTTTTAAACAAACAGATCTTTGAGCAAAATTAACGACGAATGTATTTTATTACTCTATAAATGCCTAGGAAAAATTCATTAAATAATAAGACTCTTCTATAGATACAACGTTAGGCATGTGATTTGCAAAATGCATATGATTTTTTTTTCACAACGCGTGCATCTTGATTAATAGTTCACGGTTGTGTTAAAATGTCTTTTTTTCTCATTTATTTGAAAAGATCGTTCGTAAGATATCTTTATAGGATATTTCAAAAGTATATGTAAATACTTAAGTATTATTACTTAGTATTAAGTATTTACGTGTATTTCTGAAACACTCTCTACATATATCACGGTACGATGTTAACTAGACGTCGAATGTGCAAATGTAGGTAACTTACAACCTTAACGTGACCGTCAACACTTGAATTCTAATATTACATCTACCGCGTGAAAACAAAATCTAAAGACAGCCCCCGCCTCGACGATCCTTTTTTATTATGTTTCTTTACAAGGCAGATTTTAACCGTCGACCATCAAAAGATTGCTTATTTTAAATTTACGTTACGCAACGCTATCGTACTCGATCACATTTGATCTCACAACTCTTCTTTTGACGACTAAACTGCTATGCAGGATGGCCAAAGGTACCTATCCGTTTTGGCGAAACAGAGTAAACCTCAAACGAATATCATAATGACGCGATTAACCTCTTCTCGTTCTATTTAACTCGACAAAATCCGGGCCCAAACGGTAGGCGTCAACGTGCGGTAAACAGAACAGACTGTCACTAAACTGTTTTGTAACAGAGATTAGAAGAATCGTGACCAACTCTTATGGCGTACCGATAGGAACTAAAACTCAATCACGATCGTGATTTGCTGTCCGCGAGCCTGGCTCGTGATGTTTCCGTTTGGCCCGACCTTCTATTCGTAAATCTGGCTCGTCATATTCATGCTTGGGCCAAAATCTTCATCACAAGTCAGACTCGTTAAAGTACGGGAAGGGGTTAACGAGTCTGGCTCGCTAAATGGCACGGGAAGAGGTTAATATGTTTACTTTGATGTCTACGTGCAAGTATTTGGACTGTATTTCTATTATTTTTATAGTAACGCATTGAAGGAATCAAACTTGTGGACATTAGAAAAGAAACGACAAAAAATGTCATAAATCGACGACGAAATTCGTGAGCCGTTGAATAAATTCGAAAAATGTACGACGACAATTTCGTACTTGATATTGAAGAAGTTTTGCTTCCAACAAAATGGTTAAAAAAATAATGGTAATTATTTAGAGAAGGTGGGGTCTCACCGATTTCGATGATTTTTTAATATGTTGTAGAAATCAAGATTTTGAACAACTTTTTCCTATATTTAAAAATCAAACGTTAGTATTTTCTATAAAAATATACGTATAATCAGATCTTATAGACATTTGTTTGTCTTTTTGCCCTGCTTTACCAAAATAGAGAAGAACCTTTGAGACACCTGATACACTCGACTAACTTGTATTTACAATACCTTGGAACAGTGATTCGCCTAACTTTGTGTTGCTGATCCAAGAGTAAACAAAATCGCAGGCCGGTAAGTTTACAATCGCATTATATTAGTTCGCTAGAGAAATCCGATATTTCTGAAACGTTACAGCGTTTCAAAAGTCATCTCGATCACGAAAGTATTTCGGTTTCGGAGGTAATCGTTACCAACACCGATATCTTCGTGAATTTCTATATTCATTTCTCTTCTCTTCGAATCTTTCTATAACTTGCGGCTCGAACGACAGTGTTGGTTTAAGGAAGAACTTAGGAAATGCGTTGTTCATTGAGTCTTTTTAGCCACGCCGTTCGCGTGTCCATTAGCGTGACCATTTGCGATTTTTCCGTTGCAAATTGCTCCGTCGGTAACTTCCTTCTTCGATTGTAGTTTCGCTTTCAGTTTTCCTAACTGCCTTTCCGCGTAAGCTTGCTTGCCCTGTACAGTCGATGTTTAATGTTAATTAATTGTGTATCGTGTACGAAAGGTTATTTGTAATTTTAATTATCGATTGCTTTTTAATAAATTCGAGGGCTATTCGTTGAGACCCTAATGGTTTAATAACATGAAAATGAATATGCATTTACTGCAATACGGTAATGCAGTTTAACTTTTTTAAGATCTAGAAGCCAACAGTGTAAGTTAAATTTATTAACTCAATAAAACAAAAAGTGAGGAAAAGTAATTAAAATATAAAATTTTTAAAAATTCAAAGAGTTAATCGACTAGCTTGCGAACGGATCATGTGTGTAAATGCGTTGATATATCGTAGGTGTCGCCACTTTGGAGTCGTTACCTTTGCGATGTACGCTTTGGCGTAGAAGTTGCCGAACAGAACGATGAAGGAGATCATGTAAATGACGAGAGCGTATTGCATCCAAAGCGGGAAGTCGCATCCCGATCGAATACCGTTGATGCCGAGGATTAAGGCAGTGGTGAACTGTATCAGTTGAAGAATGGTCAGATATTTTTTCCACCAAAGATATTTAGCCACGGATGGTCCAAGCGCCGCCAATCCGTAATAGGAGTACATGAGGACGTGAATGAAGCTGTTCACCATTGCTGGCAGGAAAGCTGCAAGATAAGTAAATTGTCAAATCACCGATCACCCCATCCAATCACCCGAGAAGCTTGTTTTCTCACAAGTACGTTCGAAGATGAAAGATTGCCCGCGCTTCAGTAGCAAAAAAAAAAGAAGCATTTCATGTGAAAGGGTACTTACTCGATCCACTCGGGACCCATTTGATACCAATCCACCATAACGAAAACATGGTGGAGTGGTGGTAGACGTGAAGGAAGCTTAACTGATTGTCCTTCTTCCGTAGAATGAAGAAGAACGTATCACAGAACTCTAGAAGCTTGCTGAAGTAATACCACCAAACAGCATGAGCGATCTACGCGAAAAAAGAAATAAATTTAAGAAAATTATCATTTATTTTCCTGACCATTATCATCAGAGCGTATATGTACACGGTAAGGAACATCAATGGTAAAAATTTTTTAGTAGATCGTTAGTTACTACTGCAAATAATGTTATACGAAAAGTTAATTTTGTACATTCTTCCGAAGGGTTAACGATCGAGTATGTTTCAATATGCGTTGTTAATAAGTTTGATAAAAGAGAGTTTGTTATTTGTAGGCCTAATGTTTTTAACGTACCTGCAATTCGTCAGGACGCGTCACGTGCCTGATTGGTTGGCATACGTAGCTGTAACGTAACCTAGTAGACGCTACGAACAACTGTAAATAATAATTGTAAAAATTAATACGTAAATTGGGGATAAGAGTGAAATGCGTTGAAGTTATTTGAAGGGTGAAAATGAGGCAAATACCTGAATGGCGATGTACGCATTGAGACAGGCCATCGTAAGGTTATAGGGTACGAGAGCCCACGTTAGCTTGAAGGCTTTTCGATTTCTCATGATTTTCGGCCCGGCCCATACAATGAGCAGGTACAGCATCGTGTATATCAAAGTTGGTTTTGGTGAGTCGACCAGCAGCCATCCTCTCGTTCGTTCATCTATATGCCAAGACAAATTGTACGTTTTAAGGTTATATTGATTTTTCACGGTTCATCAAACTTTCAAATCGCCGTACTGAAAAATTACAAATACATGACATATCAGGTTTTGCAATTCGATCACAGAACTGTCCGTATGAATAAATCACTATACGCGGCTTCCTTTCGACAGCCATTTAGAATAAAATTTCGCTCATCTCTATTTTACGATAATATTATCACAAAATTCTAGTACCGGTGACGTAAACATCGTTCGATTAAATTTATATTGTCAATTTTGAGATAAATAAAATGTTCGAGCGTACTTTCTATGTAAATTCGTTCGAACCGGTCATAAATTTAAATAATTCGACACTGGATTTTTCGTCGATACATCGAATTCTCTTCGAAGTTTAATTTATCGATACGTACGAATTCGACAAATTTTTTATAAATTTCATCGCCGAATGTAAATAGCAAGGCATTGTAGCTTACCGGCAAGAGATAGCGTCCAGAGGTAGTAATCGTAGGCGTCATTTACTAAAATCGCTGTGGAATTAATTAGGTTTGCCATTGCCTGGAACAGAATCATAACAAGATTTATTTTAGAAACAGTTCTGCAACCGTTGAAAACGAGCGCAGCGCGAGAATGTTTTTAGCGACGGTAAACTATACATTTTCCTTATCTTTTATTTATATTTAATCGTGTAGCGTAGCAGTAATTTGTCGTATTTATTTCAAAGTACAATCGATAGAGAAAGATAATGACGATTACAATGTAAACGGCGGAGAGTAATATGCATCTTGCAACTGTTTTTTTATCGATAAATTATGCTAATCAATACTACTTATATTATTGTGTGGTTCTTGAGTGCTGGAGTGCTGTTATTATACCTAACTTCAAATAGATATTTGAACACTTAGCGCGTCGCGTAGAGTTTTGATAAATATTTGACTACGCGCCGACGAGTATGTCGGCAAATATTCGATATATGTATAAAAATCGCTGCCTGCAAAGACAGACGAACGCTGGGTCATATCGATCCTTGATAAAATTTTCATTTTATTCAGGTTTCCGTTTTCTGGAATTTTATTATTAGTAGAAACTATAAGAATTATTCGAGAGGCGTGCGTGAACGTAGAGATAAAACGGAAAGTATAATCGACGAATTAATAAATGCGTACGAAGCTTTCTTCGGTGTGGCGCGATGCACTATCATTAGCCCGTCACTTAATGGTTATTTCTTCTACGTGTACATTATCCGGTCGTTCACTCAAAGATGGAAGCGTCATGTGTAACTTTCACATTACCGTGGAACCTAATGCCATATCACGCGCTATCTGCGGGAAAACATGTTTCGTACAATCTTTCCGTGCAGCTTGGATTTCGATTTGTTCGATGCTCCACGATCACGGCTGCTGGAATGTCTACTTTCATTTGCGGTCTGGCTATTGCCATGATCTTGTGGCAAGTGCAAGTGCACGTCCCCCTAGCAACGACTTAGCTTTCATCTAGTTTCGGATTTAACTGACACGCGCTGCTAGACACACGCACACACACGAGGTTGTACCGTCTAACCGGTTCGAATCGTATCGTTCGAACGCGTAGAGATTTAAATGAAGAATGGAAGAACAAATTATGTCAAACGTACTAAGATTTTACAGATTGTAAAGGACCACATTCTACGTAGGAACGGCATTTTAAATATAATCCCGTTTGGATCGATTCATTTGAATACTAAGAAAATGTTTCATACAAAAGTTATATCGTTAACGGTAGAGGGCATATGAATGCCAAGGTATACCTGCAGTAGAATGGAGAAAGTCCTTTGAGGTAAATATGTTGAGGACGAGATTGAGAAAAGTGAAAGATAACTATAATAAGTAGACGACAATTTGAAGGACAGAAATTACGACAGCCTGAGGGGCAATACTATAAGTAGAGGTTATAGAATTCACGTGCAATCGACTTTTCACGGAAACCAGCACAACAATATTAATAGAGGACAATTCGGAAGGCAATTGGACAGTCTCGAAGTGGTACTGTTACTAACGTTTCGACGCATTTCTTTCGAGCTATTTGAATTCGTATAATTACGGATCATTTTGAAGATAACTAAACACAAATGAATTGAAACGCCAGTAACTTATGAAAGACTGTATAATTGTCTTCCTTACATTCGCGTAATGAATTTCTGAAGAAAGCTTCCATGAAAGTCCAATTGCACGATACAGATTTTGAAAGAAAGTTAATTATCATAAGAGATATTCTAACTTTCAGTTTTCAGACCGTGCACCATTTCAATCGTGTTTACAAACATCAGAGGTTCGTTAATTTGTATAGAATACTCTATTTGTTTATTATTTGAAGATTCTCGTGAATAAAATTATTTCTCAAAAATATAGTTAGTGACTTTTTAGACACAAACTGATAGAATTTTCTATTTTCAAAGCAATTAGAAGCGATGAAAAAGCAGTGAGGCCATTTTAGCAATTAATTTGAGTAAAACGTTGGCTTCTCTGTTACTAAATCATCCGAGGTTGTTGCTGTGCAATACATTTCATCGACGTTATCTTCCCAATTAGTAGTCGCGAGTCAGCCACGATGTGATTCTTTATTGATCTAAACGTACATACATCATTCTTATACAATGACACTGGTTTTCCAACAGCCCGTCCACGATGCGAGAATGATTCCGGTGAAAGTTCGATAAATCAATTCATAATCTCTGAAAGCTAAGTGAAATCATCCGTGAATTAGTTCTTTTATTCGGTATTGTAACGACTCGTTGATTTGCATTTTAATGATCGACGCACGATAGGAGATATTTATCATTAAAAGACAAATTAATAAACGAATACGTATATTTCTCTTTTTCAATATTTCAATTACGCAAATAATTTTTGTTTTCTGTAACAGGTAACGTTTGTTATTCGAGTGGAATAATGGATTTCGAGATGACCCAGTGCTCAAGTTTGGGTTCGTTCGAACCAAAGGTAATATTAATGGAAAATTGTTTATGCAAACCTTGTACAAGACGAATTACGTTATGTTTTATGTTCAAATTATAACGACAGTGATAAAATAAAACGTCACCCATTAGACCACTGTGAGCTCCCACGCGATTTACCACCCCGTTGGTTATTCGGGGCCCCTTAAATCGTAATAAGTAACGAGGGAGCTGTACGAACTCGAATCCTATGCGGAAACGCGGTACGAAGAGTCAACGAACCAGTATTGTATAAACCTCCTGGATCAACAAACAGCAATAGAACGTGGCTATCAACGATAGGATAAAAAGCATAGTCTATCTATGTATACATAGGATAAAACGTTAAGAAGCCCAGCTCTTAGAGTTCAAGGTCCAAACCTTGGGAGTTCGTAGCATTCATAGTTCGAGTCGCGACCCCCAAAGCTCAGGACTCGGGACTCGTTTTACCGATACTACATCGAACCGATACCGTCCAAGCCAGTTTTGGATGGATAGTAAAAAGAATGATAAATCTTACCTCGGGCGATGCCTGGAATCGTCAGGCACCTACAGCCGGAATTGGCCACTGAGCTTCTCTCTCACCTTGCTCGCGAACGTACGGACACAGATACGAGAGGTATAACGACGATCGAACGGTACTCGAGGCGCACGACGGATCGCCTGCACGGTGTCAAAGGAACATGACCCGTTGTGAATCTAACCGTGTATCAGGTGACACCAGCCACGGTGTCGCCTGCGACTGAATACGAATAATATTAATCTCCGTCGGTTCCCGTATTCACTGCGACGAAGAAGGATCGTGATACGAGAAGGTCGATCGGCAAAGTGGCAGCGCTTTCTGCCAGTTTCGCCGGACCGCTTTATAACTTTGGTCTGCGGAGGTTTCGGTATCCACCATCGGTGTCCTACCGCGGTGGTTGGCCTGTACACGGTGGTGGTACGATTTCCAAAGGCATAAACGCGAACGAGGCCACAAGCTGGCCGGGTGGTGGGATCGATCGTGGGGATAGATCGTTCAGGAATCGGTCAAGACGAAACTATCGACCACCGCCGCTCTGCTGCTGCTGCTGCTGGATCCTCTCTCCCTCTCCGTCACCTTCAAACGATCCACCTATGAACGAAGGAATCCCCCTCGACACTTGCTATCCGTTGCCCACCACTTAGGCTAGGACGAAAACGGCCATCGGCGCGGGGGGGCCCGTTTGTGTAACACCGGCTACACGGCGAAACATCAACGCGTGTCCTCGATTCCAACGGACCCAGAACGAGAGAGGAGGCGACGGAACGACTGTGTACCATGGGCATTTTGGATGCTTCGAACGACACTGCGCGATTTCGGTACTTTCGATATTCTCGGTACAGATAATCGGGTTATGCACGAACGCGTTTCCTGGATTTTCAAGTTCAGTTTCATCGATCAGCTTTTGGGTCGCGACACAGTACAGGCATCCCTCGTATAATACGATACAAGTTAGGCCATGCAAAACAATATACTGGTACAAAACGTAAGGTTACATTCCAAAAGTTAACAAAAACATGCTATTTTTGTCATAACTGAAAGTTCATTAACTTTAACGTTTGATGCTGATGTAGTCGTTGTCATGTTATATATCTCCTTTTACAATATCTTTTCTGTGACATAAGTCTTCTAAGAATAAGTAAACATTAAGCAGAAAGCTGTATCTTATAGTTTCAGATCGAAGGTCGCGTCGTGTCTGAGAAGTTAACCCCTTAACGCTCGTGCCTCTGACGTGTACGGTCGCAGAGATTCAAAGATGGCGGACCGGAAGTCACACCTGTACGTTTCAAGCCCGTGTATCTTTGTAACGAAGCTTTGGATCGAAAAACGGTAAAGTACTTTTCGATATATATCGGCACGATGAACCCTTTCCATCCCTCTTCTAAGAGACCACAAAGAGATGTCTAATAAAATCCCGCTAAATCGATACTGACCATATTTATATCAATGTCAAACTGCTACCGATTGCATGAATGAAAAATAAGATCTTAGGCGTTCGATTCGCAGTTAGCGATAGGTTACCTAACTGAGGAGGAATTGAGGATAATTAAAAGTAACATCAAAATTTCGTTTAATGGTTCATAAATAGTGACAAGATATCGGTTGTAAGCACCTTGTCAACAAGAAAAAACTTGTTTATACTATCACAGAAATGCAAGTAAGACACATCGTCGGTCTTACTTTATCAGTTGAGAGTTTTTTGCTCTGTGGTGTGTGATTTTAGAAAATGACACGAGGATCATGGTGCGTGTCTAGTGATGGCCATAAGAATACTTCTAATGGCTTCATACTAAAACTTAAGGTCTAAACTTCGATCGGTTATTTGTTTTCTTACGTGTTAATTTATTAAACACATAACCATGTGTCGAAACGTCGACTGATTTATTAAATTATCATACAGTACTCTTCGATTTTCAAATAAAGTTACACAATACGTTTATAGAATAATGAAACAATAATTCGACGAAACTTCTGGGCGTTAGGTTTATAGAATACAGTCGAGTTTGGTTGTAACGAGCAAAAAGTCATAATGGATGTTAATTTTTATATCAATAACCAGTGTTCACGGTTGTTCAATAATCGAAGTATATATATACTTTGGTATTCTCTGTATTCCAATCATCCACTGTACGAAAAATAGTTTACTGCGTGGCGTTTTCGAATAAAATTTTCCTGTTCGCTCGTCTCCGTTTGTGTATAACATAAAGTGTGTTGTATCGGATACATGGTAATACAAAATATCATTAAACGGCTAGTTTGCATTCTTAAACAGGCCTAGCATACAAGGAATGCGTTTGTTTATGAGAGGCGGCGTCACTTATGAAATGACCTAATAGAAAGCAAAACGGTACTTTAACGAAGCAACGGACCAGCTCTCGAAAAGATTTATGACCCGGAGAGTCGATCTTAAGTACCAATATCCAGCATCGAGATCAGTTTAATCGAATGACCTTGACGCGTATTAAGAAATTTTAACGAATACAATGCGCAAGGTGCAGAGAAAAATAGTTTCAGTTTCAAATTTAAAGACCAACTTTAGTTTTTGATTTTTCTAACTTCTTTTTTATCGTTTGACACTCCATAACTCTATAGTTCACGCACAATTTGTAATGTGGTTCTATTGTTTATCAAATTGTTAGGCAGTTACCTCTCAATTAATAACTACGACAATGTGCGAGTACATGATTGTATAGTTATCAATGTCATCGACATGTAAACGGTACACGTTACAAAGGATCGATCTTGCGTACACAGTTGCTTTCTCTATGTGATCGAAATCTGGTATCTATACAAGGTGTCTCGAAAATTCCAATACTATTGAAAACGTGGATTCGTAGAAATTCTTTTAAACAAATATATTTATTTCAATCAATTAATTATAACTATCTTAGCATCGATCAATATATTTCCGTCCTCCGTAAATAATATATATTTATGTACTTCGATCACCGACCTGTCGAACATACAGTTTCGCTGCAATAAATAATATTCAAACGATCGAGAATATTTTACGTTCTCTAACCTGACGCAACCTCTTTACACGATGATCGTGCAGTTAAATTTTTAATTGGTGGAAAACTGTATTTCCAGGATACTTAATTTGAAATATGTG